ACAATAACCAGGACAGTTGAATTAAATGAACAGATTCATATTTAATCTGGAAAGTAATAAAATTTGGTTGTGGGGTCCCTCAAGGCTCCATATTAGGCCCCTGTTTCTTTCTAAATCCTATCCCAAGAGTAGATTCTGAAACACTCAACACGTCTTTTAGTTGTTTTGCAGATAACCTGAACTCCTGGATGGCATTAAAAGAGTTCTCCGCTTGTTAGCCTCCTCCCGTTGAAGAACCTGGGGGTGATTTTAGGTTTTTTTCTTCGAATTTTGCTCACCGCTACTTCCAACTAAATGAACGAGCTTATTTCAGAGGAAACAATAAGACTCTTGCAAATGTTAACAAATCAATTTAACTTTTAGATATTCCCATTTCTTCCTATTTTAATTAAGCGTGTCCAACTATATTTGTGCTCTTGTTGTGTTATTTAAACTTATTTATGGTCTTTTATTGGTTTTATGTTTTAATCCTGCAGATAAAATTATGTTAACCTGGTGATTTTCATCCAATAATTACATTTAAACTGATTTATTAGTCATGTTTTTATGAATCCCACTGGCATATCAAAATCCCTCACTCCATATACTTGTACTATCACGTTTCTAAACAGGTGTTGCTTTTACCAGGCCACAGCCAAGGCACTCTATATGACTTTTTCCTCCACGCAGGTCCAAAAATAGAGTGGGAAAGGTGTTAAATATAGTTCATGTCATTTTATTTTGGACTTGACGAGTCTGTTACAGAGCACTGTTACTTCTGGGTTGTGAAAGTGGTGTACAGTTGCTCTAGCTGATGAAAACAACCTGAGAAGCAGTAGCACTGCACATTAAGGCAGTAACAGGAGAACTTATAACCATCTAGATGACGTCTTGTGTGAAACCAGTCTTCTTGTTTGCAGGTTTGGATATTCGACTTTTTGCCTACTTTTTAAAGCCGTTTGTTTCTCCCACAATCAGACGGAGTTTGTCGTTATGAAACTTCACATTTCGGGGGCAAAAAATGTCCAAAAGTGAGTGAAAGTGGTGGTTTAGAGAACAGCTGGCAAAATGAACCATTGCTGACCTTTTTAACAGTGCAGTCACATGGCCAAAAGATGATGATCAGTTAATCCTCCCCAATTACTCTGATATGCCCCTTGGGTGCAGAAGGCAGCACGTACAGAGCGGATTCCGCTGCCGCACGCATTTCTGACACCAGCAACCGAGGAGCACGTATCAAACATTGACAAGTTTTAAACAAGGATCTACGCAGGAGTGACAGGCAAGAAGCCAAGAGGAGAAAGGTGAAAGGAGGGACAGGGTCCTCACTGGCATGCATCCCCTTTCCAGGGGCGCTTTGCAGAGAGCGGCGGTGCTGCAGCAATGTCGAAAAGCCATCTGTGGGTTCTCTCAGCAGAGGCCGTGTAAAACAAGACATGTGCTGTGGTTTGACCTTTCATGCTCCTAACTATAATATTATCATAAGATGAACGATCGGGTTGCACTTTCCCCGGTGGTGGGATTCAGTGTCCATATGAAGGCGATGAGTGAAGACCCCATCAGACCATATGTGTACATGAAATTAATATCAGTTTTTCTGAGGTCAAAAACTAAATTTAGTCCTATTAGTTAACGCCACTTTTCAAATCGTTTCAAAACAGTATAAATGAGAGTAAAATCCCTCGTCTCTTTTAAATCATAAAGAAATGTTGAATTAATATGATATCAAACTTTGAGCTAAATCCAACGGCAGAAAGATGGTGCAACAGACTGATATCTTAAGGAAGTGGCAGAGCTACAAGTTAGCACAGTGTCAAGGATTTGTTAAACTTGGAGGTTGAAATTACAGTGTAAATCTCTAAAGCATTTAACGCAGCCAGGGATAATACACAACTATCTGTCAATACTCAAGGCAGAGCAGCTGGCACTAATTGGATTTAAAGAATTATGGGTAGGAGCTGGCACAGTGTACATCTTAGGCTCAGAGCATGCCAACGTCCATTCCAACGGTTCCACAATGAGGCTTAAGAGAAGTGAGAAACTCTGGACAGAGATCAAGTCCGAGAGTCGGGTGTCACTTCACAGGTGGAGACTGTTGTTGTTAATCCAAGAACATGCAAACCGAGACATCAATCTACAGAACAAAATCATTAATACTTGTACAACTGATGCAGAGAGCCAATCCACATTTGACCTACAGGGGTATCACAAGAGCTGTAATAACAATACGGTGACTAACGACTCAGGCATCATGATTTTAACCGTCGCTTTTGTTTGGCCAGCTACCAGTCACATCACTCTCCATGATAAATCACAATTAAAGGAGGATTTTTACGGGGCAACTGATGTGAAATCAGCAGGTCTCAAATCTGACATGTAAACACTGGAGTTTTGGAGAATGTGGCTGATAAAGTGTGTTTTTTTAAAGGGTCTTTTTGCATTGATTTCTCACTTATATTCAAATCTACAAGGATTGTTGTGATCAGGGATGTGTCTTATGAATGATAACTTATAACCAGCTCCTGTTGAGATATACACTCACCGGCCACTTTATTAGGTACACCATGCTAGTAACGGGTTGGACCCCCTTTTGCCTTCAGAACTGCCTCAATTCTTCGTGGCATAGATTCAACAAGGTGCTGGAAGCATTCCTCAGAGAGCTTGGTCCATATTGACATGATGGCATCACACAGTTGCCGCAGATTTGTCGGCTGCACATCCATGATGCGAATCTCCCGTTCCACCACATCCCAAAGATGCTCTATTGGATTGAGATCTGGTGACTGTGGAGGCCATTTGAGTACAGTGAACTCATTGTCATGTTCAAGAAACCAGTCTGAGATGATTCCAGCTTTATGACATGGCGCATTATCCTGCTGAAAGTAGCCATCAGAAGTTGGGTACATTGTGGTCATAAAGGGATGGACAGGGTCAGCAACAATACTCAGGTAGGCTGTGGCGTTGCAACGATGCTCAATTGGTACCAGGGGGCCCAAAGAGTGCCAAGAAAATATTCCCCACACCATGACACCACCACCACCAGCCTGAACCGTTGATACAAGGCAGGATGGATCCATGCTTTCATGTTGTTGACGCCAATTTCTGACCCTACCATCCCAATGTCGCAGCAGAAATCGAGACTCATCAGACCAGGCAACGTTTTTCCAATCTTCTATTGTCCAATTTCGATGAGCTTGTGCAAATTGTAGCCTCAGTTTCCTGTTCTTAGCTGAAAGGAGTGGCACCCGGCGTGGTCTTCTGCTGCTGTAGCCCATCTGCCTCAAAGTTTGACGTACTGTGTGTTCAGAGATGCTCTTCTGCCTACCTTGGTTGTAACGGGTGGTTATTTGAGTCACTGTTGCCTTTCTATCAGCTCGAACCAGTCTGGCCATTCTCCTCTGACCTCTGGCATCAACAAGGCATTTCCGCCCACAGAACTGCCGCTCACTGGATATTTTTTCTTTTTCGGACCATTCTCTGTAAACCCTAGAGATGGTTGTGCGTGAAAATCCCAGTAGATCAGCAGTTTCTGAAATACTCAGACCAGCCCTTCTGGCACCAACAACCATGCCACGTTCAAAGTCACTCAAATAACCTTTCTTCCCCATACTGATGCTCGGTTTGAACTGCAGGAGATTGTCTTGACCATGTCTACATGCCTAAATGCACTAAGTTGCCGCCATGTGATTGGCTGATTAGAAATTAAGTGTTAACGAGCAGTTGGACAGGTGTACCTAATAAAGTGGCCGGTGAGTGTATATTTATATATATTCACATTTTTTTGTCTTTGTGAAATTTGTGTCTCTGATATTACCATCAAACTGCAAATGTGTTTAGAGATCACATCACACAGGACAGGTAGGGATGTGTCAGCAAAGAAGCAGGTAAAATCCTCTGCAAAAAGGTGTTTTATCAAGTGTTGCTTTTATTTTGTCATTACTTCTCTTTGGCTTGTCTCTGCTAATGTCATGATATGTTCGGTTGATTTAGTTTTTCCCTGATTTTGTGTTTTATTCTTTAGATCAGTTTTCAGTGTTTGTTTCCTGTTTTATTTTGTAGGAGTTGATTCCTTGGGTTTCTAGTCTGGTTTTACTTCCCTAGTTTTCCCTCCTTTGTTAGTCACCCTCGAGTCTCACCTGTGTCTCGTTCACCTCACCTGTTGCTCGTTTCCCAGTGTGTATACAGTCCCTGTCCTTTGTCCTTGTTGGTTTGTTGTATGTCGATGTGTGTGTGTGTATGCTTTTGTCCCCAGTTGTCTCCTTGTGGTTTTTTCCCCTTGAGTCTTTAGCTGGATTTTGGATTTTTTAATTGGACATTTTTCAAGGAAGTTTTTGTTGCTTTTCATTTAGTTCCTTTTAAATAAATCCTTTTTTGTCTGTATCCGAGTCCTTTCTCTTTTGGCCCATGACAGTCAAACTGACTTCTCTTCTGCTGAACCTGCTCTAATGATATCTGCAGCTACTGTATGTATGTAAATGTATGCATATGAATATGTAATATGTATTCTTCCAATACATCCTTTGCTTTCATGTTGACTTTTCAGATGACTTTAGAGATTTGTTACTAAAACTCAAAGACTTTTTGCTTCCTCTGCGCATTTTGCAGAATACAACCCTGTTACTCTGAAACGGTGAAAAACGGTCACTCTGGTGACTCAGTTTTCACACTTGCCAGCTTGTCCTTTTTCTCTGCACGTAAAAGTGGATTAATTACTGCCACTTACTGTGCTGGAATGTGTAAGCAGGACAAGGGAGCACTAATTTGTATATCAATGTTCGATTTCTAACTAAAGTGTTGTTTTAAAAAAAAAAATAAAGGAAGCATTACCTGTTCATTTTCTTCATCAAGCCTCTCTGAGACCCTAGAGTAAGTCTACCCTGCATCCTTCCATCAACTCTGTCCTCAGTGCAGCTAAACCTTTTCCTGTTACTCTGTGGAAAATCAGAAGAGAAAATCTGAACAAGATTTATCAGAATTAACTTCATGTTCACAGAATGAGTGACGTGCTCAGGACAAATGTGTACAAACTATAGAAATATACTTTATTTTAGTTGAACATTATTTGGACACTAAACCACTCTTGGACATTTCATATTAAAGAGTCTCACTGCTCTGAAGGTCCGAGCAGAGCTTTAGCTTCCTGCTCTGTGGATGGGATGTTGGATAATTGATGGAGAAATGGTCGTCCGTGGATGCAGGTCCAATTTTTCTCATCGAGCTGCTGCTCCATTCGTTGAAGGATTTCTTGAACATCTTCTCTGGATAAATTTATCGGTAACTGACGGGCGAGTCGCACCGCTTCACCCTGAGAGGAATAAAACTCATTTTAGAAACTTAGTAAAACAAATAAAAGCTCTGATATTCTTAATTTTAATCCATAAAATCTCGTACTTGTAGATAGTTTCTAACTTTAAGTGGCCGACACTCTTGCACAGTCTGGGCCTTCCTGTGAAGAACTGCAGTCAGGATCTCCCTGAGGTCCTCCAGGCCGAGGAAAGGCACGCAGTCTGCCATCGCTGTCACTTCCAGATGTCTCTCGGCTGACGTGTGGCCTGGCCAAAACAAGCAGAAAACAAGGATTAATATACTCCAGACGCTACTACTATCTCCAGGAAAGAATAATAAATAAATATTGTGGTTTACGGCTGGACTGATGACCAAGTCAAACAAGCCAGGAGCCAAATGGAGTGTTAAATGACTAATAGAAGCCCCAGCAGACTGGAAGGAAGTTGTCTTGTAGGGTGGAAGAATGATTGCTTCTCATTTCATGAGGAAATACTGCAAATCATGCACAATTTATATTTCTGATTCATGGCTTTGGATGCACAATGAAAACAGAAAGGTATGAAAAAAGCTGCAGAAGTTGAGACGGTTATAAATTTCTTACATATTTGTGTAAAAATGAACCGTCCACCATGTTTGTTTTGAAATAAATATGAAGGGAGTAACGAGCAGGAGTGAGAAATTATCTTGTTGTAATTAAAGCATCTTTATCTCCAAACATACAGTGGCAATGACAGGATATTCATTTGAGTTACAATATGAGCATTGAACACTTAAAGCAGCTCCAACAAAAACAGACGATTTTTCGCTGAGGTTGTGTAACGACACCGCCTCACACACGCCGTTACCCTTGGTCCCATGCACACCCACCGAGGCTGGCAGTGCCAAATGAAAAATTCCTTGAATTTCTTAAAGGGCAGCCATTCTCATCACCTGCACACCGGGGTCCAAACCCACTGTGAGACCAGTTTGGCGGGCAGAGAGCCAATGTCAACTGAGGTGAACAACTCCAGCAACAAACACGACCAACACTCACAGGGCACTGTTTACCCTCTGCGAGCTCGCTGAGAAATAATGTCGATACGATGGCTAAAACATGTCTCATCTGGCTTATATCTAGATGTTAATAATCTGCATTACTTTACTGTTTATTAGAGTGTATGCAAGAATAAAACTAACTGTTTACTATCACAATATCCCTCCACACATAAACAAGAGCTCTCTCTCATGGATGAAATGATCAGTAATAAAGTGGAATTGTTGAACACAAATATTCAGTATGATGACGTTGTCACAAAAATAGGAATACTGAGTTTTATCCATAACTTTTCTACTAAACAGAAGCTTGGTCAGGATTAACTGCCTGTAATCCAGTTTTTCGGGGCTCTGTGTTTGACATTTCTAAATGATTCGTAAACTTTGACATTCATGAAGGAAAACTGCTGCATTGGCAAATCATGAGACCTTTAAACAGCGTGATTTAAAACATTAAGACGAGCTGGTATCTGATTGATCAGGCGGGCTGGAGAGTGTCGACTTTAATGTCCCACATTAATGTCAGTTACAAGAGGCTGCTTAAATCTGAGCAGCTCTATATGCCTCCAAAGAAATCTAATTATTAGAGTTTTTAAGAAATAAGAAGCAGGAGGAACAAAGAATAAAAAAAGCTTTACTAGGAGTTGAGATCATAAACAGAAGTGCTTTCTTCTTTCTTAATACGAGATCATCACAATCATCAACTTTCAATTTGCATTCATTTTAAAGCTCCTGCCTGTGAGGAGTTTGTAATGGTTAGAAAACAGACTGAATCTAGGCTGGTGATGCCTCTTTATGGCCTGTAAAAGCGAACAAGATGATCAGAAATTTCTTTACAGGGCTATAAGGGGACGGGATAGACGAGACGATAAAAAGGATGGTGTTTCTCCACAGCAGATGTGCAGCAAAAGAAAGCAGGATAAGGATGTTTCTGCAGAGGGGATGAGCGGCAGAGATCACTTTGTCCACAGGAGGTGCCAAAATTAACAAAAATCTTTAAATCTGTCTATTAAAAAAGTTTTATTTTTGAGCCTTTAGGTGCAGATTCCTGTCCAGAGAGGCCACCGAGCATCCTGGTAACATCAGTAAATTTGTATTCAGGGACTGACCGTGTGAAGAGCACCGGGCGGAGATCAGAGAAGGATCATACATCATAGCAATGTCTTTCCATCACTTTACTTATGTGAGGGGTGAGCAGGGGAGGGTTTCACTCTATAGCCTGATAAATATTTTGACACACTGTACCTTTAAATTCGGTCTATTTCACAGCTTTCATACCTTTTGATGGTTAAGAAAATTTAAAATCTGAAAAATTTTACAAAATAAAAAAGAGAAACTAAATTAAGAGTTTAAAGCATCAGTCATAGCTTTAAATAAAATGCAGACAAGACCAAGGTTTACTCCTTTTAGTCCACAGAGGTCGACAAAAGTCCCTCACAGCTGCTGTTAAACGTACCTGCAGTGAGTTTGATTTTAAACCCGTTCGCCACGAGCCTCAGATCAGAAAAGAGGGCGCCTCCGTTCAGATCCGCGCTCTGTTTCTCCATACTGCACAAAGCTTCAGTGTATTCAGATCCCCCAAGATTTCTGTAAAGCAGACAATAAGGAGATGTTAGAGGGTTAGCAGCAGTGTATTTTTTTATTTTCAGAGGTGAGGATGTGGTTTATTCAAAGAACAAAACAAGTCTGGTATGTATTTGTGAGTGTTTGCACAATCATAACAACTGTCAGGGAGCTGGTGAAAGCTGAGTGATACATTACCCATCTGTTAACTGAATAGGGCTCTGCAGACTCACTGCTGGAAGTATATTATTCTCTAGAAGTCTCTTAAACAGCAAGGCTTCCTCCACTCGAAATGGGTTTAACAACATGAGCCTCTGACCACATAAAATGACCCAGGCGCTCTGAGAGGCCAGTCGGTTTACAAGACGGAGGCCCCGTGGCACTGCGCCGCTCTGGGATGAAAGGCGCTGAAGCTGCAGCCGAAGGGCAGCCACATTACAGGGGAGGGGCTGCGAGGGCTTCGGCGCGGGACTCTTCGTCTTCTTCTGGGGCTGAGAGGAAAAGAGCTCGTCCAGCAGCTGCTGGTGCGACAGAGGGGCTTTGCGTTTCAGGCCCTGAGCGTGGCTCTTTGGGATGATCTTGCTGGTCTCTCTGGGACCTTCAGAAAAGGCTAACTTGGTCCTCTGGTCGTGATGTTCCAGGTGTTTTTTCGCCTTGTCTTCATACCTGAAAGATTGAAGATAAAGTCTTTTTGAGTTACAACCATCACTGTTATAAAACCTTGCTCATTTGCCTTCCCAGCATGCACTGGTTTGCTGATGTGTAAAACCAAGGAGCCACAAACAAACCTCAACCAAAACACCACTCTATAGCCACAAATAATGCTCAGAACGGCACCTAACTTCATCAACAGGACATATAGGGTCACAGACATAGTACTAGACACCAAACATCTTTTTAACTTTGACTCATTTCTTTAGCAAAGAGACTAAACACAACTCACCTACTGTCTTCCAGCAGCCGCTTGTTTGTAGCGAGACCTCAGGCCAGCCTATTACGGACTATATTGGGGTGACGCAGCTCAAGGAAGAACATTTATGATCATTTATTCATGGAAATACAATCAGACCGGGACACTAATTATTACTTAAAGGAAATGATAAAGAAACTATCATAAATGTTCTTCCTTGAGCTGTGAAACCCCGCTGTAGTCCGTAATGGACTGGCCTAAGGTCTCGCTACAAACAAGCGGCTGCTGGAAGAGAGGAGGTGAGTTGTGTTTAGTCTCTTTGCTAAAGAAATCATGTGAAGAAAGCGTCTCAGCTAACCTCTGTTGTTGTCTCTCCTTCATATATGATACAGCATGTTCTTAAAGGAGGGTTTATATTGGAGGCTGCGTGTCGTAGTTCTCTGTGTACTTGAAGAGAACATGCTGAGAACATAAATATATTTATTATATATGGTGCTTTTCTCAGCACAACAGGTATTTGCCAAGTCATGTTTCCACAGATCTTCATATGTTAAGCATTAGGGCTTACACTTCAGCACCCCATAATTCAAACTACCTGTTTCATGAACTTGTGTACGTGCAATTCCTAGAAGTGCTGTACCACTTAACAGTGGCGGCGAGAGGAGCCGAATCCTCGCCACATCTTTTTTCATCGTGTTCGAGACAGCCGTACGGAAGGCAGGATCCTAAACAGATGTCTTTTTCCATACCTTATATAAGGCCCTGAGCACTGCTGATTCACATTTTCCAACTTTGCAATTACTTTAAATTGGCATGCACGCAGCAATCTCCTTATGTGCCTTCAGCTCAGTAAAATGAGGTTATTCCATGATGCTACCAGCAATTAGGAAGCACAGTTTGTACCTTATTTTACTGAAACATCTCTGTGCATCTGAAAAATCAAACCTGATTATAATATTCTGTAATTAAGGCGGATACAATCAATCAGTTGAAAAGTAAAGAGTTGCTCTTGGCCTGTGTACCGTGTAGCGATCTTTGACCTGCTAATAGAGCAGTTTTAGAGATGATTTGTGTGCTTGAAACTAAAATCTGGGGAATGACGCACAAATGAGGCGTGATAAAATAATGCAAAAATGATCAGCATGTTTTTTTAATTGGTCAGAGTCCAGCCTTCACTAATGTAAATCATTTATCTTTTGTGTCTTAGGGACCAAACAAGGGTCAAACATGAACACGTGTTACCTCCATCTGCTCCACAGGATAGTATAAAATAAAGGGATTTCGAGGCGTATGTAAATTATAATTACATGAAGGTTTCTGATTAGAATTAAGGAATTAATTACAGTTGTCGAGTTATTTTGAAGGAGGGTTATTTGAGGTGTTAAGTGTATTAACTGCAGAGTCCAAGCACAGATGTTGGGCTGCATAATTAGTTACATAAGTTACATAATTACGCTTATTATAAGAAAACCTGACTCAACCTTAACTTTGGTGTAAGTGCGTGTTTTATTTTGAAATTTTGACCCTGTACTTTGATTTTATAAAGCCAGTTCAATTTTATACTATCAAAGATGCAATGCGAATCATGTATCGTCCATCTGCAGTGCGTAAATTAATAATTCAGGTCTACTGGCTCTGAAAGAGATCAAAATATTGAGTGGTTCTGATGGCAACAGTGGCATGCCATTTATTGTAGACCATCATGAACCAGAGTTTGCCAAAGCCTAGTGAGCTGAAGGTAACTAAAGTACTTCAGGACCTTTCTGATTCAGATACCGGTATTACTCAGTATCCAGAGTTCCCAGTCTCAGTAAGCGTCGCTGTTTCTCCCACTTTCAGAAATTAAATCAGAGAAACATAAAAGCTGATAGAAATGCACCTTCAGAGGAAGTGTTCGGCTCTCAATATTATAGTGTCCTGGGAAAAAGTGGCTGCGGGCAGAAGAACAGGTATGTTTTCTGTCCATGAATAACACCAAAACAAATAGACTTTCTGACTGCAAATTTAAATCTTTCTTAAAACTTGATGAATCACGTTAAAGTAGCAGCAGTTCATAGCTACAGTTGAGAAGACCATCATCCCCTAAGGGTATTACACTTGCTACTTACAAGTACCTAATAAAACCTTACTCTAAAAAACCTTGAAATATCCCTTTAAATCTTGTTGTAATGTTACTCTGCCACCTGTTGAAGGCTGGCGATGAATTATCAAATAATCGGTTAATTAGCCAAAAAGAATGGGATGCAATGTAAACTATTTTACATGTTTAAGCCATAAATGAAAACCATTAGTTGGTTTTAGCCTCTGAAATGTAGAGTCAAGATGGTAAATGAAGAGTCTTTGGGTTAAAGGTTTTAAGTCGAGTGACTATTTTCTGACATCTACAGACTTTATCATTTTCAGATAAAAATACTTCTTATTTTTACTTCCTTTTTGTATCTATAAACTCTTGTAGGTACTGGAAACAATGGACATAATGTTAAATATAAAGTTGAACATGATCTGAAATATAATAGACCTGTGAGCTCTGGAGGCAGACGACACCCACTGACAGAAAACCTGATTTCAGCATCACTGATACCTGTTATGAGCCAGAGCCTGCATTAGGACACAGTCGTCTGGAAATTAGAAACACAGCTCGTATCAACAAATTTTCCAGACAAGGCTTTTAACATGCAAATGACAGGTCAGACATTCCCCCCTCTCTCTGCGCTGCAAAAAACAAGAAATGGAAACGACTGCTTGGAAAGGTGAAGGTCTGGAAACTCACTTCTTACGTTCTTCCTCCCTCAGATTTTTCCACCTCTCCTGCACGGTGACGCTGATGTCCTGCAGGCCAGCTGTGGGTTTCTCCCTCAGGACCTCTGCTCTGACCTCCTTCTCGAAGAGCGCGGCGGGAGACAGCGGTGCCCTCATGGCGCGGTTACTGATGAGATCGTAAGCCGTCAGAGTGGCGCCTTTTTCTGTGATGGCATTGAACATCTTTTTGTTCGAGCTGCCCTCGCTCCTGGTTTCACTCGGCTCAGAGGGATTACTCTTTGACGGTTGATGGACTTGAACCGGCTGCAGAGGTCCTCCTGATGTGGAGGCTGTAAAAGCCGTACCTCTGCTCCAGTCCTCAGCTGATATCTGGTCACTGTTCGTACCTGAATCTGACACTTCATTGTCCTCAAGTTTCTCAGGGGTTTTACTTGTTGAACTTGTCTGAGTGCTACTCTGATCATCAAACAGAGTAAAGTTCGCCTCGAGCTCAGCGGGGATCTGGTTTACTATCCAGTCCTCAGCTATAGAAGATGAGGAGCTGCTGTTCGAGGCCTGGCAGTGCAGCGCAGCATCACCTCTTACTGTTGTGTCGCTGAGTTTAGGTGCATCTTTGAGGAAGTTACCATTGTGGTTGGTTACACTTTGTTTATTGTCCAGCTGTGAAGAATCAGTCTGGAGCGGACGGGACGGTGAAGCGGGTTTCTCCTGGTGACTCTGCTTCTCAGCTGGGGGTTCACTGTTTTGTTGAGGAGCATAGAGAGAAACCAGGAATGACTCCACAGCAGTCAGCACGGCATCCTAAATAGATCACAGATCACAGATAATGAGTTTAAGTTCAACAGATGTGTGGTGCAGATAAAGCAAATAAAAATAAACGTACGTTACAGACTGATTTCACTGAAACAGAACATCATAGTCACCTTCTCGTGAAGAAGGACCTGGGTCTTGTCTGGGGTCAGATTCACGTCCACTGAAGAGGGTGGGACTGTGATTTTGAGCATCAGGGTGGGATAGCGGTTTCTCGCCGAGTCATCAGGATACTGAGCCGTGTAGTGTTGACGCAACAACTGATAATCAATCCAATGATCCAAACAGGTAAAAAATCAATAACAGATCATGTTAGGCACCAAAAGCAATAACTGTGTAACATCTGTGATGATAAACCATGACATGAATTTACCTTTAAGAGATCTTTGTGGTGGACAGGCCGGTTGTTGACGTATATAAATGTTTTGTCAGGATTAGATGAGCTTGTCGAGGAGGGCTCTGCTCCAGCTTTTGGGAAAAATCCCTCAAAAATGATCTAAACCAAATGAAAAATGATGTTAATATAAGTTTTATTAGGACAAAGTTCCTATACATGAACTGAGCAGAAACAGAGAAATATAAATATCAGACCAATCTTAAAAGTTGATTGATTTCAGATTGTCCTGTCCAGCAGCTGGCATTGATCAGTGTAACTATTATATGTGTGTTTGGAAATCTGGACATAACATAAAATTTACCATCATTACATTTATTATTTATGATGGCACCGCTGATGCATTCCTCTGACGGCACAGCTGCACAGCTGAAAACAAAGCCATTAATCCTGATTGTGCATGAACATACTTGCACTCAGCCCCGGTCATGCAATGATGGAGGAGTCGAGCTTCAATCCAACAAGAGACTCCGCTCGTTTGATCCCCTATTTGATTAACCCCTCTATACATCTCATGGTTTCATATTATTCACCTTGAAATAGACAGATCCAGTTCTATTTAAGTTGTGACACCAAGTGAAATAGTTGAACACTAAATTTGTTGTTTCAATTTCTCTGAATTATTAAATGATATCATTGAGCGTAGTCGATGACATCCCCAAATCCTTCTACATTTTTCTGAAATTAGTGATTTATCTGCTCACGAAGTCTCTGACAGAGCGGAGAACCTATCTTAGCTTTACATCTGAGACCCCGCCTCTCTTAAATAACCTTTTTTCTGCCTAATCATGTTTCAAAACCTTCTGAAAATTAATCTAATTCATCTGGAGATGTTCCCTCAGGTGTTTTTTAACCATTACACAACTTTTATGTTTTAATGTCTCTGTCCCAGCTTTCTCAAAAATTCACTGCTGGCATATCAAATCTAAAATATGCACAAACTCTTGATAAAAAATGAAATATTTCAGTTTTGATTTATTGTCTCTGCACTGTCGGTAACTGAGTATAAAGTTTGAATGATGTGCAAATCAACAAACTCTGTTTTTCTTCACATTTTACACGGCGTCACCACATTTCAACCAGCTGGTGCTCGACATTCCTCCTTTAATATATGCATCACACATCACAACCTTTCACCCAGAATCCAGCCAGAGGCAGTTCTCATGAGCTAAAGATGATGACTCAACATCATGAGCGAACTGCACTTATACGTCCATTATGAATGCACGCTTTTAAGACGTTATAGAAAGCTAATAATGTTCTGCAGGAGGAGTAACTACTCTTTTTTTCCACATGGCCTCAGGCTCATTATTAGCAGCAACGCACGCCAATGAACTTAATAAATGAACTGCGGTTTCAGGTCGGGGCACATATGCTTCTCTCTATTTCTCCTCATTAGGGTCACTTTATGAGAGCACGAATGGCACCTCTGGCCCCAGAGGGCTGCGGGTATGTGTAGTCATGCTGCCAACAACCAGTGTCACATTTTGTTCTGCAGAGCAACAAGTCTCCTTGAACGAGGCCCCGGTGAAATTGTCAACCTGGTTCCCTTGATCACTGAGCTTTGGTCTCAGAGGACAAAAGAGGAGAAAAGTTCTTTTTCATTACAACAAGGAGTCAAAGGAGAAGGTGAAAGGCCGTTCTCATAACCGGGCACCAAACCGCAGCAGCAAAACAACAACAACAAAGAGGGAAAGGAGAGAGAAACGGGGTGAAAAGGGCTGCTCCATATCTGTCAGACAAGATTAGTTTGGAGCCGTGCAGCGGGTACGAGCCACATGACACCTACCGTGACCAAGCAGAAAGTTACCGGTTGACAGTAATTCAATTACGATCAGCACAACAAAGCTTAGCTAACAAAAATCACTCGCTGTTCGTCAAGAAAGAACTCAAGAGAAAAGGGCAAGTGAATAGTTGGCAACCCACCAACTGACCACATTTGCTGGCTTCAGACCAGGCGTTCGTGATGAGGTGATTAGCTCACGGTCAAGTATAACGTGCAGGCTCTTGTTTGCTCTGCAGAAAGGATCCATCTTTATCAGGGATTGCATGTGACTCGTGAGCTGAAGATGAAATTACACCTTTTCACATCAGGATAAAGAAATACAGTTAAGTAATGAAGATTTATTGTCAGTGCAAGTCGTTCTTCTGGATTTTTGAACAAAAAGAGGCCAAATATGCAGTCGTGGTACATCTAAATTCATGTGGAATAAGCCGCAACAGGAGGACAAATGTCTTTTTTATAAAGTTCACTGTCAAAGTGACTCCACATTAAAGGCCAAAGAAGACTGGGAGCCATCGTAAAGGGCCTAAGGTGTGTGCCTGAGGTGTGAAGGGTGGCATGCAGCTCTGTGCCAGCTCAGCCCAGCTATGTGCCCGCAGCGCTCGCCCGTCAGAGAGCGTTCACTCCATGTGGTCGCTTCACATTCATTTGTTACGATGCTCGGATGTGCTGCACAATAAACAAAACATCGACCATGAAACCACAAACATGTTAACATGAGCTCTTCATCCTTATGTTTGTCACGGCTTAGCTTGAATCATCGCCTCACATCCTCTACAGTCAGACTGGGTTGTTATTTTAATCTGTCTTAAATGAAATGTACATTATTTTTTATTTGTACATAATTAAGAGCATGTTTTACGGGTTATTCCTGCATTTTTTCCTCAACTAACCTCCGGTTGCTCTTGGTGATGGTAGCAAGGAAGCAAGTTGGCAATGGTGCCGGACCCCAGCGTAGCAATGAGGGCACTTCTGTGATCAGCCACCTTGGCCTTCTGCCAAACCACCACCTGCAACAATATGACACCAGTCAACCTCCATGACTCCACATCAGGCAAAGAACGCTGCATAAACACCTGTCAAGATAGTAACTGGGCCACCGAGCTGCCAAGTTCACGGTTATGTTTCTGTAAAGGATTCAGGAAAAGATGGAAAAAAGAATCAACACATGGCTTTGTTGCTCTGATTGAGAATTTTACAGATAAAAAACTAACATAAATAAAAAAAAAACATGTTGTAAAAGTATACAATAACAGAAAAAGAGCAAGAAACACACTTTTGCAACCTCAAACAGCTCCATGTAATTTCAACATATCAAGTTTACACAATTACAATATCTTACCAACAATAAGCTGAATTTTTTCCTCCTCGTATTTGATAAATAAATCAAAGGTTTCATCAGAACATCAAATATCTCAGATGCAAATTATTCTGGCACACCGGGGCGGGATTTTTGGCGTTCCTGTCCATCAGTGCATACATCTCCTGGGTGTTGATTTCTTGAAACACGCGCTCTGTTCGGGGCATGTCTCAGCTATGAAATACGCAGTTTGGCAGATGTAAACGGATCACTCCTGTAAACAGTTCCTGAAGAAGCTGTGAAACACGACACAGGCTGAATAGCAGAGCTGGAGGTAAAGGATAGGGGGCAACTGAGTGCTGATTGTACGAAATGGGTTCATTACCCTTCCCCTTAAGACCACGTAACTGATTTCTATGAAAAATATATAGTGGGTTTTTGGCCCCTCTATGACCCTCAGCACCTATACACTCCTCCTGTGTACAAACTGGCTGCAGCCTGAAACACAATCTGGGGTTAAGTCTGCAGCTGTGTTCAGCAGCTTACTCAGGCGTCATAATCATCCAAATCAGAGTTCACAGTCAGACATATTTATGTTTGGAGCACCTGACTGTTACGCTGAGCTGCAGTGGGAAAGGGGGTAAGGATGAAAATGACTAATTGCTAAATAATTTCCCCTGCTGATTAAACTAACGTCATTAGATGGAAAAGAAAAAAATCTGCAGTCCCGTCACATCCTGGGGATAAGAGAGTGAAAGTAACCCGACACTGATCTGTAGACTGTCAAAAACACAGATTAGCCTTAATACTGGTGTCTGCTTTTATTTACTGTCACTGCTTTGATTTAGTTTTACAGGATTTTCATGACCATACAAACCCCGAATGCCAAATATTCCCTGGTTTCAGGTTCTCCTCTATGAGGCCTCGCAGCTTTCCTCAGGTATCTTCAACTTAAATTACTGAAAAATGTTGAAATGCTGTTTCGATGTTGATTAAAAAGATTTTCTTTCGTGGTTTAAAAATCATTGAAACCCTGTATTTGGCTGAAAATGGAGCAAAGACAACTTATCAAATGCTGAAACTGGAAAGACTTGATTATCATATGAAAAATATCTTCTTATTTCAATTATGATGCCATTAATATGTCGCAAAAAGATTCGGAAAGGGACAACAAAACACTAAAAAGGGACTCCAGAGAGGCCGAATCCCTCAGAAGTTAAGATGAGAAGAGGTTCACCAATCTGCAAACAGTTCAACAATTACAGAATAATTTTCCTTCTGTTTAAATCGAAAAAATCTCTCTATAAAACAGTCAAGGCCGAAAAAACAAACACTAGATAGATGTTATCTTCGGCCTACATTAAAACCAGACATGACTCTGTAGTGGAAATTACTGCATGGGCTAAGTGAGCCCACTTCAGACAGACTAAAGCAAAGTGGAAGAGTTTGTTGTGGTCTGATAAATCAAAATTTGACAGTCTTTTTGGAAATCAAGGATGCTGTGAGGAGAAGAGGAAAAGGACCCCTGTGATGGTGTGTAGATGTATACCCCTGGTATAGGTTAAATCTTTAAAAGGTTCGATTTCCAAAATCTGCTGTCACGTTTCACAGAGCTCTCAGCTGAGGAGACAAATGACAGGAAACAATTTTTATTTTTCCTCACCTGTACTTAGTTTTTGTTTTGCTTATTGTTTTTATGCTCTCTTATTTGATGACTGGCTTTTATTGCAAGAAGCTCATAATAAAATATATAAAGCAAAAACAGTTCACTATATTTCATATAATTGTGTTTACCTATTCAGGTTGGCTCTAAATGCCAAAAAGACTAAAATGATGTTCTTCACCTGTGGAAATTAGTAAGCAATGCTGAAGGTGAATTTGGGTCTCATCTATAGAAATAAAAGCTGTTTTTCTTTTGTTAATAGAGTGCACCACACTGTGTTGGGATTTGTTACTAACTCAGGTTTATGTACATGTAGCAGCAGTTTTAGATGCCGTTGTTGGTAAAGTAACTTGTCAAGTATGAAAAGCACCTTGATGAGATCCCACATCTTAAACAGACAGACTTTAAGATGTTCTCACATGCATCAGTGTTATTTTTTTAAGGCTGCAATATAAAAAATAATATGAAAACAGATGACCCGTTATCATAAACCAACAGTGATGTTCAAGCCAAAGATGTTGGGGCCGTCATTTGAAGACTAATGAGGCCACCTGGTGGTTCTCTCCTCTCTAAGCTGATCCTGTTTGTAGCCTCAGCATTTTCCAGGCAGTCAAAGACTCAGTAGATAGTCGAGTCAGACTTAATGCCAAAGACTGCAGCTGCAGGACTACTTCATCAAATCAATAGATTTCATTTTACATAGTGCAGCAGTTTATACCGGGAAACAGACTCTAAAACTCCTCCTTGAAAAGGCTTTCTGAGTGATGATCCCAAAGTCAGTGCCAGTGGTTATCCTCATGTTTTAACTCATTTTAGATCTTTTAAATAGCTGGTGCCACGACAACCTTTATTGATTTAACTTTTCTTGATGTGTTTGTTTTCTTGGCTGCCTCTATTGATAGCAGAGGACAGTGGACAAAGGAGATAAAGTTGCCTAAACTTTTAAAGATGAAATGTTGTAACAGATACCTGTAATTTTTTTCAGGAAAGTTTTTAAACTTTGAAAACAGATGAGAAGTTGCTGACCTTATTGTGAACAAGTGTTAGCCTCAAATCAGGTTTTATGATGGCGTAGGCCATCAGCAGGTCCTGCACTTTCTTCAGTTCCTCCTTGCACTTCTTGGTTGAGGAATAGTACTGACGCCTCACTGGGAGATTCTTGAAAAGCTTCAGTACGCTCACTGTAGTACCTGGAAAACACAAAAATTAAAAGTGTGCAACAGCTTTTGATGTTTTCATTTTCCTGCAATGAGGCTTTACAGCTCAGGTCACCTTTACTCTTAGTCACCTGGGTCCAAAACTTCTGCACAAAATCTTCTTGGTGCAGAATATTTTACAACAAGCTACAAAACTACCTGAGACAAGTGTTAATCACAGTAACAAAATGATCATATAAATAAAAACAAATTTTCCTTGACTGAAAAATCTCTGACAACTTTGAAGTTTCACCTTCAGCTCTTTAATATATGCACTCCTTTTTGGTGCCAGTAACAGGGCTGATTAAATTGCTTATGCTTTACCTTGACCCAAGTGAGAGGGCTTTTTAGAGACAATCTCTCCTGTATGGTTCAGCATGTACTGTGTACTGATGTCGTCCTCCTCTGTCTTTGTGATGACAGACACCTAAAGGGAACAACACAAAAAGACAATAATGAGCTGGGCTACAAAACACATTTTCTTCAGGGCTTCAAGTATTGTTTTCATTGCATGAGTCTGTAAAAATTGCTCCAAAGATGGAATCTTTTGTAAATAACTCCAGTGATTTAACACTTCTCACCTCAGCCACGGCGCAGATGGAGCCCAGCGCCTCTCCCCTGAAGCCGTACGTCTCCAGTCGCTCCAGGTCCTCATGACTGCAGATCTTTGACGTGAAATGTCTCACAGCCATCACAGGAGTATCAGCAGCTTTGATTCCATGTCCATTATCGCGCACTTCTATCCGGTCCAAACCATAGTTCTCCTGCAATGTTAAAGGGATATTCCCAAGTAAAATACATGACTTATTTACAGTTTTAGACAGTCCAAAGATGCAAAGAAGCATGTATAATGTGGGTATTGCTCCTACAGCCAATCTCAGTTGTCACTTCTTACTTGTTGTGATTTCTAGCTCTAGACTTTGAGGACAAAAGTACCAGTTTAATGTCAATGCTTGAGGCTCCAGCATCCAGAGAGTTTTCCATCAGTTCTTTCACCACATTCAGCACAGACGTGATGACCTGAGAGCTGGACAGCAGCCTCACGGTATCTGAAGACAGCTGCTTCATGGTCATTTATGATACCTGTGCAACAAACAATTTGTTTTAGAGAGATGTTGAATCACAAAGTCTAAACTGAGGGTATAGTCTTAGTATTTTAATGTCTACATGGTCCCAGTCAAATAAAACCACATTTCAGGATGCATGTCTTCTGAATTATGATTATCCACTTCCAAATGCAACAAAAAGTAGTAGGATCCGTTAAAGACTGTTAATAATTACACCTACTACTACTTAACAAATACTTGTGCATTCCTGAACTAAACAGACAAGTTATCTTTCGAAGTGAAAAGTTTAGTGTAGTAAAAGAAAATCAAAAACATGTTTTAATGAGTAAAATCACTGATGTGTTGAGGTTGTTTTGGTTGACATTAGCTACCTGCTTCGTGATATTTTGGACCCTGTTAGTCTTTCCGCATTAGTTTGATAATAAATAAATACTCGTACACTTTAATTTGCCCTTACTTTGCATTTTGAGGTTGAAAAACGCTTATTAGTAGTAGTAAAATACTGACCTACAGGAGGCTTTTCACTGCAACCTCGGTTTAATCTTTCATAAACATGACACAGACACACGGGTTTCGCGCCGGAAACGGATTCCCGCCCCCTTTGTGACTCACTGATTGGCTAGATTCGACAAGGGGGCGGGAACAGAAGAAATCATGTTTAGCATTATATCCTGAGTATTGACTGACAGGCAAAACGCTTGGTCAAATAATTTTGAAAATAAGCTATTGTTAGGCTTGTGATGACAAACTCGGGATACTTCTACTTGGATTAATTCATAGATTTAATTTTTGTGCAAATAATATGGATGTTTTGCTCAACTCTCCTGAGAAGGCAAAGTAGAGGTAAAATCTTTCGTCGCGTTGATGAAACCACGTCTACTTCCGCTCGAGTCAGGCTGTTTGCGCTCGTGAACTGCACACATCAACAAGGAGATAAACCATTTCTCTTCATAGCAGTTGTTTCTATAAATACCTCCACTGCTCGTTTCTACCTGCGAGGTTTCAACGCTGGGTGTGTGAGTACCCCACCTTACATTTTATCCACTAAAAATGACGACACGTTAACCTTGTGTGTAATGACGCTGACTAACTTATAGGTAGAAGAGTGTTGGTTCGGTCCGGTCTATGTGCTGAAAACAAAAGCATGTTCAGGAACGTCTCATGTTTACACCTCTACTTTGCAAGAGGAGGCAGAAATCTAAGAACAGATAGCATCGAAATAATGATTCAGCTCGATTTTTTGCGGTTTCGTGTCATTGTACAAACGGCATTTTAACAGCCAAGCAGTTTGCTGAAGCCTTAATGCGATCAGCAAGTAGACTGAGCCAGTGACAGCAGAAAGTACGTATTGTTCCTTTATTATTTAGGTCAGATCCAGTCAGATGATCTTCTCCTGTCGCTTTAGTCATCCACGCAAATGCTGTAATTTCTCATGCAGACTTTATCTTTGACTTTGTGTATTAACAGTCAGTTTATTTAAGTGAACATCAGCACCAGAGATGTTGCAGATATTAAGATTAAGATAGTGTATCTGTCTACATATATATGCCAAGATTTATGTTGGATTAAGACTGAGGTTTGATCAAAAGGAAAACACAATTTGCGAGTTCTTTTATTGGCAGTGGTGCATTGATTCAATATTTGTTCTCCTGTTGTTGTTGAAATAGTGAAGTTGTATTGTTATGTGTGCACACCTGCAGAAAGTCATCATTGCCTTAAATGGATGCAACTTTTAGCCTAATTCCTTCTCTTCAATCCAGCTTGGCAGGTGAATATGTGCCAGAGGACAAAGTGCAAACAGATTACACAATTTGTTTTTCTGTTATCACATTCAGTGTTGCAGGGAGGACAAAGTACTGAAGTTGCTCTGAGATATGCATCTTGGGATAATTGTGGCAAACTGTGTTATACCACTCCAACATCTCCAGAATTCAGAGCTTGTGTAGCGGTTACATTATTGTGTTATGTCAAGTTAAGTAAATGAATAGTTGTGCGAGCATTAGTTGGCTCTAAAAGTGCTTACCGAATGCAGCTGTGTTTCTGTCAAAGCAATAATGAAAATGAAAGTAGTTGAATTTAATAATGCATTAAAGTGAAAGATTTTTGGCCTTGACATTGTTCTCCCCCCACACTTTGAAGGGAACATTGCAGGGAAAGAGAACTCCTGCATATGTCAAAGTCCTAAATATTGTTGGCATGATATCTGTAATAGCAGATAAAAAAAACTATCAGTTAAAGTAGGGCATATATACCAACATTTCTGCTGACATGTACAGCTGATAAGGCATGGCATGGATTATTTATATGGGCATGATAACAGTTAACATTTATCAAGGATAAACTTCAACTAGGGCCCAACCGATAGGGTTTTTTTGGGGGCCGATGCCGATACCGATTCGGGGGATCCGATTACCGATCAATCGGCCGATTTTTATTTTTTTATAAGTTACCGCCGCCGATCGGTGCCTCCGCGTCTTAACTCACATTACTCATTTCCGATCCGGTCTCATCTGGAAACATGCAGCTGCCTCAGTGAGAGAAGTAGCTAGATAACGTTATGTGTACTGTTGTTTATTCTACCGTTACTGGCACGGCTAACAGTGTAGCAAGGCTAATAGCAGATGGCTAACTCTAACTTTAGCTTGCATATTACATGGTGCTTCACTGTTAATTTGGTGTGACTGAGACCAGCACAGCGGGGAACATGGTGAAGTGGGTTGAACTGAAACTTGTTGACTTATTGTGTATTTCACAAACTGGTTTATTTACCGTTGAGGCGGACCACTCTCCTCCGTGCGTCCCTGAGCTGCCTGCTTCAGATCCGTCACTCTGCTGTGCTGTGAGGTAGTTAGTGGATGAAGATTGTCATGAGGTCACTGCGCCATCTACAGGATAAGTCAGGGAACTTTTCAAATGGCGGAACATTTTCGAAGTGAAACCGAATCTTATTCCCCGCATTTATTTCTGAAGATATTGGCGAAAATCGGCGAGTTTTGGTGGATTACCGATTAGTCTCAAATGGGCTAAAATTGGCCGATTTAATCGGCTCACCGATAAATCAGTCGGGCCCTAATATTTAGACAATTACAGGAGTGCATATTACCAATAACTATTTTCTATTATCATCTGTTTATAACACGTTGTTCCTGAATCAAAATTACTTCCAAAAACACTTTTCCACCCCTCATTTGGCAACAGTAAAGTTGAGGATGGATGATATTAAGCTGGTCTTCATCTGACAGCACCAAAACAGTGTGAAAGTGTTGCAATCATGCCCAGGCTGCATTCCAGCAATGAACAAGGCAGCAGTCTGAGTGAGGAAGCATTATTGTTTATTCAGATTTTCTTATTTATTGCCGTTTAGACTTTTGCAATACATTATTGGAAACGCTTACTTTGCAATAACATTAAAACTGAACTTTTAAGTATGAATGAAAGACCCGTCAGTTGCCTCTACCTCTACTAAGACTCAAAGCAACAATCATATTTTTGCATGTCTGTTTTAAAGGGAATACAAAAATAATTTATGCTACAATCAGATGTTGATTATCTTTTTACAGCTGGAGGACAGGTTGAATGCCAGGACTGGAGAGACTTGATCTTATTTGCAATGAAAAGAAAGTTTATTTATTAAAATATGTGTCAACCAAAATGAGTTAAAATATCAGTATATTGTATACCAGCAAAGATCCACTGTTGTGCATCCTGATATGCTGTCCTCACCTGATTATCTGAATGTTTTTGTTTTTTTTCAGACCAGAATGAATGTGGGTGTGGCACACAGCGAGGTGAACCCAAACACTCGGGTCATGAACAGTCGGGGGATCTGGTTGACCTATGCACTCGGTGTTGGCATACTTCACATCGTCCTCTTGAGCATTCCCTTCTTCAGCGTGCCGGTGGTGTGGACTCTCACCAACGTTATACACAACTTTGTAAGTTTCAGTGTCACAGTCTCTCTGCTGCTCACCGGGCTGAACAAACAAACTGGGCCAATCACGTAACTGCCAAGTAACTCCAAGAGTATGAAAACAAATAAAACATTCATCTTGAAGAGGTTAACTTGATAGTTAGTTGTGGCTGAGAAGGCCAAATGAATCTTGCATGTGTTTGCAGCGGAACAGCCTGGTGTCTGTTACTCTCTTTTCTGCGCGCTTATCAAGATATCCTCTATTTTTGGAGCGGCTTTGGTTTGGCAGCCTAAAGCGTGACCTATTACGATCATTTCCTTACTGCCCATCGGGTCTGTTGCAAATCTGACCTTTCATTGTTCCCAGGCTGGACTGGCTGAAGAAACAAAGTCGATGTGTGTGACATCATGAAGTTGTGCAAGCTCGAAGCAGTTAACAAGGATTTTGTATCACGGCCAATACGGAAGGCTATTAACAGTAACCAGCGAGGTCAACTATGGCCTTTTGTTTTCACACAATGCTGCAGCAGTGTGCTGATTATGACATGGCTGGATGCCAGCGCTTTAGTTTGATTACTTTTACCTCTGTAAAGCAGGTTTTTCCACTTAAAGCTGCATTCTTGTATTTTGACGTAGTGGCTCGTAACTGAAAAAAAGTGTCGATCCCAAGATTGAAAACTTCGCCACTGTCTGCGTCAACAGTCTGCTCTGTTTTCTGTCGGTAGCTCCACCACCCGAACTCAGTTACCAAAAATAGGCTGTGACTTTATCATTGCAAGTTTGAACTATAATTTTTTTTTACCACAAGTAGAATTAACATGCTGTCTTTTCAGGAGGAAAAAAACCTGAACTGTTTTAACAAAGCTGCAGTAGTCGAGGATAAAACTAAGTCCATATGACCCCCTAATGACTTATGGTGCAGTGAATGATTAAAACAAACCAGCCAGTCGTTTTAATCAGTTAGCTTTGGTCTTGTTCTCCACAGACTACTTCAGCACTACCACACTACAGCCTATGTTTTTGTCTCCACAGGGAATGTATGTGTTCATGCATGCAGTAAAAGGCACACCCTTTGAGACCCCTGACCAAGGAAAAGCCAGACTTCTCACACACTGGGAACAGCTGGACTACGGCGTGCAGTTCACTTCATCTCGAAAGTTTTTCACCATCTCTCCGATCATCCTGTACGTATTACATATCCCACAATTTGGTTTCTAATTTGGAATTAAGTGCATTTTACAGTTAGTCTGACATCCACACTTGAAATAGGTGTTTCTTTATCACTTAATATACCTTTTAAATGACAAATAGACCTTTCTCAGTGATTGTGGACTTATCCAACAAATATAGACACAACCTTAGTATTTACATAAGACTCTTTAACATGTAAGCCAACAGGATAGAAAAATAAACAGCAGTGTTTCATCACGCAGGCCAAGTGCTTAAAGCTGGGGTAAGCAACTTTGAAAACACTTAAAAACAAAAAGAATTTAAAAGAATCAGTGAAAAAATGCAGAAATACTGAAACCACTCACTTTGACACATGAAAATTTACCCCCTGCTCACTACAGCAGAGGTGCATGTTTGCAAGAGAGTATTTTGAAGAGGAGAGCAGCACCAAGTTCTGACCCGTGACAGTATAAAACTTCAATTTCTGCTACTTTTGCATAGTGAACTATTTTCAAACTGTATTTATTGAACCTTTATTAACCAGGAGAAAAGTAACACACAAAGAGCAGCAAAACATAACATACACTCACCAAGTAAATTTATATGAAACAAAAAACAAAATCAAATACTCTTTATAATAATATCCGCAGCATGCGAGTGCTGAGAAGAGGCCTGCATGTACAGTACAACACTATAATCCAGCACGGTCTTAACAGTGGGAGGGATTAATCTCTTTTTGGACTCCAAAGGAAGGAGGTATTTGATTCTAAAATAAAAGTCATGTTCCAAGTTTAATCGTCTCATTAGCTGCTGAATCGAAGGTGTAAACAAAAGAGAGTCTCTGATTAAAACAGTGAAAGAAACTGCCATCGTGCAAAAAAGGAATAGGCAGAGTTTGGGAGTTGATTCGTCTCATAAAGGCTGAATAAAGTGACTGAACAGATTAATATCAGGTACCTTAAAGTGATACTGTCCTTTTTTGATGTTGGAGGATTTACCACAAAATTCAGTGGATACATAACAAGGCAGACTTGACTGCTTGCATAACCTTTTAACGGCTTTTCTCCCTCATTAAGTCATAATTATGCATTCAAAGAACAAGGCGGCTCGCTGTTGAGTAAATGAACTGGTGGAGTTGAAGACAAGTAGAGGTGGTGGCATTGGTTTCAGCTAATTAGTCGTGGGCAGTGCACTCATCCTTTCTCCACAAAAAATCAATGCTTCTGTCAGCTGCTGTACCGCTGCAGGGTGGCTAAAATAGATGGTTCTAGAAAGAGATGTGTATCTGCATAACACAATTTGCAAGTCCCCAAACAGACTGTTTTATTCACCGCCATATCTGTCTGACCTCCTCCACATCGCCACACCCGCCTGCTCACTCAGGTCATCTTCCTCCACCCACCTCTCCGTCCCTCCTGCTTGTCTGGCAACCATGGGGAGCAGAGCTTTCAGTCGCTCTGAAACACTACATCTCTCTGTTTGTTCAAATCCCAACTCAAAACATACCTGATTAGACCCGCATACTCCACCTGACCTATAGCACTGTATCCCCTCCTTTATTTTAATGTATATGTGTATTTATATGATGTTTTAATGTATTCTATTGTATTTGGTTTTAATCTCATTTCACTTTAAATCTTTTATTATTGTTCTATAATCTATTTATATTAAAAGGCGACCTTGAGTGCCTTAAAGGGCGCCTTAAAAAATAAAATGTATTATTGTTATTATTAATATTATTACCTTGGAGACTTACATTATGGGTTTTATGGTAACTTGTTCATCGCTCTCAGGATGTAAAGATAAATAAACAACTATAGAACATGTGCATTTAAACAAAGTTGCTTACCCCAGCTTTAAGTTTTTCTTTAATCCACGCCTGCTGCATGTGTGAGAACTTCACCATGTGTCAGGGCTTATCCAGCTGCTCAAACACTTCTCCAGGTATGGTGAAGATGACGTTTTCCAGGAGCTCAAAGGTTACGCAATTTCAGCCAGAAAGTTCAGGAGATAGTCAGGCTCTGGGTGTGTGTTATGACTGAACCTGATTGAGTAATATATACTTGCTAGTTAATCTCTCATAGTGATCATTTTCAGGCTGATATGAAACTTTTGGGTTTATTTGTTGTATTAATCGATCTGTTTTTGCCCCGCAGCTACTTCCTGGCAAGTTTCTACACAAAGTACGATACAACACACTTCATCATAAACACAGCTTCACTTTTGAGCGTCCTGATCCCAAAGCTGCCGCAGCTACACGGAGTGAGACTGTTCGGTATTAACAAGTATTAAGTTATTGTGAAGCTGCGCCTCCCAGCAGCAGCAGCAGAAGTGAAGTAATGTGTAGCGTGTTACCCTGGAGTTGTACAGTTTGTGTAAATGTCACTGTTGTCGTTTAGATATATCAGGTTTAAGATGAAATGTTAAAAAACAGGAGTAGGTGTGTAGGTGACAGGTTGCCATATGCATTACTAACTTATGTGAATATTTAATGAGGTATTTTTGGCCTGCATAGACCCGGGCTGGCCCAGGTGACAGTGAGGCTTTTGGTTGTTTTTCTCTTCTCTCCCGTCTTTGCCCTCCAATTCACACGGTAACACAAATTGTGAGTCTGTTTCTAGCCACAAAAATGTCCCAAATGTATTTTTCAAAGATGTTTACTTTCTAAGGGTGGCTCAGTATTAATTGGCACACTCTCATTTTGTAATGGGTGTCAAAGGTCTTCATGCTGAGTGGAAAATGGAATCGTTTCTTTACCTGCATGATCTCCACGGTGTGTGAATCATTTCTCATTTGTATCTCAATCAGAAAAGGGCAGGCTTTTTTCATTGTACAGATTTTTTGTGAATGTTATGTCCTGTATGTAGAAATGAGATAAATAATTGTTGTCAGGTTATGTGTTTACTAAGAGAGGTCTGCAGTGTCTGTGACGAACTTACATTCATGTAGCTGCTCTCTTTAGATTACAACCTTTTTGCTATTATCAAGGCAGCTAGTCCTGCTTTGTTTGGCCATAGCTCATAGTACTCTTGATATTTCTTGTTCTTAATCTTATTAAAATGTTGGTGCCCTCCAAGTGTGTCACTGTGGTGCTTTGCATTTATCCTAATTAAAGACCGTAATGAGACTTTGAGCTCCTTTTCAAAAAGCTTCAAAGTGCAGAATAAGGTACTTACCCGCATTTAGCAGCTTTAGTTGAAATTATAGTACAGATGACTTAATGCAGATCATTTTTTTTGTTTACCAGAGTGAGCCTTTAAGGTAGGTCATTACAGATTGGTTGTTTCTTAATTTCTGGCAGCAGAAATACAAATAACTGCATAAAATATCAAACCGGACTAAACTGGACGGCATGCAGGAGATAGAGCTCAAGCATCTTTACTTGCAGCAATAAATCTGCTGATGATATATCAATGCTTCTTCTGCTAGTGACCAAAGTTTTCATGTGTAGAGGTGAATGTTCACAGTGACCGGATTCAAAATTTCATTAAAAATCTGAAAAATAAGTTTAAAACACTTTAGTTTGTGTAGTTAATGACAAATCAAATCAAATGTTGCCTCTGTTGCCCGTCCTTGACCCTATCCACAGCCTTTCAGTACAACCAAAACATGTTCAAAACTTTATTAAAAATATAATTATGAAATAAAAAATTATTCCTGTGGTTACTTCTGAGAGAACAAAGTTACATTTTCTAATAAAAGTAAAGCAGCTCTCATCTTTTCTCCTGTAAACTGTTCCTTTTGGTTTGGTCTAAGCTGCTCAGATCCTCACACTGCTCGCCCAGGACTCCTTTGTAGACCTCAAATCGATGGTTCAAGTCCTTCTGGGAGTGGATTTTAAATTTCGTCCCTAAGGCTCCGTCAGCAGAGGCAGCGCCGTAGAAAACACGACCAACTCTGGAGTGTACCAGAGCCATGGCGCACATAACACAAGGCTCTCTGGTCACATAGAAGTCATACCGGGTGCATATGTACGGCTGAGAGCTCCCCTCTGAGTCAGGAGGATTCTCAGTGGTCGCTAAGGTTGGAGCAGTGAATGTACAAGTAGGATACTTGTCAAAAGAATAACATCCTCCACCCTGACTCTGAGCCACAAGGTCGATGCAGACCATCACAGCATGATGAAGAGGATGGTCACCCCTGCAGTCATGACCCACTGCAATGACTCGCTCCATCACAGGGTCGACCACCACTGCACCCACTGCCTCCATTCCTAACTCGTGTCCTGCTCTGGCTGCAGCCACAGCAGACATCATGTATGTGTGCATCATGGATTTCTGAGCTGGACCAAAGAGCTCTCCTTTCAGGGCGACGGTCACCTGTTTGTCCTCGTGAAAGGATGTGGGCCAGTGTTTGCTCGCCAGCTCAAACTGGGGTCGGGTCAAAGGGGGACGCGCAGGGACCTTAACCACAAAGGGTTCACCCAATCCCTCAGGTTTAACTTTATCTGAGGGGAGCAGAGACTTGATGTCGACCACCGTCATGTCTGGAGCGTCACTAACGAGGCACACGAGGACTTCCAGAGGGTGAGGGCTGCCCTTCGCCTTCACCGCCCGCACCCTCTTGATGTGCTGAAGGCTGTTCAACGGGTAATGGCTGCTCAGCTCCCGGACCAGTCGAGACGTCTCTTTTTTGTTGACAATGGGTGCAGCAAAAGCCTCTATTAGCTCGACGTCTTGTGACTGCTCATCTGACAGTACAGGATAAGCAACCCAGGAGTCTGTGTCGCACTCTGAGCCCTTCCAGCGTTTGGTCTGTGGCTCCATTGTTGTGCTGCTCTCCTGTGAAATATGAGTTCACACCAAAGTCAAACAAAGTCAGGGCATGTTGAGGACAGAGCTTAGGATGACAAAGCCTTAAAGAAACTAAACCTAGTCTTTGTAACACAACAACACAGGAGACCTTTCAATATAGCTTTGTAACATCATATTTCTGTAAAAAGACGAGTCCTAACAGCGTAAACAGATTTAAAACTCCCATTTTTAATCAGAATGACTTCAAACATGCAACATTATCTCTGAACAAACATCTCAAAATCAAACATACTCTGGTGGTTACATAACACAGTGGTTCTCTATTTAATGCATTTATTTGTTTCTGACGACAGGTCGGCCAGGTCTGGTGCAAGAGTTTTTTTTTTCCTATATATTCAATCTCAAAACTCCACCGAAAAAAGAAAAAGAAAGAAAAACAACAAGCAGAAGTTTGAAAAACATGAGTTACTGTTCCTGGCAGCTGTTTTAGACCACGCATGAACCGGTTGTGATCACAGTATGGATTTAGCAGAACAAATAACAAAAAAACTTCACTCTGGTGAAAAACAAAGTGTAATTAGGCCGAAGTTTCTCAATAAGCTCAAAATATCATCCTAAGTATATCATATTTAACTGGAAAGGAGAAGAAAAAAACAGTTCAGGGATATATCTATTTTTATAAACATACAGATCTAAAATAAGAAGTGCATAACCGAAAGTAGATTTCAAAGCTTTTTATTCATATATACATATATGTAGTGCTGATGTTGATGGTGGTTGATAAATGCTGACTCTTGTTAAACAGTTTTCATTCATTCAAAATGTAAATAAACAGATTATTCAAACGTTTTCACCCATTGTTAACCATTACTGCTTGTTTTTTGATCATAAATTCAACATAAATTAAACATTTATCCTAAAAAAAGATTCTTAAGACTGTAAAAGACACCATTATTAACCACTAATGGATGCTTGTTTACTTTTCCAGCTTACAACAAAAAAATTCTCACCTTCTACAATCACATACACATTATGCCATAGTTTAAACCGATAAATCCTCTTTAAATTCAGATCCTCTTGGTCTTCATGAATAAAAAAAAAAAAAACACCATTATTTACCATGGCCATCATTTGTTCCATGCTTGACACATAATAAATCCATAATTTTAACAAATCTTGGTGCACCCTAAATGTATGATAATACTTGGTAGTTTCCAGAGAAGCTCCAACAGCTCTAGAGGTAAGATCACTGAAGGCAGCACTTATTTTTAAGAAAGCTTGTGGTGATCCATCACAGTTGTAAAGTTGTGTACACCAAAAATAACAGCACCTGTTCTCCACGTTTGGCTCTAAACATGTAAAAAGCTGCTGTGCAATTAGCAATTTAGTGTGCACAACTTTATAGTCAGCGGCCCACATAGAGGAGACTCCCATTGATCGTGAATCGTTGTTGCAGAGCCAAACAAAGTTTGTAGTGTCATGGCAAACATGAAGTCTTCATTTCCTTCCCAGGATAAGCCTGTTCTTCATGACTTTTGGCACGTGTCGGATTGTCAGTGATACTCTAGTGCCTCTGGTCAGAGTCTCGTCCTGTAGACCCCCAGCAGCAGACAGGTTCGCCACTTTATCTGTGAGCATATCCTCAGCACAGGGCTGGATGCCATGAAGGAGACGCTGGTACATCTCGTCCTGCAGGATCAGGAGACTGCGCGGCTTCACCAGCAGAGAGAAGAGGAAGCGGTTCTCCTCTGTCTGCAGCGAGTCGTCTTCCAGGCTGCTGATGGGAGCGTAGAAGTCGAGGAGGGTGTGAGAGCCCAGGCTGATGGTGGTGACTGTAGGGTGGTACAGAGGGCCGTCTTCATGAGGCATAATCCCTTCTCCTTGTTTGTACTCATTCACCAAAATATGATTGGCTGTCTTCCCACTGAAAGCACCTAGATGAGAAATTCTCTCACAGTACGTCTGGAGCCAGTCAGGAATCTTTTCTGGGAGCATGCCTTTAGGATGTGGTAACCCTCCCCAGTTCTGGAGCCGTCTGCCAGACAGCTGAGTCCACTTAGTTTTTGGTGACTTGTACACCTGCTGCAGAAGGTAGGCCTCTTCATCCTCTGTTATAAAATCTGGGATGTAATATGCTGTTGGTGGTGCACCATTTACGATAAACTGCTTCAAATCCTCCAAAATACAAGCAGGGTGTTCCATGCCTCCTTTGGAAAAGGCAACATAAAACGCTTATTAAAACCCAAGATTAAAAAGGAGCTTACACTTGTTTCACTCCTTAGGAATAGAAAGGGTCTAAAATGCACCACAGTGGTTTTCAGATACGTCTATTTGGAAAAGCAGCAACTAAGACAGGAATAATTACATCCAAGTTAGGTGTAGGGTCACAAATTAGTGAGATAATACAGATTTAAAGGGATATTCCTGCATAAAATTAAGTTGGGGTCAAACACACCTTAACACCAAGTTAGACTCCCCCTTTAAGAGATGAATGTTGCCGACTACTTTCTTCTCTAGTTATACCAACTTTAGTAATGACCACAGATAGCAACACAGAGAACACAGCAACACAGAAGTTAGGTGCTGTTCTGAGCATTATCTGTGGCTATAGAGTGGCGTTTTGGTTGAGCGTGTGGCTCTGTGTATTGCTATCGTGCGGTCGTTACAAAAGTTGGTTGACTAGAGAAGCAAGCAGTCGGCAACATTCATCTCTGGAGGGGGTTTCTAACTCAGTGTTACGGTGTGTTTGACCCTAACTTAATTTTACGCCGGGATATCCCTTTAACATCAGATACAAGCAACAGCAGCAGTCATACAACCACGTGACTGGACTTTTCCTGGTTTGATGATAGCATTAGCTACTTCGAGCTTCCCAAAGGCCATTATAATATACACTCTATGACCTGAAATATATGTCTAAATCAGAGTGAAGTTCACTGATATCTATGAAATACACAGATGTCCACTTCTTTAGCGTTGAATAACCAGCTTACTGCAGGAAAATCCCAAACACTAAAATTTTAGGTTATGTTGCATTCACTGTCCTCGTCCTTTGAAACACGTAAAGCCAAAACGATTACCGCCACGCTTCGAATAGATATATTTACTTCAAAATCATTACCAAATTGATTCTTATGTCAGAGCTTCTCTGTTTAGTTATAGTCATTAGTTATTCGTTTCTAATCATTCCATCAAATCACAGTTCAAAGTGAAAACCATCTCACAAATGACATATATCTATTATTTTAAGTCATTTCAGTTGGGGAAAATATGACATTTATGTTGTTATATTTAGCAGTGGCTATTTGGTGACGTTCCTACGAAAATCAGCCCCAAACTTTACATTAATGCTAACTTTATTGGTGATATCTGTCGTCGAGTGACATAAACCCGACATTTCTGATGTCCGTGAATGCAACACAGACCTCTACATGTAAAAGCTTTCTATAAAATTCTGACAAATAACCATCTTTGTGAAGCAGTTAGCACAGGAAGGAAACAGTCTCAAATAATAAAAGAAGCATTACAAAATTACGGACTTTTAAAGTGTTGAATTTACCTTTTTTTCATAGAATTTAGATGGAAATACAGTTCCGTGTGGTTAGCCACTCGAGCTCATGCTCTCGAATTGCCAAGTAGTAGTCGAAGTAGTAGTCGAAGTAGTATCTAGCATGTCCGAATTGGCCACCGGAGCGAGTAGCATGCTACTTCAGATACTACTTCAGATGCTAGACACGCCCACATTGTAGGTTGGTCTCGGTGCATCCTACGGGCATGCTACTGACCCAAAATGCACCGCGGGCTTCTTTTGATTGTTGAATGTGGCCAAGAAGGAACTATAATTTACACAAGTACGGAATTATTTATATGCTGCACACAGGACGGCTTTGTAGTAGTTGGGACAAAATGTCAGAACAGCAGCAGCAGGCGGGACCGCAGCCGTACAGATGTAAGTTTCATGAAACTTCACACATTGTCCTAAACAATGTGCGGTTGTATCTCTTTGTCATGTCATGGTGTCATATTTGCCCAAGTAATCATTTTATGAGCAAGTGGCGACATCATGGAGGTAAAGCTCACTTATTCCATCATTAAACTGCACAGCTGCAGTACTACAGCCAGGCCCGCAGATGAGGGGCTTCAGTTACCACTGTCTGCACGGGCGCAGTACCTACTCTCTGCCTGCGGGGGTCGTCTTTCCCCACCGCTCGTCTAGTGTGTCCGAATTGGGCCAACGTTTTTAGTATGTAGGAGTAGGATCTAGCAGTAGCACGTAGCAGTAGCATGTAGGATCCGAGCGGGCAGTTCGGACGCAGCAGAGCTCATGCTCTCAGTTTGTGCAGCGGGTAAAAATGTCCCCGGAAAAGAGGTCCAACTATGCTTTATTTTTAAAGTCGTCGGTTTAGAATTGATTTTTATAGGAGGGGGAGGTTAAATGTTATATATTCGGAGAGTTTGGTTCCACAAAGTTAGCAGGGATTTTGATTGTTGAATGTGGCCAAGAAGGAACTATAATTTACACAAGTACGGAATTATTTATATGCTGCACACAGGACGGCTTTGTAGTAGTTGGGACAAAATGTCAGAACAGGTGATTACTTAGTGCTTTCTGCTCGAACCTGCACTGGATTTATGTGGCTTATTTGTCAAGATTTGTCCCGTTGAAAACTAATTACACGCTTCTCTTCATTTGCCTCCTTTTTTTTCGAGTTTAAAATCCAAATAACCATCAATGTAACAGTCCAGGGTTTTAGTAAAGGCTAGATTAACTGTCATGATCATGTTCCCCTCCAAAGTTAAAGCTCTTAGAGGCCTGCTACAGTTTAGAAACACTCTTGGGTGCTCGTATTCGTTGAGAAAAGCCCGTCTTTCCAGACTAGTGCTGGGCATTGAGACGAGCTGTGATGACACTGGAGCTGCTGTGGTGGACGAGAGTGGACAGATACTGGGAGAGTCTCTGCATTCACAGACAGAGGTGCATCTCAGGTGGGTGTCTGAGCTGCATTTAGTGATTAGAGCTGTTGCATTTTTTATTTTAAATGCTTAAAAGAACCACTTAAATTAGCTTGTTAGCATCAAGACTTTTTAGCTTTGTCAGGAACCTCTATTTCAACAAAATAAAAAATGAAATTGACAAAATTATAAAATGCTTTTATTAAAATTATGGCACTTGTCGTGTCAGGGTCGCTGTTGACCCGGTTAGATGACCTGGTTATTGTATTGTCTGGGTTTATTATGACAAATTAAATTGGCCTTCAATTCGCTTTTGTTCTTTATTTGTTTTATTTGTCATGTGCTGATGCTTTGCAACTGTTTGTCAAAGCACTTTGTAAACTTCTGTTTTTAAAAGTGCTATAAAAATAAAGTTATTATTATTAGTAGTAGTAGTAGTATTCCTACCCATACTCCTAACTATCTTACTGTTTATGTTCTTCAACACACCATCTGTTTAATTGCATTTTCTCTTTTTCACACCTCTGGTTAGATACTGAACTGCATTTCATTGTTCCTGTACTTGCACTGTGATCAATGACAATAAAGTTGAATCTAATCTAATCTAATTATTAGTATTATTAGATCCATATCCAATAATCAGAGCAAAAACTGAAGTCATAAGTGCACTGTCAGGCAGCCTAACAAGGTAACCTAGAGATGAGAACCAAATTTGATGATAGAGAATTGTTTTTAGTGTAATTTACAGCTGATTTTAGTCACGGGTCAAAACCGACCCTTAATATGGTGGATGCGTAGTAAAAGCTAACACAGGAGGAAGATTAAGCCTTTTCTTTGATATGCTCTTTGCTCTCTTGCATGCTGCAGGACAGGAGGTGTCATCCCCCCAGTGGCACAACAGCTCCACAGAGAAAACATCAAGCGTGTTGTCCAGGAGGCTTTAGACATGAGCAATGTGCACCCGAGTCAGCTCTCAGCTGTAGCCACCACTGTGAAGCCAGGCTTGTCCCTGAGCTTAGGGATCGGCGTGGAGTTTAGTCAGAGGTTTGTGAGGCAGCACAACAAGCCATTCATCCCCATCCACCACATGGAAGCTCACGCCCTCACTGTGAGGATGCTCCACCCTGTCGCCTTTCCTTTCCTGGTCCTGCTGGTGTCTGGTGGACACTCGCTCCTGGCTTTGGCTCGAGGAGTAGATGACTTTCTGCTTCTTGGTCAAAGTTTGGATGTAGCTCCAGGAGATGCGCTGGATAAAGTAGGACTTTAACGTTGAAATGAAGTTGTTGTTATCGGTTATTATGTACTCATTGTGACAGTACACTCAAAAGAACTTGTGCTTTTTTTCATTCTCAGGTGGCGAGACGTTTGTCCCTCAAAAATCACCCGCTATGCTCCAAACTAAGTGGAGGACAAGCTATAGAGCTGTTGGCAAAGGATGGTGACAGGACAAGGTTCCCTTTAACCACACCTATGGGGAAAACAAAAGACTGCAGCTTTTCTTTCTCTGGGATACGCAACCAGGTCACAATGATGATACAGAAAGAAGAGGCAGAGGAAGGTATGAGAAAAGACAAAATGATTAAAATAATCAATGCACCAGTGATCATAACTTAAACATTATTGCTGTCAGGTCATTGAATTGTATTTTACCTGGTTGATTTTGTAACCGGTGCAGGTTGACATGTTCTTTGCTGAACCTCTTGTCTTGATAAGCCACATAGGTTATCTCTTTTTCCCTTCCCCTGTAGGTGTAGAAGAGGGGACGCTCTTATCATGCGTGAATGACATCGCAGCAACCACACAGCACACGGTGGCCGCTCATCTGGCGAAGCGAACACATCGTGCAATCTTATTCTGTAAAGCAAACAACCTGCTGCCATCAAGCAACCCCACCTTGGTGAGTGCTGTTTTTCACTTTCCTTGATTTTTTTTTTTCATCCTGGTGTTAAACATGCAAAAAACTCACATGGGCTGAAGTGCACACATACGCACAAACCGGCTCCTATAGACATACATGAACAGGGGAGGTATTAGAGTAGCTTACACATGAACAGAAATAAACAGACATTTCTCTTTATGACACACAGAATCAAACAACATCATCAGAAAAAGATGAAATTTTCTGTTTTATAATTTGTAAAACATGTGTACCTTAGACCCTTAAATCAGTAAAAACTGTGAGGATTTAATCATGTATTTCTCTGAGACAGGTGGTGTCTGGTGGAGTTGCCAGCAATCAGTACATCCGCAAAGTTTTGAACATTATTGCTGAGAAGGAAGGAGTGAGCATGCTCTGTCCTCCTGCCAAATTCTGCACTGACAACGGAGTGATGATTGCATGGTGAGTATACCGACTGTCAGTCAGGCTTTGTAACCAAATCTGATCCGCTATCCCTGATGTAGAGCTTGAATAACAGACTTTTTTCTAAACAAACAGGAACGGTGTTGAACGACTAAGAGAAGGGAAAGGGATTCTGCCTCCGAGCGTGGATGTCCCCTATGAACCGAAGTGAGACACAAAGACCAAAGTTTAGAAACAACCAAGCTCCTTTTTTTGTTTTACTTCTGATTAAATCAACATTTCCTGACATAAATGATGTTTTTCAGGGCCCCACTGGGTGTTGACATGTCAGAGGAGGTGAGAGCAGCGTGCATCAAGCTCCCTCGAGTCAAGATAGAGGTCCCCAGGTGACACACTTGCCACCTCTAGATTTCAATATTGTGTATATACCAAAGTGCAAAATAAACAGCTATTTTAACATACACAGTATTTTGTCATACATTAAATACAGAATCCAACAAATGAAAATGTTATCTGATTGTCAGCTGGGCTTTGAAACAATAACGACTTCATATCTGTCATTATAGAGAATGAATGAGTTCCACTAATTGAAAGTGGCTGAAAACACAAAACAATAACCATGGAACCATAAATTAAGGCGTAGGCTGACATAAAAAGGAGACAAATAATAAGTTATTTCCTCCTCTTGTTCCTTGTGTCACAGTGCAGGACATGTTTTCAGTTTCTACCACATTTGTGTCTAATAACAGAAGCAGCTTTTTAGCATCCTGAACACTGTCACAGTAACCAGGGAGTTTTCAGTACTGGTCAGGCTTTATTTGTATGCAGTGCAGACTATTGAGTTTAAAATATTTCCCACAAGAGAAAAAGAATTAACTATCCCTTCTTATGTTTCATACAGTCCTTCCTCTTCTACTGTGTCATCCCAACAGTCTGTGAGGGAACTTCTATCCAGGGTAATCATAGAGAACAGCCTGTTCGGACAGGCCTGCACTTTAAAGATAGAGGACTTAACCTCACAAAAATTGGAAAAGTTCATTAAATTTATTTTTTATTTTTTTAAGTCCGTCCAGCTTCCATCTGTCTAACCTCTTGATAGAAAAATACAATTGCTATCTCATACAGGTATTGAGCTTGTTTCTGTTAGCGTAGCACTGCTCTCTAAAGGCTGGTATATGTAAGTGCAACCTCTGCCCTGTGGATCATCTTTGAATAAACCAGATGATGAAACAAAAACATTTTTATTACAGAACATATGCAAAAAACATAGACAAAAATCTGCATAGAGTTATCCAATCAGTTAAAGGCTGAAATAATTGGAAAAAAATAAACTAAATTCAATTTTTCTTATTAGGATCATCCTCAATCCTCACTGACAATAAAAAGTTAACAGAACTTGAATGCATGTGGAACAAAAACAGCCGTGTTTTGTTCAGACTTCTCTGTCTTTTTGCTTGTTATTCTGGACTTTAACGAGTCCTTGCAGTCACTTTATTCAGACATACATTCAGATCTGAGGACATGGACACAGGTGTGACGTTGCAGACTAGAGGGCAGGAAATTCACAGGTGTGGTGTACATCCATACTCCAATCTGCTTGTGCAACTTTCTGTTTCTTTGTGCTGCAAAAGTATATTAGTGCAGGGACCTGCTTTAACTCAGTGGTTAAATGTACAGAAGTGTTAGTGCTCAAAGCGGGTGGCCCAGGTTTGATTCCTCTTCCTGCAAGAGGTTTTACGACTACTAGCTTTTAGTAGTTGCCAAAAATTTCTAAATACTTATAGATTGGTAATTGAGTAAGAAAGATGCGATAAGAAGTCAATCACTAATGCACAATGAAGGTTGTACTCTGTGACCCAAATGTCAAATGCACTCAACAGTGAGACGTCACACTGTATAAAATCACAGTTTATCTGCGTAAGAAGAAAAGTTAACAGTGTGGCTTTTCAATACAAAACATGCCTTTAGCCTCATCAGAGCCACAGTCAGAGTCAGAGTCACCCACAGCACCCATGAGTTTTTTAAGTCGACTGAGTTGACTAGTCGGTGAAACTCCTACCTGCCACTTATCATCCCCCTACTTTCTTTTCCTAGTTGACGTCTGTATTTACTGTGATGGTTAAATGGATAAAAGCCCCCCAAAACTTGAGAGAAACAGAATTAGTGTGCCCTGAAATGACCTGAACAGACTGAAAGTTAAAAAAAGACTAAAAACCTCCAATAACATTTTTCCCTCTTCCGTAATTACATTTTTTTGTCACAACAACTAAAAAACACTATAAAACCGACCACTCCAAACACTAAAGCTCATCATGCTGATAAACATTATACTCCTTCGCACTAATCAGTCCGTCTTTGTCCTTGTCGTTCTTGTAGAAGATATCAGTCATGATCTTCTCCAGGTCATCCTTTGACTTCTCCTTTTCTTTGTACTGATGCTTCAGATACTCTCTTACCTGAAAAGACAGGAAAGGTTTATCGATACCACTCCAAGATTAGTGAGATGGTTCACGTTTGCAGAATAAAAACAAGATGGCTCACAAAACTCTGCAGCCTTTTTGGAAAAACTGTTACATAAGACAGCAGAGCTCATCCTGTCTGACTGTTCCTGTCTTCAGTTTGTGCCATCTGGAGCCTCTCACAGACTCAAACACTCTTTTCAAGACTCGGCCACCAATCTCCTAAAATCAGGGAGGAATGATTGATTTGCAAAAAGAGTTAAATAATTGGGGTTTCCTTTTTTTAACTTTATATTATCATAGTTTTTTTCATTATTGTGGATAACTACTCGAAGGCAACGTGAGGAGTTTTTAACTGATTTAGAGGGGTGGCAAAAACAGCCAAGCTGATATTCAGCTCTCTGTTTCGAGTTCTGCTGTGAAAGTTTGGCAGCGAGAAGTTATCAGTTATCAACCAGGAGGAGTTTTTTCTTTCAGATTAATTCATTTTTACACAATGTTTTGTTCTCTTGGCTGATACTGGAACATTATTAGCTAAAAGAAAAACCTCAGCTAGTTTCTAGTTTGCAGCTTCCAATTTTGTTGTTACAGGGTAAGTTATGTGAACAAGGTCCTGATCTACAACCACATGAACATTTCACATCTAGACTGTGAAAATAATGATAAATCTAATCATAGTTCAGCCTCTCATTGGCCAGGTTCTTCTAGACAAACTGTTCAGTTATACAGAGGAGCAGCAGGGTTGAGCAGCTCATGATCCTGAGGCCCCCTGATATGTTCACAAAATCTTATAACCTCGAAACAAACCCCTAACCTTTTTCTGTCTGCACTAGTTTTATGGTCAGAAGGTAGGAAGTGAAAGTCACCTCATCCTTTGTGAGAGACTTGTCCTTATCAAGGTCCATCTCGCCAAAAGCCTCCATGCTGCGTGGTCCCCTGGTCACAGAGTAGACCTCCACCTCAAAGATGACTGTGGCGTTGGGCGGAACCGGATCTATTCATTCAGGAGGCAAGAATTAGGATCACATTCTGGTAGACTTGTCATATAATCTCAATTTTTTAAACATTTTCACAGCCATTATTCATCCCCTGCCGACCATTAGAAAGGATTCAGATTTTGCACCTTGTTTCTTGTGCCCCCTTCTTTTGGTGATTTTCAAGATATGTGATGACACCAAAATATCAAACGAGATCAGTAAATTTGACAAGAAGAGAAAATGCTGCAGCAGGAATAACATGCTTAAAAGGTGTTAGTTTTCACAAAGTAGGAAATAAAATTAAAATCAGCAAATTATGGATTTTAGTAATGACATCTGAAACCCAGAATCCCAGCAGGGTCAACCTGACCTTCAGACCATACCACAGCATATTCAGGAAGATCAACATTAAAGGGTTAGTGCAAAATGTTTATTTAGCCGTTAATTTGTTGCTCATGAGCATGAAAGAGTGAATGAAGTAGAGACCTGAAACCTTTGTGCATGCTTACAGTTCATGCCAGGGCAGGATGAGAAGCAAACACTTGAAGAGGTGTGAAGCCTCTTCAACTAAAATGCTGTAAAAGAGGAAAAGACAGCGTAAAGGCAGCTCAGAAATACACAAAACAGATGGTAATCACCCTCAAATAGTATACTATAATACTTTAAAAGACGATGAAGAGCAGATATAGTTTTTCTCAGATATAATTTTGGCTGATACTGTAATACTGTCTGCATATTTTTTCAACAACTGCGTCTGATGTGTCTGTTTTTATATTACGGTTCAGACTTGGAATGTAAGATTTCAATCCCTGGTATGTCTTTCGGCAAAATTAAGAGTTAAGTTATCGACATATTTACTAACAGGGGTAAGACTGATGTAAATTTGAAAATTACTTTTTGTTAGATTACTTACGTTTGCCCTTTTCTCCAAAGGCCAGGGCAGGTGGAACAGTGATTTTTCGTTTCTCTCCAACACACATACCCTCCATCCCCATGTCAAGGCCCTTGATGATTTGTCCAACACCCTGCACAAACCACTGAGGATGCCCATCTTTGTCCGACCGACTGCGACAGAAACAGAGCAAAAGGTCTTGAGAAGGCATGTGGACATTTTAATATTTCCCTAAAGACTTTCTTCACCCTCAAAATGTCCCTACTGTCCCTGAATACACCATGAGTCCAGGAGGGGATTTTTGAAATTGTTCTTATAGTATATGATGAACTACAATTCCCAACACCTAATGCTCCTATCTATTAGAGAGTAGAGTACAGGCTGTAACTAAATCATGCAAAGAACGGAAAGCGACTCTATTAAGAAGTACTGCAGAGCCTAAAACTTTGCATTGATTTTGTACTTGAATAGTACCAACCTGCAGTAGAACTGTGTCCCATCCTTGGCGAGGTATCCGTCGTAATGCGCGTTCATCAGATCTCCTCTCTTGCTCTTTTGGGTGCATTGCTCAGGCTTGTATAAAACTTCTATTTTGACCTCTTCTTGCGGCTCATCAGCTGCAGCCCAAACAGACCATAGACTTATCTGTGAAGAGACAAAGAGGCACAGTGTGCAGCTCAACAACCTCCACATCTTTCAGCTGTGTGTGTATTCGTGGCAACTTCTGAGAAGTGACGCTTTAACACTATGGCAGAGGACGTGGGGAGCTGGCTCTTATGTTTGGGGTAAATCTGCCCTGAGTGAAGACTGTCTGGTATTTCCTCCTCCACGTGTGAGGAACAAAATCCCGCCTCCTTCGCGATAACAGACGAAAGATATGGCGGTGGCCCTCCCTAACACCGCCCATCGACGGGGGAGCTTTGAGCGTACAATCTGCCTGACAGACAAAGCTAAGGGTAAATAAAACCAACGTGACAACATAGACCGTATATACTAGATATACTCAGAATCACAAATACTTTAATGATCCCAGGGGGAAATTGCTTTTGTCACGGTACTCCAGTGCAAATACAGTAAAAAGAGGAGGTACATAATAGATAAAAATAAGTACAATAAGTAAAAATAAAGGGATAATATACAAGTATTTACACTATATACAACACAAATAGTAACATTGTATGCATGTTACTATACAGTTATAAGTCTACCTTAATAAAAGAATAATTCCTATTGTTATAATATATCTATTTATTGCATTGCAGCACCTTCCTACAGTAAAATCAAGAGTAAAAGCAGCTATTGATACTTGTCTGGCCCTAATTTTATTACTTTATTTTCCTGATTGATTCCCTTACAATATTCACTCTTTTATTCTTTATTTGTACCATTCATTCCTGTTTTTGCTGACATTAAATTTCTCTCACCAAGTGGTAATATTTTGTACATTTTAATGCTGTTGTTGCTGCCATAATTGGATAATTTTCTCTCTGGGACAGTTACAAACCATCTGTCTATCAGTAAGATAGTAAACATGCTGACCCTTTGGTATAAGAGAGTCGAAATAAATCTAATATTCTTGTTTATCAAAATGTTGCAGATTGTGGTTGTGGTGATAGTGTACAATTGGATACAGACTATTATTACTGCAGTGATATTTAGAAAAAAAAACGAAATTTATCTTTATTAAAATGAATCTATTTACTTTATTTGGACCTTGCAAAATAAAGATTATAGCATTATGCATCTGAAGGGAGGAACTTTTCTCCCTGGGTATTATTAAAGTATGTCTGATTCTGAACTTACATTTAACAGAAACCAAATTTTACTGTTACAAAACATATGACAAGGCAGTTGGCAGCACAACAAACAGAATTTCTCACATAAAAATTTAGATATAATATGGCTTCATTCTTTATCGAAGCATTTAGATAGATAGATAGATAGATAGATAGATAGATAGATAGATAGATAGATAGATAGATAGATAGATAGATAGATAAGGGGAAATTCGAATGTGCTTCATTTTATGAGAGCACTGTCATTTATGAGCAATAGTCATGAGATTTTCACAACCTTGTAAAGTGAGAGGCTGAATTTTCCAAGCGCTTTGAATGCAACCGTGACAATAGTTGATTGACATATAGACGCTCCATTAGGGAACCATAAAAATGTTCATGAAGGCGGGGCTAAACTAATTCCACCAATGAACCCAGAGGGGCGGGCATTGATCTTCTATATATATTAGGACACCGGCACAAGTGAGTCATCGACACTCAGACAGTAAACGTGTTTCGAGACCCTCACGCTCACCTTCAGCTGCTACCGGATATAATTGGAGCCACAACTTTCTCTCTCATTGACTGATAGGATTGAGATGTTACATTTTAGGTCCTCGAAAGTGCTGAAGGAGTTGTTTGAAGCCACCCTCAAGCGTCCCTCGTCCGACTGTAGACAGAAGACCTGGTTGCCAGCCCGCCGCCGCTTCCTCGGCACCGCCTCCGTTGATGCAAGATCTCTGTCTACTCAACTGAAGCGCCTCCATGCCGCTGCTGCGCATCGCCCGGCTCTCCGCACCGCGCCCTTCGCCGCCCCGTTCCGCTCGTACTGCGCGAAAACTGAAGGCGCCGTTGAGCTGGACGAACAGCTGAAGAAGGATGGAGTCAGCAGTGAATCAAGCAGCGACAAGTATGTTTCAGGTTGTTTCTTGTTGAGTGAAGCGTCTGACCGCGCGGTATGAAGGTAGGCTGGCGGTCATGACGCAGGCAGGCAGGCAGGCAGGCAGGCGCGAGCGGATGTAACGCTTTTCTTCAATTGCCACAAACGCTGAATTTCAACTGCATAACGTATCTATCAGTAATAAGCATATTAAACGCAATGAAACTGTAAAAATTGATTCAAATTTGTTAAAATACTTTCTTATATATACAATTCAATGATAGGAATGAAGGTAACTTGCCAACTACGGTGCTTTTTGAGTAGTAAGTCAGCCGTAAAACCATACTTGGGAGTTTTCATACCGGTGTTGGCTGTCTTGGTTGTGGTACTATGGTCTATGTGTACTTTTTTAATCCTGAATATAACTTAACTAAAGGGAAATGGGATTTTTAGTTGACCTCCACTAGTTTTGTTCTGCTATCTGTCGATACAACACGCAGCATGTGGTTCAAGTGAAAGTGAAGTAGTGATAACGGCAGAGGTCAGGGTGGGGGGTAAAGTCAAGGACTAAACACTCATTTAAGGTAATGAACTGGCAGAGAGTGTAAACTTAATTTCTTTATCTGCCCACTGACTCAAAATAAAGTCAATACTAGCCCATTCTCATTCTCATACTCATTGTAGATCAGTCCTCAGAAGATGTGGGGCTTCTAGTAATTTCTATTATGCCCTCCCACTGTCACCCTGAAGTGGCAGCTCCAGACTACTGACTGTCTGTGCCCTACAGCTGAGCAGCAGAATAGTTTTAGCTTTCTGGTGTCTATAACTGCTTGAATACTACTTACTTATATACAAACTTTTGCAAAATCATCCATCGTAACCAATTCCAGTACAAAAATAGGTTGATAGTTGCAATCTTAACTGCAGTTAGTCTTTTCCAGGTTAAAACTATTTGAGAAAACACCAACTCATCATGATGGTGCATGATTCATCAGGCTGATATCTGCAGAAGGATAAATCACTCTGCTTGTATTCAGATTGAGCCTGATACCACTGGACTGGATCTGAAAAGTGCTGAAGGCCCAGGTTACAGGATGTGAAGCTCCAGCATTAGGAAATAGCTGAGAGTAGATATCTGGCATTAGTCTGATGTGTCAGGGGGTTCATGACGAACTTTTGGCTTACGGTTTGCAGCTGCATTCATGAATACAGTGAGAGTCTTTTTTTGGCTGAGGTGAATCCTCTGAAGATGTGATGGTACACATTCAAATTCTCAGGACGACACGAGCCTTGAAACATTGTTTGCAATGGCTTGTGATTCATACTTTGTGAGTGAGTCAGCAGCACGTGATTGGATGCCATACCCACCAGCTTGATGACAATGACTCACAAGATAAACCTCAGCAAGGAATGTGGTTTATGAATTATATCCTATCCCGTGGATTAGGAAACAAAGACTCTCTTATCTTTGCTTGTTCCTTTATTTGGAAATCAAGGTCAATATTTACATTTTACACAAACTATTCAACTGAGAAGTGAGGTTAGGCACTGCATGAATCAGAAAAGGCCAAACCAGTGGAGTTGCGGCTTTTCCATCTCCCAGGAGATGCTCTGCTAGTTTGCCGTAATGAAGGCCTTGCAGATTTGTTGTACTGGGAGAGTTTTCTTGGTTTATAATGTTCCACCCAAAGCAATTTGTGGAATCAGTTGCATCTACAGAAAAAGGAGTTGGCTCAGATTAAGATATGAAAAGCTGACAGATGGCTGAAGTGATACACACTGGCAAAACAGAAAGTGAGAGGTATGATTTAGTAAACTTTAGCACACTACACTGCACTGGTGTGACAAAAGGTACCTCACTTCACTGAATAAAGGAACTGGCTTTAGGTTTTCACTTTGAAAATTTAAATCTCTTTCCACATCTTTTTGAGTTTTGCAAATTCATTTCTTAAGCTTCAAAGTAACTAGGCCACATGCTCTTATTTATGAGCTGACGTGTCCAGAACATGATCATGAGGTTTTGAAGGCCCACAATTCAGACAGGCAACAGTATTCAATAGTCATTTCCTGTTTCTAGTTTTGGGGTTTTCCTCTATGGCTCCGGTGCCTTAGGTGACAATCGGAGAGAGATTTAGGAAGTGAGAATTCAGGACAAATTATGACCCTTTCTTTTAGCCCATAGTCACCAAAGCAAAAATAGGACCTGTTTCCTTCCCTGTTCATTCCGGTTAATAAATTTGTACTTCTCATAAATATGTGTATGACAAAATTATCTCAGTTTAAGACTTATCTGGCAGCACAGGTCTACGCACTTTCTCTCTCTAGATCCTTGAGACGATATCTCTCCCCTCTGTTGGTGCCAAACTCTGATACAAACTCCTTTTTGATGCCTTCCTGCTTGACCGCTGGAATTAAGGGGGGATTAAAAACTCTGAACAAATAATCAAATACCTTCTGTCAGTTATATCACAGAGCTGCAACTCGTCCATCGCGAAATAGAACAGCTCAGTATTGACCCTGTTTCCAGGAAACTCTGAAAGTGTTCTGCTTACACCCCTGAGCAGCCATCCTAACTAATGCAAATGGACTGAGCCATCTGCCTGAGAGCGGGATGAAGGTTTTTAACCGAGCAAATGTAGAAAATCGAGGTGTTTCAGGTTGTAGTCACCTGATATGTTTGCACAGTTTAAGCCCACCCTCGTTTGTTTGCTCATTCACTTCACTTTACATGAACTGGCGACCACTGAGAAGATGGCGCAGACCAACCTGAGGGTATTAAATCGCTCGTGGTCATCTAGCAGGATTCTAGCAGGTGACAGCGAGGCAGGGCTGGGCTTTTTGTGGTTAGGTGAAAAATAAGAGATGTGAAAAACCATTTGACTCTGAATTACTCTGAGCAAAACTAAACTAATGCAGCAACTGAGAAACTGACACTACACTTCTTTTTTACATAAAGAGGGATTTCAACAAGCAGATGAATATCAACAAAGCTTTAATTCTTTAAAACCAGAATCAAAATCTTCTGATAGAACGGCCAAATCCAGCGTCTTCTGTTAATTAAATCTCGCCACGCTTTGTTATGCAAATGGAAATCTGTTTAAAATTTCACACCATCTGCTTGTGATCGTTTTGTTTAATTCAAAATGTGCCACTGACACTATCAACACAGATCCTCACTGCAGGAGAAGACTCGACACGATCGCTTTTACAGGCAGGGAAGGAGTCTTCCTGGAGACTAATCCATTCATGTGGATGTGTAAAATTGGAGAAGTGTGCCTTTAAGTGGTTAAATACCTCCCAATTTACCCTCGTGTTTCCTGCACTTGCTGCACAAAGCGGCGGCCACGTGGGCTTCTCAGCAGAGCACTCAAGAAACACAAACACACCGAAGAGAGTGTTGGTGGTTAATGAGCTTTTCATAACCTTGGAAAATTTCTCAGCCCCTCTGTTGCGGGTTGAAATGCTCATTAAGTGTGGCTGTGCAGACATCTTTAAGTTTCTTCTGTCTGAGTCATTATGTAATCTAAAAAAAACTCCTACTGTCGTATACGATGTCACTGTCAGAGAGGATTCATCTTTGTACACCTGCTCACCTGCACTCTCATCCTGACTGTGTTCACTGCTGTGTGGACGAGCTGTTGTAGGGACAGATGTCGGGTCAATAACACTCCCTTTGAATTAGACATGCATGACAGCCAGCATTTTAGTCAATCTTGGTTTGTTTGCACATGTTGAGGCGCAGTTACCTGGGCTGTATGTGGAGTGTTTACTTTGTGCAGAGCAGGAGATGAGACAAAGAGAAACGAGAGGGTGGGGAGGAGGTGCAGACTGGACACTGGAATTTCAGATGTAGTCATGTAGTCGGTACAGCACAGTTATCGCCTCAGCTTCAGATTTAAACATGTATTACATCTTTAGTGCGATACCTGATCTTTGGGAATAGCATCACTGACTCAGGTGTTAGGCCACCAGTAGCTTGTTTCTGTTCTGATCTGAGTTTGCTCCTTTGCAGACTATGCTTCTGTACCATGGGCAGCGTGTGAACACGGCACAATGTTGGCTTTATTAATCCAAGAGCCACAGAGAGCTGGTCAGACAGCTATAGCCGGGTGAATTCCTGGAATTTAGACCCAGTCCAGCTCTGCTCCAGACACTCTTTGAAAACCATTGTCTGGTTTTGCTCTTGAGTCTGTCTGATTTGAGATTAGCACCAGTATCAGTTTTAGAGAGAGAAAGTATTTTGCACATTTCTGATAAGGGGGCTGCTCAGACTGAAACATAAGAATGCCTCTCTACATGAATATACATGTCTAAACTCTAGCTGGAACACTGAAGTTCACCAAAAAGCCACTTCTGGATGTGCCAGAAACTTCCCTGAAAGCTTTCACAAACCATGAACGGGCTTTCCACTGCCTCCACAATTTAACATTTTGTAAATCTAGTGTACAAATGTCTAAATACAGAAATCCCTTTGTTTTTGTTAACTTAGATTAGTCCGCCAAGTCTCCAAAGTAGTGAGCTGCACAGCACAGTATGGACATGCCAGGAGCAAGAACCACATACGTGTTTTGTAGTTAGTGGTTGGCAGCCTGAAGAGAAGAAGAAAGTAGTCGTGTGCAGAAGAATTAGTACTGAATGAGGTTTTTGATGGTAAAAATTTGACATGGAGGATCAGATTTATTATGGATCACAGCAGTTTGTCGTCCTCAAAAGCCCCTGAAAGCACAGAGTCCAAATAATGTTCAAAACTTCCTTCCTCAACCGAACAGCAGAGCCACTCCTCTCCCAGTGGACATTATGCAAAACACTATGAACACTAAAAATAATACAGGAATGGAGGCTGTGACGCAGCCTGAATTTCTTTCTGCAGAATAACAATGTTTGGCATCGTGTGTCCCGCTGACAGTGTTAATCTGAACTCTAAAATTTGCTTTCTATTATAGTTAGTATTTCCTAATCCCCATTTTTGGTTCTGGTTTATCTTTGGCTGCATGATTTTTCAGAGCAACCCTTTAAGGAGCACTGTCAAGAAGAAATTTGAGGTTTTAATACAAGTAACCGCTTCAAACACTCCTATCCACAGACACAGTCATACAGATATCTGGCTTCTGGTCACTCTACTATTTCAATCTTTCATTAAGTGTTGTTGAAATCCCTCTCTAATGTGTTAAGGCTGTGCAAACAGCTCCGGATAAGCTCTGTTTACACTGGCAGGACAGGTGGAAATCTTTCTTTCATGGCTTGTGCCAAATCAACCACTCATGCCAACATAACTGTGTACTTATCATTCTTTTCTCAATATGTGTACTCTAGAAATGCCAAATTGTGATTTTTTCTGGGTACTTTCCTGTCTGTTGAAGTGTCTTATGCATTGTTTCTGTGTCTGACCTAGAAGAAGAAAAGCTGGAATTCTCCCCAGTTTGGAGGACTTGCTCTTCTACACAGTCGCAGAAGGTCAAGAGACAATTCCTGCTCACAAATTCCTCACGGTGAGTACTTTTATTTTATTTCCACCTGGTGGTTCTTTGTCTGTTTACTTTGGTTTGATTCCTTTTTAAACTGTTTTTAATCAGATTTATTTAAATCAACTTTAACAGGCGCTTAAAGCCACTGGGCTTCGCTCAGGAGACCCCAGGCTGAAGGAGTGTATGGACACCCTTAAAGAAACTCTGAAGAACACACCAGATGGCGTTACGCTGGACAGGCACCTCTTCAAAAAGTAAAGCTCACCATGACTCATCTTGTTTTCTCTCCATCATATGCACCAATCATGAGTGCTATTTTCATCTTGTTTACAAAAAACCGTTTCTCTTTTCAAACCTGAAAAGCATTTCGTACACGACGCTGATGACCATATTTTCACTGCAAATTCAAACAGTCTGAGCTGTTTGAATTTGAGTGCTGCATTAATGCAAAAATATGAGCATCAAAGAGGACTTCAACAGCAGTTATGTTTAATAAATACCAGATCTTCAAGTCCTTAAAGCGGAAAGATCTCCATGACAGTTTCAGTGGAATAAGAACAGATTTGTATTGTTGATTTCTATCACTGCAGCAGGATTTGTAATTGACCCACATAGAGTCAGGGGCCAAAACTGCTATCTGATAGAATCCCAGAAGAGAAAATCTGAATCACCTTGAGCACATCTTCTTTCCTTTCCTTGTAATGTTGTAAAGGGAGTAGAGTTTTGTCTACAGGAAATTAATCCCTCGGTGTTCAGTTTCACTTCCTGTTGTACGGAGGGTGCCACTCTAAAGGAAGTTTTGCTCTATGAGTGTCATGTTCAGGCTGCAGGATTAATTTGGGTTTTTTTGAGAGATATTGTTTCTTTTTATGGCCCCAGCTCTTAAAAAAACATCAGTATAACATGTCGCTGAAACCCTAGATTAGCACTGACACTCTTTGGTTTCCTTCAGTCTCTGTTTTTTTTAAATGGTCATTATTACTGTTTGAAAAGCAGCCGATCAATAAGTTATGATGAAAGTTCTTCATCAGCAACTTTATGAACATTCATTAAAGCTTGTCACACTTAAAAGTTGCAAACTTGGTTGACAAACTTTCCTTCAGTTGCATGCAGTCACAGTGTTTGAGCATGCTATCTGTGGTTTATTCATCAGGTGTGTCCAGAGCAACATTGTCCTGCTCACTCAAGCCTTCCGCAAGAAGTTCGTCATCCCAGACTTCCAGTCCTTCACCTCCCATATTGATGAGCTGTATGAGAATGCCAAAAATCTCAATGAAGGACAGGTGTGTCCTTACATCCGTGACTGTTTATTGTCATTATGATTTTTTCAACCCTTTACAGGTTAGTTACCAGCAGACTGTGCTAACAGTCTGGTCTTTGATTACACAGACAGGTTGGAGGCCAGATTCAAGAGAAGATCCACCTCAGGTCATTGTGAAGGTGTATGTTGGTGTTTCCAGTAGATATCAGTGCAGCTTCTCTGTGCTGTATCATGTTATTTTAGCTGCCAGCTGCAGAAATGTCTAGACAATGATAATTTGAGAACAGCAAAGTCATGATTTTAAGAGACACCATGGTGTTGATTCCCAGATGGTATGAACCTTAAACAATTGTGTTTTTATGTTTCTTACTTTAAAAGAAAATCAAATGACCTTGTGAGTAATCAAAGTGTTGTATGGTGATCTTCATGACCCGAGGACATGTAAAAAAACTCTAACAATGCTTCCCTTCTTTGACGAATCAAAATGCCTATTCATGACTTTGGCATTAGATTTAGAAACCTGACAGTTGATCCTAGCTCTCACTGCTCCTATGTTAGCTCTAAGAACACTGCTCTAAGTGTTCTTAGATGAGATGTTATACTCCAAATTACCCCCCAGTGGTTTCTGAATTTGAGTGAAAAGGATTAGGTAATGCTGGGAGACACTATGTTTAGCATCTTTTGCCATCAGTGCAGAACGTAATGTAAATAAGCAGAGATGAATCAGATGATGAGATAAAAAGCTGTTTCAAATAAGACGATAAGTAAGACCACAAAACTTGATAGGAAACTGGGAACTCACAACAAGCACCATGCTGTAATTAAAAGCACAAAGTAAACAGAAATCTTTTATAACATGAATACCTGAGTGAGGATTTTTGACTTTGGTTCTTTGAGTGTATTGTCAGCAGTGTTAGTTTTCCTCTGAAGCCTGAGCCTCGGCAGACGTCAGCAGTGTAAGGCGACTCTCATTCACATGCCTCTCCTCTCTTTCAGGTTGCAGACTACATTCCTCAGCTCGCCAAATTCAGCCCCGACCTGTGGGCCATCTCTGTGTGCACAGTGGACGGACAGAGGTGAGACAGAGGTTAATGCAGGTTCTGGTAGATACAGGGATGTTTTGATATTTAAAAGTATAAAAAGTATGAAAGTCATAGAGTTGGCTTTTTAAAGGCGGCTCTGTGCTGTGTGCGAGTTCGTCTCTCTGTCGGGTCGACGGTCTGTAAATGGCCTCTGGTGGTTTTTCAACAAGGAATGCTAACAAACCAGTTTTGATTTATTTTAACTGCTTATCACAAACCATTTATCATGTGTATTCATGTGAGCAAAACATTCAGTTTAAAGATGTTGGATAAACTGCCCTGTTAGTTTATAAGATCTGTTTACTCAGAAGTGCCACATGATGATAAAGAGCAGTTAATTTCTCCAAGTTCTGAGCTGGACAGACTAAAAGAAACACCACTAAGATTAGATATACCGTCACAGATGCTCCGTCAGTGAGGCTTACAGTCCTGAATGTGGTCGTGTTGGTTCAGCTCCACGTTTGATTTATTACTTTATCACGTTCAGGTGTTTTTCCAGCCAAACTAGAACAAGAAGTCAAATCCAATGTTGTGAAATGGTTTCAGTCTGTGTTTTGATCAGCTTGTTCCCTGATAGGTCGCTGTAAAATTCCACAGGTGTGTATATATTTACTCTGTTTGTGTAAGAGTGGAAGTCATAAAGATAACATGGTTATGAACAGAACATGTGGTTCTGTTATTGTGCTGTAACGCTCTGTCACTGATGTTCTTTGTTTACACTGATCCCTCACATTGTATCACAAACCCTCTAATTTTGAGGTCACGTTTGGTTTCTTTTTTGAGCTTCATCTCCTCCTACAACTGTTTCTTTTAAATCTTTCCAGACACACAGTGGGAGACACCAAGGTGCCCTTCTGTTTGCAGTCGTGTGTCAAGCCTCTGAAGTACGCTGTGGCCGTTCATGACTACGGTACAGAGTACGTCCACAGTTTCATTGGGAAGGAGCCCAGTGGTCTGCGCTTTAACAAGTTATTCCTGAATGATGATGGTGAGTCTTTTTCAGTCGTTGTCTGTCTTCTTTTAACTTTTCAAACACTAAACCAGACTTTATGAATGTATGAATGACACCAGGAGTTGTGGCTGATGCTCTCTGTATCTCCGACTTCAGATATAGGAATGGATTGTTTACATTAGTAGCACTAAAAATTGTGCATCAGTTGCCCCCACTGTCTGCTCTATATCAAGTTCTGGTTTACAAAGATGAAAATCAAGAATAAAGATAAATGCATAGATTAGAAAAAAGTGGCCCCTGTATGTATTACTGCTTTGATATCACAATAATATTGTGGTGCAGTCACAGCCAAGTCTCAGGAGAAGGTAAAAAACAACCCCCTAACTATATGTGGTGTTTTTTCCCGTGAGGTTCGTCTGCGCACACAGAGAGATTAATTTTCCCATAAACTAATGCAGAATGAGTCATGTAAATACATGCAAATGTATGGAAACACCACCTGCATACAGAGATGCTTTCTGCTCCGCAGTGCAGTTTGGAAAGCATGAGGAGCATAACTAAATTATCTGACGTCTTTTTAGTTCATTTGCACTCAGGGTTACTGTGTGCAGAAATCCCACAACCCTTTCTTGTGAATCAGGACCTCAGTGACTTAAGCAAAATGTGAGCAGAAGTCGTTGACTGTTTCTAGGAAGTCAGTATTTCCTATTTTTCCAGAGAACATCACACGAAGGAAGCAGCGTTTGTAATATCATGTTTCCTTCCTCTGTGTGCAAACTGCTGTGAACAACTTTGACAATATCAGCCACTGACTTTTATACTCAGTGAGTTTTTATTTGTCTGGCAAACAAGGGAGGGAAAAAAAACCCTGAGCTCAATAGTCATAAAAGAGGAATGTGCTGTATTTAGTGTTTGTTATTGTAGTTTTCCCTTAAGTAGTTCTTCAATTGTCCGCCTGGTTTTGTATGCTCACACTCCTCTCATTCGTGCTGGTCAGTCTGTCAGTACTGTCTCTACTCTGAGCTACTCAGCAGTACTTGTCAACCATATGGCTTATGCTGCCTGCAAAGAGGGAGTTGAGAGTTCTGAGTGCCAAGGGAATGACTCAGATACTGGAGTCAGAAGTTTTTACAGCCGTGAGAGAGAAAAGATGGTTACTTTAAACTAAGACAGCCTGTATGCAGCAACAAAACACATGAATCATACTACATACAGTGAATGCTTGGGTAATACCTGTTGGATATGTGAACATGAAGATAGAATGGTAATGGTCATTGAAGTCATAGTTGTGGTTGGTTGTCAGAGGGAGGGACTGGAACTGTGTTGGAAATCTGCTGCCAGGAAAGCCCTGTGTTGCATAAGGAGATCACTCAGCAGCGAGAGAATGTAGGTGATGTAAGTGTAAATCTATTTGACCACTTTTAGAGACCTGTGGGAGGAAGGCTTCCTTTAGCTGCCGGGTGAAATTGTCCGGCATTACTGGAACTAAGGAGGATCACGTCATGAGCGTGTCGTGGAAATGTGAGGAAACAATGATCACAGTGTTAAAGAAGGTCAAAGTCACATGACCCAATCGGCTGAAAGATGACTAACTAGGCTCCTAATTTCTAATTGGAAACATTTCCGCTATGAAACAAGCAAGTGCCCTTCCTTCAGCTGTAGTCAATTATTTATTAATATGAGCTGCTTAATGATATAGATAATCATTCACCTGCACTCGCATGTTTGGATCTAGGTACAAAGCTCAGTTTGGTTCAAACTATTGTGTGTGTGTGTGTATATATATATATATATATATATATATTTCAAATAAATGGTGTGAGCTTGCCAAACTTGTTCTACGATGGTCATTTTGAGCAAACATACTTTGCTTGAGTGTGTTTGTGTATCTTTCTAAAAAGAGTTTCGCTACAGAAGTTTCTGCATTTTCTGAATTTTAGAGCACTGCACCGATTTTATCGACAGCTGATGCTTTTCTTCTTCTGTCTTGTCATAGCAGTGTGGAAGTTGTACGACTACATAACAGGCAGGCACCAGTGAAAGCAACTGAGAAAAGTTGATTTTTGAGATAAAATCGTTGTCGTGTCGTGTCATGCAGAACTTGATAGTGATCGTGAAGATGATGCATCAAGTTTGATGTGTTTAACCCTTTAGTTGCAGCTTTCTTTGTTGCAGGTTCTACAGACGATTGATCTTGTTTTGAGTATTTCTTTGGTTATTCTTGGTGTAACCGAAACGCTCTGAATCTGCCGACTTCACCGATTTTTTTTTGATGGATGTAAAACTTTGCTGCTTGATCCCGTTTCCATAGTTAAGCCTCAGTGTCTCTTTATAACATTAAGCTTGTGAACCACGGGTGTCCCCTTTGTTTTCTTTCCATGCAGATTGTGCCAAACATAATGTACTGGCCCCGTTTCGTATTCTACCTTCTTAACTAATACTTGGTTTCATGCCATGAAACTTCCAGACAAAACCAGATTAAACTGGAGTTTGTCCATGTTTTATTCTGGTGGTCAGAAGTCACTGTAGCTGTATTTCTTCCCATTTGTGTTCAGCCAGATCTAGATCCAGCAGGGTCCTTTGCTTGTGAACTGTGTCGACTTCTGTGTTGCTCTCTGATGCAGTTTTATCAGCTCTCTCTGGATAAATAATTAAATATCTGAGTCAGAGACAGAAAACGTCAGCCACGACTGCTGCTGTTTTTACTCTCCATATTTAAGTGTGATAGATTTTGATGAAGGACAACAGGTGGAGGAATTTCTCCTGCTGCTATCTCATATATGCTTTACCGAGGTCACAGCTGTCTTTAGCCCGTCTGTGCTCTACATGTATTTGACTGATTGATCCGTCTGTATGCACACCTCTCAGACGTACAGAAATATGAGCAAACATTGACACTTTGATCCTCTTCAGCGCACTAACTGAGCTCTTGTTGTCTTACAGATAAGCCCCACAACCCCATGGTGAATGCTGGCGCTATTGTTTGTACTTCACTGATAAAGGTAAAAGCTGTTACACTTTCCCTCCCTTGTGTGTGTCTGTGTGTGTGTGTATGTGTGTTTCATGTCCTGACTGTGTGTCATTTCCACTAAAACCCTAGTCAGAAAACCTCTCACATGGTGGGTATCACTGAGCTGCTTTATCGAGTAGATAACAGGAAGGTTGAAACAAATATAGGTGTCAGATAAGAGGTGACTGTTGGACAACAGCCTAATTAACCCATTCATATCTGAACACAATGAGCCCGCAGGAGAAGAGTCATAATGACTCAACATCCTGTCAACACTTTGAGAAACTCTTGTCTTTATAAAGTGGTTTAAACATTAGACTCCTCAGGGTCTTCACATCGGACTCTTGACTCAGCTGGAATTCTTTCTAGGTCACTACCTTAGTCCACTACCGTGGGTCTTGTTGTGGTGATTAAGACTTGTGCTAATCCTTCCTGAGGGCACTTAGACCTCACGCTGTTCTCGGCCCTGCTGAAAATAACCTGCACGTAGAGCTAGTCAAATGCAGCTGCACGCAGACCGGCGTCACAAAGAGAGATAGGAAGTCAGATAGTTCCCTCGCCTGCCACAGCTCTCCAAACACGGCACCAGAGGTTGATCTGACACAGTTTCATTTTGACTCAGAGTGAAACAGATTGACACTGAGTTGGATTTCCTGGTGGTAAATTGCTCATCTCCTGTCAAACCAAACAAGCTGCAGCTCAGAAGAGGATTCATAACAAATGGCAGATTCAAACTGGCATATACGGCGTCTTTGTTGACAAGATTTCATACCAGCAGAGTCAGATTTTTACCCCAGAGAAACTGTGAAATATCAATCTTTAACATCTCTTTTGGGGATATTTTCAGTTTTAGCTCAAAAATGATCTTCAGTTTCTAAAACAAGCAACAGCTGAAGCAATGTACCCGAGTTTTTCCAAAGCACTTATAAGCAAATTATATTATTATATATGCAAAAATAGAGCCAAGGGTTAAAAATACCAGAATTATCCAGGATGGATGTCTTTACACAGTCCGTGTTAGCAAGTTAATAACACACTCACGCATTTGTTCGCACTCAACATCTACCTTTAAGTACTTAGCAGCAGCTCAAATGCTCCACATGGTAACAGCACTCTACTGCAGATGTTTGCTTCGTAACGTCTTTAAAATTCGCTTTATTTCCACTCGATTGAGCCACATTTTCAACCTCAAATGAAGGGTTTTTTGAGGATATCCTCTGTAGTTATTGTTGCACTCATGAAAACAAAGTCTGCCATCAAAGCTTGGAGCTGTGATAATATTTTTATACTTAAGAGGACATTCACAGAGTAATAAACCCACACATGGTGCCAAGATCCTCCTCCAAGTTTAATGAAGCTGCTGTAGCATGTGGCTCATGTTATCTTTATAAAATTTTGAATCTCCTGTATTTATAAGCAGCGGACAACAGAGAATAACAGTAGCTCTGTAAAAAAACCTCAAGCTCCCAAACCTGTGTGTTTTCAGTGTCTACATGTTCATTCCTTTTATTCTTTAACTTTATTTCTCGCCTTTTACTTCGTGCATTATCGCGACCTTGCAAACACAAACCTATACACGCCTCATTAAACCATCCAAACACACAGTAACACATTTCTGAGCAGCCCTCATACAACAGCAGCAAACTGATCTCCCAACACCTGAACTGGAGTCTGCGGTCACTGCAGTGCGTAAGCACGTCTCATGACAGCAGGAGTAAATAAGTGACAGCCTGGAGGCGAAAGTAGAGGCTTTTCTAAATAGTATTTAACAAAAACACCACAGTCATCATCACTGTAAACCATTTGATGATGTTAATTTTTAAGCGTAGTGCTTTAAATGACCTCTCTGTTTGTTTTTTAGTTTCGTCTGTGCAGCTCCAGACAAAACTAAGACCAGGATTTTCATTTTTTATCCTCTCAGCTTTTGTAAATTTTCAGTTACAATTGAAAGAATCAGAAAAGAAAAAAAAAAAACAGTTGAGATTAAAAGTAGATCATTGGCAAAGATTACAGACAGAACTGAGTTGTCTGGGAAAACACATTTGCACTTTCAGGTAGTGAGATGAGAAGATTGATCATGAGTCATTTCAGTAAAGCTGCGCAGTCTTCCTCTTTACTGATTATGATTAAGATATTTCAGAAAAGCTGGAGATAGTATCTTTAAATTTCCCCTAAGGATTTCTATGGTCGTTTGTGTCCTCCTATTTGTAAATACATTAATTCATAATTTTATTGAAAGAACGACAGAATCTATTAAATCAGTGGATGATCTCTTCTTGCTTGCTATAGTTTTTTTCTGCAGCTTCCCAGGAGACATATCAGTCCTCACCAAGACATGGAGATGCTCTGGTTTTGTTTTTTGGTACCATAAATGTTATGAATACAGGCTGCCTTATGCTGTATGAAGTAACAGAGCAGCCATAGTAAGAGACTGATGAATATGAGCTGCAACTTGCCTCAAAGGTTGATGTTTCCAATTGACCTTAGAATAAAGCTAAACTAGCAGGTTGGTAAAGCTTCGTGACGCTTGTGCAAAATTAACTCGACCTTTTTACTTCATTTTCACTCATAGATAAGAGTAATATGAATCTTCTCATCTTACTCTCTGATAGAAACCTTTTTTTTTTTTATTACTGAGTAATTTCTAAGCTCAGTAGAGAGAGGAGCTCTCTATTTTGAAGAGATTTTATTTCTAGAAATCCACTCGTTCTCATACAGTGAGGTCCTTCCTCTCTCTGGAGCCTTTTTTTAAAACTGCACTGGTATTTATTTGTGTTGCAGACGGTACACGCTGTAGTGTGGGCAGTTTTGTGTGCTGTTTTCTATTTCATCACACAGCAAACCTGTTTCACTGCCCACGAAACACACAGAGTCACCTGTTAGAAACACAGACCGACATATTCACTGAGACAACAGTGTGTAAGTGTGTGTCTCCATCTACTCATCACTGCCATCAGTGTCTCAATGTGTTGTTTTTCTTCCTCTATGATGAAACACAAATGTCACGCCGTTAAGTCAGGTTGCTCAGTTTTAATTTTACATCGGTGGGAAAACTATGGGATGGTTGCCGTGGCAATAAGCCCCAAACTGTTGTTACATGGTGCTTGAAGGCTACATGTTGTTGCTGTTTTTGTATGTTGTTGCATATTTTCCAGACTTAGGAACTGTGGGAAATAGTGACTGCTGCTGCAGGTCAAATGACGTTGGTAATTTTTTCTTCCTTTTCCATATCTATCTCCTCGCACTCTCCCAACCCCCCTGACCCCAACCCCTCTCTTTGTCCTCCAATCAGCTCTGTAGAAACCCCATATAATGACTCTTTAACACCTCCATCTGTGTCACTTGCTCTTGCCTTTTTATTATTAGAACTCTTTTAAATGTAAAGTTAAACGTTTCCTGTCACACTATAAAAACCATAAATGTTCAGTAATTTGTAAACTGATGTCATAGCACTTTTGATGTGCATGCGTGTCTATTTTTCCTCTGCTGTGTTGTGTAAGTGGGAGAAGCAGCATCAATGATCTTACAGTTTGACTCATAGATGTACGCTGAGCTAGAAGCTGTGAATTTTATCCTCAGAGGAGGACCTTTCCTTCCTTTTTTTCCTCCCCCCTCTTTGTTCTGTCTGACAGACTCTCTGCACAGATGACACATGTTGACCTATTGTAGACACACAAATTCAAACACACACATGCACACACCTGCATTATGGTAACCCATAATACAAACCTGCCTGCACACACCCACATCACTTCACAGTCGTGCATTGTTTTTCTCTTTTGTAGAAGCATACTCACAGTGAGGGTTGTTCAGTTTAAACAGGTAGTTTATAAACTTGAAATCATACTGACCCCTGCATTTGGAGTTTGTAAGCTGTAGCTGACTATCTCTGGTAATGCACATGTCTACTAAACGCCACTTTTAACCCCAAAAGACTTGCTTCTTTGTGCCTATTTGCAAACCAATTCTTTTAACAATTTGTATCTACCTGTATAATTCCTGGAAAAGCTCATGTGCCTTTTTTACAATTGATTTGTAATCAAATCTATTCATATCTGCTAATTCTGTAGTTCTAATTCCTCAGCAGTAGCATTTCCAATTTATTTCTTTTATGATGCTGTTCTCGTCCTCTGTAACGTGCACTTGTGAATAAAGTTGTCTAACGACTAATTCTTCTGCTCTTTCCACAGCAAGGTGCAAGCAATGCAGAAAAATTTGACTATGTAAGTATGCAACCTTAAGTCAACTCAGGGCTAGGACTGTGATCTAGATTTAGTTGTGACTGCTTCTGCCAGAGTTTAAAAAGAGTTATTGAAGTGCTTGGACAGAAAAAGGTCTGCTAAAAAGTTGAAAAGTTATTATTTCTGTGTTGATTTCACTTTTTTTTATTTCCTCTGCTGTCAGATTATAAAGATAAAATTCTCTGTAGTGAATTTGAGATAATTGAGCCAATTGTTTTATGAATCAGCCTCTAAAATGTCAATAACTCTGAACAGTAAACCTCTCTTTGCTGCAGAGTGACTCACAAAACTTCACTGCTCTCTCCACAGGTCATGAACTTTCTGAAAAACATGGCGGGACATGAGTACGTGGGTTTCAGCAACGCCACGTAAGTTCCTGCAAAGTATGAGTTTGGTTTTGTAGAGCTCTCCTTCCATTCAACAGATGGGAAAAAACACCAGCACCACTCATTAAGGCCATTGTCAGACTAAAACTGAAACCAGACTATAAGGCTCCAGAGATCCCAACAACCATCAAACCTTGAAGCTTTATCTGCTCAGTGAAACAGCTGAAGATAGTCAGAGGATTTCTCATTATAATAATAATAAAACTGAAAAGAAGCTAACAACAGCGGTGGTGCTAACATTTAAATGATCAGGAGGACCCTTACCCCAGTGAAGCTGCATTTAGTAGGGTGTTCGGATAGTGATTGCAGACTTTCTAAAGGCCAGAGGTGTGGAGTCTCCGTTAACGGTCGCTCTCTTGTGCATGATTTATGACGACACCTCATGCTAACAATGTTCCTGGAGAAAGAGCAGGCGCTGGAGCTCATGTTGCAGTATCATCACATGTTAGCATGAGAGCTCTGATTGTACCGTACACATGAGGGGTGGGGTGAAGGAATTCCATCACACAAGTGAAAACACACACAGACTCAAAGTGCAAATGTTTCCTTCCTCGATGTAATGGGCGTGCTCTGTCCCTTCGTGTGTCAGATTCCAGTCGGAGCGTGAGTCAGGGGACAGGAATTTCGCCATCGGCTACTACCTGAAAGAGAAAAAGGTTTGACCTTGGATACGAGTCACTGCCGCCTTTGTTTTCTTCAGAATATTTATGTTTCTTCACTCTGAAAAACTTTAAGGGCGATTTCATCACCGAAGTTACACATTTACGAGAGGAGGAGGAGGAGGAGTTACAGACAGAGGCCCATTAAAGAAACAGCAGCACTGTTTTTAAATGTTTATTTCAGTTTGATCCCTACAAACTTTCACCGCCTTTGCTTATACTTTAAAGAAGACATGACTTAGACTGAAAACAGTGTCTGCCTCCTCCCTTTCAAGAAATGCAGCAGTGTGAGACTGTAGAGTAGATGATTAACGACCATCTTGGCACTTTGCATGTTCTGAACTCTGTGTTTTTCCTCTGCAGTGTTTCCCAGAGGGGACAGACATGACCTCCATACTGGACTTTTACTTTCAGGTGAGTGCAGGGCTGAGTTTCTGATTTATTCAGTATCATCTCCTCTGAATTTTTAATAAGAGGTTTTGTTTTCCTGCTTTTTGCTGCCGTCCCCTGAGTGTTGAGAATGTCAAAGATCCGGTTTCTGCTTCTCAACTAGTTTTAAAAACACATATTCTGTTTTTGTCAAACTCCCTGCATACATGTTAATGTGAAGATTTATCATTCAGTGCTGTAAAAAGAGAAATTGGACTGAGTGTCTCCTGTTTGACCTTCCAGCTGTGTTCCATCGAGGTGACCTGCGAGAGTGCCAGCGTCATGGCTGCTACCCTTGCAAACGGCGGTATCTGCCCCATCTCGGGTGAGCGTGTGCTGAGCCCGGAGGCGGTGAGGAACACCTTGAGTCTGATGCACTCCTGCGGCATGTACGACTTCTCAGGACAGTTTGCTTTCCATGTAAGTAAACAGGCCTGATCACAGAAAGACCAATATGAGGCAGTGGAGCGTGCAAGGGAGCGGCTGTAGACCCTGTTTTTATTCAGAACGTTAAATCAACAAACATTCAACAATTGTTTTTAATAGCTTTATCTCATTTTCATCTAAGAGGAGTTACAATAGATGCACTGACATCATGTGTGAGTCCTAAAATCAGTCCTACATCTTTGGTGCCAGATTGAACGAAGCAGCTTTTGTTGGCTTCATCGATTTCTTTGTTTTCATTGTTGATTACAATATGATTACACACTGCTACACTTGTGTTTTTGTAAACATTCACCGATGACAAGGACTGCTCTTGAATGCTTCCTATTTATGCTGAGGCTGCCAAATTCCCTCCTTAGTTTCAATCAAACAAAACAAAACAAAACAGGTTAAACAATGAAAGCAGACAATGCACTCTGACAGCGCTCCTGCATCACTGACACACAACCCGTCATAGCTGCTTTATAAATGTGTTAAAAACAAACACAGGCCACTGAAGTATTTGGCTTTAATTTGAATGATTATATACCTCAAGCAGACCTGCTACATATGTGAAAAAATGCTCACATCTAGACTCTGCATGCACTGATTGAGGTGTAACTAGGTGTTCTGGGACAAGGACAGTAGTCCAAATATGTTGCTTAAACCATTTTAACTTTAAGTGTGGGATAAAAGTCAGACTTTGTATTTGTCTTCAGTAGTAGGTTTACAAATAGCTGGTGCAGATTGGTCCTTTTTGTTTCTGTGACCTAGTTGGCTCACACTGATTTACAGCAGTTGGCCAAAGCTCGCAGTAGGGTTGATCATATTGGCCTTAACGATGTTTGCCTCTGGGCTGGAGACCAAACTTGGTTTCAAGTCACTTAAAAGCAGGAATTGTGTTACTATCCGAGCTTTCTGGAGTTTAACAATCATATATCTGCAAAGTCTGAATGCTGGATTAATAATGTGAACTGGTTTAAAACCTGTCCATGTCATCCAAACAGCTTTACATGTATAACAAATAAAAACCCAAACCTCAGCCGCTGCATTTTAATGGTGTTATGTCACATTGTTGCTGTGCCCCAGCAGACGTGTTTGTTGTGATAACATGGCACATTTTAATGAGACACATTTTATTAAAAGCAGAGTGAGCAGGCTGCGTGTGAAAATATCTCCCTACTTCAGCTTCTCATGAAGCAGTCAGGTTTAAAAGCACCAGAGGCAGGATCTACAGGGTGGTAATAAAATATAAGGTGTGTCTTGTGAACTGTTTACCTTTCTAAATGATCTGTGTAATTGCTTTATATTAACATCAATAACAGACATAAATGCTCATAAAAGAGAATTATCTGAATAACTCCAGCACCCACACTCTGCAGTGAATCTTCTGTTTAATAGTACCAGATGACCTCAGATAGATCTCTCTAATAATGAAATTTTAAGGTTTTAACTTGTTGACTTTTCTGTCTCAGCACAGAGATGTCTCCATACTGTTAGAGCCGATACTCCCAGCTGATCTTCTCTTATGTAACCATCCTGTTGTCTCTGTTGTAGGTTGGTCTGCCGGCCAAGTCTGGAGTATCAGGAGGGATCCTGCTGGTTGTACCTAATGTGATGGGTATTATGTGCTGGTCACCTCCACTGGACAAGCTGGGCAACTCCGTCAGAGGAATACAGTTCTGCACGGTAAGTGAGGGTCAGAAGCAGAGGAGGAGAAGACTCCTGCAGACAACTCCTGCTGCTAGAAAATAATACACAGTTTTTCAATATTTTTCCAGTGAACACACTTGATTTTGAAAGAGAAATAAGCATACCATAGGCAATAACTGGACTTTGACATAAATTTGAATCTTTTTTAATCATGTAGAGGTCAACATTAGGTTGTGACTGAACTTGTCCCTTCAAGTACAGACCTGTTTTACTCTGTTTGACATCCTTCCTGAAAACACAAACATCATAAACACAAACACGTCTGACGGAAACAGAGTTAATGATCTGGGATTGCGTAGGAGTGTCCTTGAGGTGCCGTTTAGATTGGCTGACTCTCTTTTACTCATGGTGACCCTGTGTGATAAGTCAGAAATGCCTGATGAATGATTACCTTCAGGCCAGACCTGTAGACAGAGCTCAGACCACATGACAGGGTGAATGAAACTCCACAGGCCCCTTAAAAAGAGACAAAAGAGACACTGCAGCTTGTATACTTAGTGAAGATTTGAACTCCTTAAATCATCGGCCTCTTAACTTTTAATCCCAGTATCAACCAAACTTTAAAGAACATTCATGCTTTTATTCTTCTGATGTATAAATCTGTCTTTCTCTTTTGTTTCAGGACCTCGTGGAGCTTTTCAACTTCCACAATTACGACAACCTGAGGCACTTTGCCAAGAAGCACGATCCTCGCAGAGAGGGAGGGGACCAGAGGGTAAGGAAACACAACATCATGTTGTGAAAACAAAACTGTCAGGAGTGCACCCGTTGCCCTCATCAGACACACTGACATAACACCCTTTCTCCTTCAGTGTGGGTGTTATTGAGGTTCCTGATCTTCAGGTTGAGGAGCTTTAAATACTGGATATTTTAGAGTTTCTGGATTTTTCAATCTTCTTTCTCTCTCTGTCTGTCGGTGCGCTGTTGTTGTGCTCTGTTTCTTTCTGGTTTGTTGCCTTTTTTCAGAATATGAATATTATTGTTGGCACACGAAATAAGAAACCAAATTAACCTGAATTGTTCAAAAGAAATTTGTCCCCTATCTATCCACAAATTTCTGATGAAAGGCCTAAACGGATAACAAAATAAAACTCTAGTCAAAGTAAATCTACTCTTTGAAGGTGTGTTCAGACCAAAAGCAAAAGGATTTTTTCAGCTTTATGGAAATGAAGCCAAACTCTGCATAAATTTGCATCATGCAGCGAGCGCCTGTGAGTCTTAGGTTTGTCTGACTCCTTATTGTTGCATCAGAAATGGTCAATCTGAACTCCATCCAGAAAAACAGGCTGTTAAAAGCTGTTACTGGTCTCGCAGACAGACCTGACAGAGCAGTTCTTCCTCTAATGGATCTGCTTCCTCAATCACTTATTTGAGCTTCCTGTCCGCCTGTTTAATTGCAATTAAATTAAAGGATCAGACGACAAAGGAAGTGCTATTTAAAGTAAAACGTACTCACCATTGATGGATGATCAGGTGCTCCACAGTTGACACCAGTTGACACCATCTTTGCTTTTGGTTTGAACACAGCTACACTAACAAACTCACAAACACTCACTCACTCACTCACTCACATTCACTCAGAACGGGCGAGACTAATTTTTCATTCGTGTCGATTGAAACAGCTGCACTCCTTCGGACCCATGGATTACGAGAGTCTCCAACAAGAGCTAGCTCTGAAAGCCCCTCTTTGGAAAAAGGTGTCCCCCACTGAGTCTCACCAGGACAGCTCCACCACAGTAGTCTATAGGATGGACAATGCCGCCAAGTGAAATAAACTCAGAGGAGACCTACCTGACCTTCCCCCTTCCTCACTCCTCACTCCTCACCCTCACTTCATCTGATCTCTCTCCCCGACCCTCACACCAACAACACCACCAGCTTCCCTCACCCTCGAGTATTTATACGTAAATTATGAAGAGGATTATTTATTGCTTGTGAGATTTGTGTGTTACTGTTCGGATGGACTGGGGAACTACTTCTGTTTTTGTCTGTGATGGAAAATGGGAAGAGCTACTGCTTATTTTTTTTATTTCATTTTATTTCTTTTGCTTTGTTTTCCAGATGAACTCGTAGCCTCGTCCTGTTTGTTGCCTTAGTTTGTGCAGGATGTGACGTTCAGCATAAGGTGGAGCTGCCGTTTTATCACACCCACCTTTTAATGCAGAATCTTTCTTAAGATGTAGGCTAAGGGTTGATTTGAATTTAACTTTATTCTAAGTAACAACCAAAAAAAGTGTGTGTGTGCGTGTGTGTTTGCATGAGTAGAGCTTCAGTAGAGCCAGATTTAAGACTCACAGTCTTTAAATGTACATTCAGACTACTTTCCAGAAATGATTGCTAACTGTAGCTTACACTGAGACCTCAGACTCGAGCGACATTAGTGCACAGGGTGGATATAAAGAAGCAGAGGAAGAGTTCTTGGATGGAAAGTTTTGGGTCAGAGGAGAATATTGTTGACATAGTAGGTAGCTGTAAATGTCTGCACTGGAGTGCAGCAGTGTTACGTCGTGCAACATGACCTAGTTTCTCATTGAAGAGAGGAGCTCTGATACCTGAAAGGAAAGGAAGTAACGCAGGTACTGTTCTTGTCAAATGTACGATTGGGAGATAAACTGAAAACCAAACACTTGCAAAAGTTGATAACCTAGTGGTGCGAAGTTTCTCAGCCTTAAAATCTAGAGAGCTGACAGCAAACACTTAGTGGGAGCAGAGCCTTTCTTTGCACAATAAAGCACCTTCTTTTTTATAGGGGTTTAAACTCTGAAAGACTTTATACCTGCCAAAGAAGGCAGGTATCAATACTTAGATAATACTAAGATTAGCGGGATCATTTAGTGGAGGCACTCTACATGCAACATGAGCTGCAGGAGCTTCAAGAGCAAATACTTTATATAAACATTTGCTTTGAAACAGAGCCACTCAAAACATTCATTTTGGTGATTTCATTTTTGCAGAAGCTGCAAATATTAATCAAAGGTAGAATTTTTGATAAGACAGCGTGATAGTGTAGTTCTGCAGAGAAGCCCTGCTGCGTAGATTTAAGAAAGCGTTTCAGGTTTGAAACAAAAGCAAATATTTGCTACATGAAGATTGTCTTGTGGCTCATTGTTTTCATAATGTCTCAGAAAATAACTAGAGTGTGTGTTTTTCTGTATTATGCATCTCCATCTGTTATTTCTAAGAATACTTAAACTATAGTGTCATTACTGCTTCCCCAATGGCTTTTAAAACACAGATTTTACTCTAGTGGGACTCAAACACAAAGTAAAGGCTGAGAAACATTTTGCACTGTGTTGACTCTAAGTCTGAGACAGAATATTGAATAGAAGAGCTGTGAAACAGAGCTACAGCTCACATTTAACCTGTCAGTATTCGTGCCTGGACCACTGTTGGGGCTGCTTCTTCTCTTCGCTTGTTGCTCCTGCAATATTTGAAGAAGGTTCGTTCAGCAGAGAGGTGAGACTACCAAAAAAACAAGTTTTCTTTGAGGCTCTCTGTGGACGACGTGTTGCATCAGTCTGAGCTGCTGTTGAATTTGGATTAGTAAAAGTGTGTGTGTGTGTGTGTGTGTGTGTGTGTGCGTGTGGCTGGGTTTGCCATGTTTGTGAAGGTTAGTAAATATACTCTGTGTGATGTCAGCGATAGACGGTTTGTGTATATTGCTGTAACTTCTGGTTAAAGCCCCTCTCAGTCTGTAGGGTCCGACCAGTCCTCACGTAACCTTTAACTCGTCTGCTGTGATGAGGTGACGTCTGCAGGAGTTATCTGCAGGGTCGACCGGCTGCATTCCAAAACCACCTCTGTATGTTTACGCGCTCTTGTTCAAATAGGATGCCTTAGTCTAAAAAAATGAAGCTGCTCTCCGCAGAACCAGAGCTTTGTAAATGTACGAAAAACTGATCAGTGTAGCAAGAGGTTCAGAGCTTTAGAGGATGTACAGAGCAGGTAGAGCTGGTTGTTTCATCTTTTAAAAGATTTATAGTTTCTGCTCCAGAATTACCAACAAAATCAAGAGCTGGTATAACCTGATCTTGTGTGATCTGATTCACAACATACGGTAAATAATTTCATATTCAGACCAAAAGCAGGAACAGATTAATAAAAAAGTTTGGTGATAAGAAGTCACCTTAAAGTCATGAGCTACCTGAGGAAGTTTTTAAATGTTGTCATTAAATTCACAAAGTCTGAGAAGCTTTCATCGATAACTGAACAGTTTCCGGATTTTTCTTTAAAACTTTCAAAAGTTTTAAACCATGACAGCAGATATTAAACTTCGATAACAACCACAAAGAAAAAGCTTGAGGGAAAAAATCCCCGGTTGCAGCAGGGTTAAATCTGAAAGATTTTTAATATGAGATTGTTCTTTGGCCTTTTTGTAATGTTGCTGTTTGTAACTCATCGTATTCAAGCTGCTTACTGATGCAACATTTGAGGGAAAACAACCATATCATTAAGACGGAGGAAAATACCCAGCTCTAGCAGCAGAGGAAGGGACATTTATTCTATTCACTGATGCCCTTGGATGGAAGAAAAACTCAATACCACAGTATAAAAAAAAGACTCGATTTAATGATACCTCAAATCCTTGAATCCAAAAATGTTCATTACAGTATGCACACACAGATCATTGAGTATTGTCTGCAGGGTTCTCAGTGTTACTCTTCTTATAATGTTGTATTATATGAAAATATCTTTCCCTTCATCCTTCACTGTTCTTCTGAATGTACATAGGATGGTGTAAATAGCTGTTAGCTGTGCCTGTTTGGATGGGAGTGATCGTTTTCGTCAGCAGCAGACCAGAGTTTGTGTCGATCGTTTTACTTCTGACGTTCCGACTTTAAATATCGTCACCTCCAGGAACTAGACTTACTTGCACATGACTGTGAAGTCAGCTGATGCCTTAGATATCCCTCTACTGCGACTGTAGTGAATCTGTGAAAATGTGTTATTTAATCATGTGAAAGACTGTACAGGCTGCGTGTTGGTGTTTGGCACTGGGTTTGACTTGAGCTCAATGTGACGGCTGCTGAGCCATTAATACTCTGTTCTGACTTTCTCATGTTGTATGAAGTTTATTTTTTTGCTTTTATTTTCTTTTTTATTTCACAGATTGTTGTCAGTGGTGTTTTCATTTTTGTGTGGAGGTATCAAGTATTCAAAAGCCTCTGTTATCAAGGACGTCGGTCTGGAGAGTTAGACCCGAGTCCTCAGCTCTGCTTGAGAGTGAAACGGGCTGAAGTGGATCTTGTTGCGATTAGTCTGAGAGTACTTTTGCTTTTTCAAGTTTTAATCTGCTAGACATGCAAACCTATTTTTGACACAATGAATAGCTGACATTTATCATGCTGTTTCTTAGTCGTTGGCATTGCCCGTTGTGCAGTAAAGAAACGCTTGAGGGCTCCTCAGTAATTTGAAGGGGATAAGTTCAGGTTTGTGCACATCTGATGGAGGCGGTGAGGGTTAAACAGCCAACAGGACCTTGTGTTTTTAAAAAATCTACTCAGTACACCTTATCTTAAGTGTGTATCAGATAGTGTTATTATTGTAAGAGCACATGTAAAGCTTGTGTTCTAGGCTGGTTTAAGGCTTCAGCAAATCCTTAAACTCTTCAGTATTTCTGTTACAAGAAGTTTTTAGCACCAATTTGGAGACACTGAACTTGGTGTTTAATGAACTCTACATCACATTGGTTAATGTTCTTCAAGGCTAGTCTTCTTTATTTCCGTTTTCCTGACCTCAAAACTCAAAAAGTGACTCACTCTTGGATTAGAGACCGTGTACGAGCCTTTTCTTTGCTGCTACAAGATCATTCCTCCTCATGGGCTCAAAAATTCCAAATTCAGAGGCTGCATGTCGTCTTGACCAAACCAGATCGGTGTCGACAAGAATGATAATGAATTATCCGACGTGTTCCTCTTTGTTTCGGTAAACCAGAAATCAAAGCATGATGGTTTTTTTGCATGAGGATAAATAATCTGTATACTTGAAGTTTGTAATCAGCACTCGCTCTGTACAATCAAGCAGAAACAGAGGGGCTTTTGAATGCTGTTACCAGTATTTCCATTGAAATCAGCAGGTTTTTATGGATCATGTAAATGTTTTTTTGTTTCTTTAGGAATTCTCATCCTCCATCTTGCATGCATATTTTTGTATAATTTCAGAAACATGTTGTTAATCCCATGTGATTGTTATGTTTTAAGTTCTTCTCCACATGTCTTTATTGATGTTGATTTGACTCTGAATGTCCTGAACGGAATATGGATTTAAAAGTGATCACTACCATTACAACTCACTGAGCTTGGAACTGGATGCTTCTCTAAAATTGTGGTCAGATTTGAGACATGAGTTTCAGCTTGATTTGAAACTGTAATTTAACAGTTAAAGGATTCTGAAAATTCACAAGTGAGGGGATTGTTGTTAAACCCCCAATAAAAACCACCCAAAACACCGAGCAGATGAAGTCATACAGCTCCAAGCTCATGACTGTCAGATTTCTTTGTTTTTCTTCGTCACATGGTTGTTATTCTGTCTGTAACGTCTCCATGAACCTCATGATCTGCCCTGTCTGCCTGGAACAAACTGGTGTGACCTGTTATTCCTCCACTATTCTGAGCTGATAGTGAAAGGGCAGACATGACAGCGAAAGTGGTTATAAGAAATTTTTTAGCATGTTTGTCCCTTGTACGAAATTAAATAAAATAATGTAATCTTATTCGCCTGTTCCCATAACTGTTTTTTTACTGCACCCACTATCTTTCAAGAGTTTATACACTCTACTTTTTACATATGTCATTAAAAAAAAGGTGCATTTTTCCTTTTTTTTTTTTTTTTTTGTCAAATACACTCATAAGATTCAATCTGAAGAGTTTTCTTACAGCTAAAAGGAAAATATCTTAAACGAAACAGAAAATAAACTTGAAAGCCGATTATTTGTTGCTCACCGACAGCTGGAACGCTCATCGACGGTGCGCCTTCATCACTGACCAATCAAGATGAAGGAGGGGCGGGACTTCAGACAGAAACTGCACAAACCTTTACGACGGAAACCCGCACGGACGAGGAATTAATTAGCGTTATTGATTATAATTCCAACTTTAGAGCTAATGGCACGACACCAATCATGCGATATACTCTTTTTAAAAGTTAAATATATAATTTGAAGTGCCGTTTAATCGAATAAACAAGACTAGGCAACTTTAAACGCATTTAACGGTCGATGCTAAGGAGCGGAAGTGACAACATTCGTAACCTAGCGAGAGTACGCAAAAACAGGTTTACGGAATACGGGTCCCAAGGTCCAGAGTCAAAGTCTTAAAGGATATGCGAAGTTGTTTTGTGCTTCATTCCTCCTTGTCATGTTATATAACAGGACTGTCGGCAACAAGCTTTTCCGGTTTTACCGCATTTTGCACCTCAAGCTAAAAGAAATAAACTTTTCAGGTTGTTTTCCTGCATGTATGCTAACACAGGAACCCACTGAACTTAGTCCAACAAAGGACGAACACACCCTTATTTATAATTTAGATGAGAAGGAGCCCGGCTGTAACATCACTTTGTTTTGTTTTGCTGCATGAACTGAAGAACCTGCATTACTGTAGCTCTACATCTGTTTGTATAGTCACTCATTTTCCTCATGCGCCAGTCTGTTACTAAAGCTTCAAACCCTCTTTTTTTAATGTTTTCCTTCAGATTTCAATCTATCTAGCCTGCTATCATTGGGAAAACCCCTGCTAATGTATTTCCATGGGTTTTAAAACACTGTATTTAAGCAGAGACTCTCTTACTGACCTGTATCGGTGCGTAGAAACAGGTTAACGTCTGCTCTCATGTCATCACATGTTCAGTATTTCTGTTTTCAACTGCCCAAGTTTTGCTTGTAGGAAATGATTCATTCCTGTTTGATGGTAAGTCTTCATGGATGCAGGGGTCTCTGTGTTTTTGTGATGATACTTGTGTTACCGTGTGTTGGATTGATGTTTTAATTGGGTAGTTGTAGCTCTGTGTGTCGTGGTAATCGGCTGAAGGGGATTCTGTTTGTTGACTAAATGATAACGATTTCTCCAACTTCACAAGAAGACAAAACCAACACAGAGTTGATCCTGATAACATCTTAATGTGTGTCCTCTTCCTATAGAAACCTAGGAGTAACTCATTATTGTGGCATTTTTATAGTCATCAGATAGTATCTAACAAATGCTCTGATTGCTTCAGTTTGAGTGACTTTTACTAAACACTTTTTTTTGAGACTTCTTCAAACATACCGGTAAAACTGCCTTGAATAGAAACAAATGTGTGTGGGATTGTCTTGAGGTATTAATAGACTATCATGTGTTGGTTTTGTGGTTTTCTTGGTATTACCCAATCATCCATTAGTCTTAAAATTCCACTCAAATATAACAACAAGAAGCAAATACGACTGAAACTGAATCCCCCTCAGTGCTGCTGAAAAATTGAGTTTAAAATGAAAATGTGAAAGTCTATAGTCCTACTGCAAATGTTCTCTTTCTGTGTGTGTGTGTGTGTGTCTGTCTGCAGGTCAGGTCTGTTATAAACCTGCTGTTTGCAGCCTACACAGGAGACGTGTCTGCACTGAGGAGGTGAGCACGTCACACTCATTTCTTCTTCCATTCGCTCACTGACAGTTTAACAAATAATTCAATTCAGTATCCTGCTCACTCAGACACTTATCCTGTCTTAACCCTTCAGCTGATCGACTGTAAACTCTGTGTTTGCAGGTTCGCACTGTCTTCTGTTGACATGGAGCAGAAAGATTACGACTCCAGGACGGCTCTCCATGTGGCGTCTGCTGAAGGTAAAATCAAACCTGCTCCGACTGTCTTATAATGTTTGACCCTTTACTTCATACTGACTCCTGTGATATATACTCCAGGCTCCGAGTATCTATATGTCAGTTTAAAAATAATGTAACTCTGTCATCTGATTCCCCCTCTGTCACTATGTCAGGACTCTTGGACTTTACTGTAGAAGTTTATTTTTATTCTGAACGTGCTCTTTCAGGACACACTGAGGTGGTGCGCTTTCTTCTGGAGGCCTGCAAGGTGAACCCCGTACCCACAGACAGGTGAGTCCAGACTGAGTTAAAGGGATAATCCGGAGTAAAATTAATTTAGGGTCAGACACACCGTAACACCGAGTTAGACCCCCCCGCCAGAGATGAATGTTGCCGACCGCTTGCTTCTCTAGTTATACCAACTTTAGTAACGACCTCAGGATAGCAATACACAGCGGTCTGAGGAGCCATAAACAAACCTCAACCAAAACGCCACCAAAGTTGAGAAATCAGCTCTAAAGACCAGAATCATATGATGCACTCTGCTGTAAACATGTTAAATTCTACTGTAAATGCTGACTTAATCAGACTTAACTCTGGCTTTCGTTGCCTCCAGTGGACACATGAAGAACTGCATGTTTTTTCACTTTTACATTGGTTTTGTTTTTCTGGACTGTAGGATGCAACTTGTGGTTTGTTCATAGACTGTATGTAGAACAGACGCAGTCTGCCTCCTCGCTGGGTGAAGACATTCCGAGAACAGCACCCTCTGGTGGCTGGCTGCAGTATAGGTCATAAATCCCGCCTCCGCCAGCAAAGCTTATGGGACTGTGGACAAACTTTAGAAATTTATTACACAGAACATACATTTTTCTCCCCCCTGCTTGGGACGTTGACATGTAGTTACTGTCAGACTGGTTTGTGCTCAAGTCCTCTTTTTTTCTGTACTATGGACGTACAAAGATTGCGTAGCTCACCGGGGGTATACGCTGTTTGAGCCGAGCGTCATCACAGCGACTCTCGGCGACTCTCCCGTGGAATGCCTACAACGCTACTGTGCAATGTTGGTTTCAGGAAATGGAGAAAAAACGCAGAAATACTGAGAGCTTTTCGGCTTCTAATCCGTATACAGGCGGGAGGCGGAGCCAAGTTGTCCATGGTATATACAGTCTATGAATTTGTTACCTTCAGTCTGTGCTTGTGGTGTAATTTCTCTTCACTACTTTTCTTTACGTTTGTCCTCATCAGTATGTGGAGAACAGGAGGCTTTATCTGCAGCCTGACTGCTTTGCATATTTCTAGTCTGTGATGCAGCAGTGTGTTTTCTCCGCACAGATGGGGGAACACGCCGATGGATGAAGCCGTGCAGTTCGGTCACCACGACGTTGTCACCATCCTGCAGCAGTACCAAGACAAATACAGCCCGGCGTCTGGAGCTGACGAGAAAGAGAGCGCTGAGAAGAGTCTGGACAGCCTGCTGTAAACCTGCAGTATCTCTCTGTTTGTTATCCCACAGTGGAGCCATCGAGCGCTTCTCTGGAACTGATCTGTACATATTTGACCAAACTGTCTGAAATGTTGGGGGGATTTTACTGCCTGCTGTTGCTTTGCTTTGTCGCTGTACATCACCGCTCCGCTTCATCGCTGTACTCCTCCTCTGTTGTACGTTTGAGTGAGCACCTTATCAATACCCTTCAAAGAAATTATACTCTATATGCTATCTGTAATACATGTTTACAGTAAAAAAATCATGTAATCTGTGGGGACTGTGTGTCACATGGTGGTATCCAGGATGTAGACCGTATCCAAGTGTGCTAGTTTAGTTACGTCACAGTTTTTATGTTATCCTCTGCCTGGTTATATTCGCATAATGGAAACTTCTGTTAGTTTAGTGCGTCAGTGAGGTGCGTGGACATTATGCTATAAACTTTATAATGTGTCTCTGATTGTGTAGATGTGTATACTCTCACAGGCTCTGCTGCAGTTTAACGCCTGTGCGACCTCCACGCTCACGCATCTGTTCTCAAACTTTGCTTGCGAGGTCTTCAAGCAGGTTTTACAAAGCTTCACTTTTCAGGTGGGAAAAGTTTTTGACAGATTGTACTCCAAATGTATTTTTCAGTGGAAATATTTGCAACAGAAGCAGATTGTATTTATTCACAGAGACTTTTTAGAGCGTGAAACTCGTCTATATTGTGCTAGCTGATGCTTCGGGACAAATGCGAGCCGTTTCCTTTGGTTTCTGTCATCATAGTTACATTTTTATTTACAGGTTTTGTTAAAAATATAATGTTGGAAATGTTCAGCATGCAGGGCCCAGTAATCAAACCCAGTTTTCTCAGACTTTCGAACAGTGCCGCTCAAAAATAAGTAAAGAAACTGGATACAGTCGGGTTATTTAATTTTAATTATAAAATATGATATCCAGACTTTTTAGTCGGATTCATCCAAAAAGTTAAAATCATCCTATTCCAGCAGAGGGCTGGATTACAGGACAGAACATGATAAAACATGTAAAAGTGGTCACCAGTTTGAAGGTTTTTAAATATTGTACCCTTGAATACTAAATTGATACGATGATCAAGTTAATCCTAAAGAATTTACAGGGTGTAAAAGGCCAACCCAATAATAAAAATGTTTTTGACCACTATGTTAAAGGTGGGGTAGGCAGGAATCTGTTAAAGAAACAACTTTTTTTGTGGTGTATTTACAAAAAGCTTTTAATATCAGTCAATAGTTATCAGTTATTGATGACATTTGGGAATATTGTGGTATCACTGTGTTCTGTTATGTCTGTGTAGTCAACATTTTAACATTTTGAGCGCTCCGCTCATTCTGACTGTAAACAAAGCCATTCCCCGCCTCCCCTGACCTGATTGGTTGTGAGGCAGACGCTGCTCCCCCGTGTCGTTCAGGAACCCAAACAAAGTTAGCGTGCTACAATATCGGACAGTAGAAACCAACCAGAAAGTTCGGAAAATTGTCTGAATCCTCCTTTGGCCACGACTGCCAACACAAGCAAGAAAACGAAGTAAATAGCGGACCAGGGGTGGGCAATCATCACTCCACCAGGTGATTTCACTGATTGGTCCTTGCTCTCTGATTGGAGGTAAATCAGTGAAATCACCTGGTGGAGTTTTGGGTTGGAAAGAAAACCTGCAGCCTCTCGGCCCTCCATGGCACTTGATTGCCCACCCCTGCCAGAGACCCTGTAACCTTTCTGCTGGACAGGTAAACCGCTTTAACAAAGTAAGACAAGTGTCTGTAACAGAAGTGTTTCTTGTCAAACGGACCTGCTGTAGCGTGTTGTAGCGCCATCGCTAAACTGTCCTCCCTCGGGTCCTGGACTATGCCACTTTATCCTAGTTGTAGAAGTCCTGCAAACATTGTGTTTGCTGGTAGTCTGTTGGCGTCTAATGTAGCACCAATGCTTTTGACTTTCACCTTGACTGGGCCCCATTTGTAATGATCTAATTTAATTGGAACGATACGAGCGAGCAGGAGCGTCTGTTTGTGGGCGGGGCTTGCTGGAGCAGAGAGGGAGGGGAGAGGAGGAGCTGAGGGGAAAACTGGTTTGGAGGGGTAGAGTTTACATTCAAGATTTCTCCTAAAAACTGGAACTTCTTGAGATCCTGCCTACCCCACCTTTAAGGTAAATTAGAAAAACAGAGTCAGGGTTAGCAGAGGGTCCACTTCAGCCCCTCAGACCCCGGGTCCAGGACAACTGACCCGGTCGCCCGTATTTGGTAAAGGCCTTTTTGCTTTTGCATAGTTATCCATTAAAGAGCAGCATAATAAACCATAAATAAAGTATATAATTTAAAATAACTGCAAAGAAAGTCCACAGGGGGCGCCAAAATTCACTCTATAGAGTATGAAGTGCATAACAGATTTGGCATTTTCAAATCTGGTTTATTTTCACCTCCATAAAAAACATTTTTCCCACAAATGATTTCCAATCTCATGTCAGGGACCGTAATTCAGTCAATCTATCAGATAAATATGTCACTTAAAACCAAGAGAAACAGTGTATATGAACATTGTCCCCTATCAGCTGAGTTTATATCTTAATTTTCCCTCTCCAGAATAATCCAACAGCACAAAGAAAATGTATGACAGCAGCCCTGGACTTGTGCAATAATTCCCTTTACTCCAGAGATGTGTCTCTGAATGTATTTCCACACAGATCTAATCCAAAGCAAAAATGAAGAATGTAACGTGTATTTTCTCCTGTGTTTAGTAAAAAATAATAAGTCTATGTCCTGAATATAGATAATTTATCATAGATGTAGCTGTAACTAAAAGTTGATCCACTATAAGGTGTGAAGTTTTGCTGAAATTTTCCAAAAGTGTGAGTTTCTCATCGGTCACTGTTTCATTTCTCCTGTTTTCTCAGCCCCAGTTTATGCTTCATGTTTAATAATTTAATCTCTGCACTTTTTTTTTTTTTTTACTGCATGCATCAAAAAGAGTCAGTCTAAGAATTCAGGGACAGTCGCCGACTTCATGATGGACCAAAGATGCAAACTGGATGAGTCACTCCTTTGCTATCTGCACTTCTTACGGCCTCCATGTTGTTTGTAATCAGAAGGTTGGTGTCAAATGTGTGTTTGCTTTAAAACCACCAGCTGTTCGAGGTAAAGATAACCTAATCTCAAACTTTTGCTTTAGGGTTAAAAAAGATAAAGAAAAAACAAACACTATAAAGAAGAGGTCATAACTAAAGCAAACTTTGCTGTCAGACAATAACAATCTCTAATGTGCAAGTTTTGTTGTGTTCTGTATTTGAGGCAATATTTTACTAAATAAACTCAAATAAACAAAAACAGAGACATGTCTGCTGTTCCTTTAAATCATAACATGGTTGTTGTTGTAATGTTCACTTTAGATCGGTCTGTTTGTGCGCTGATGTGACAGCGGGGGTCACAAATCTGGCACCTAAAGACTGAAAAGTTTGGAAACCCTGAAGACAAATGAGAAGGTTTCTTATTATGAAAAATAACTTTTATTTAAAGTTTGGTTGTGACACGATTTCATAGATGAGCAGTAGAAAAATTGGTTCAACACAGAAGACTCAGAGCTGCTTTTACAAAAATATAAAACAAATTATTAAGTATGATTAAAACCCTTTTTATACTGCAAAACCATCCTGCAGAACTGTCATACCGGTGCTTCACACAGACTGAGACACACTTTGACATCTCTGTGACCTCCTCAGACTGCAGCACAGCAGAAATATTAACACCGAGAGAGGATAAATATCAGGTCAATATGAAAAAGGCTTCAGAGAGACGAGAGGAGCAGCATTTACAGAGATCAGGAGTTCATGTCTCATGTTTATGACATGATGTTAGGCACTGAACTTTCTCCAACACACATTCAGAATTCACTGAAACAAAACTGATATAAAATTTAAATTAGTCTCTATGATACAAACGAAAAACCACAAAGCAGTTTGAGTTAATGAACTTCCTCCAGCAGTCCCTCAGTCGTCCACGATGCTCAGCAGGCCGTTCAGCGTCAGACTGCAGGCCAGCTCTTCCTCTTTGCCCGCCGAAATCTGGCGCTGTAATTCCCTCAGCCGCCATGTCAACGATACGGGCGGGGTTTTAGGCCAGTCTGCTCTCTCCGACAGATCATCATCATCGTCATCCTCAGGCTCTGGCTGCTGGAGGAGCAAAATGATAAAAACTTATGATTGCTGGAATTCTAGGTCACAGCATTTAGATATTATTGATTATGAATTACTGTCGTCTGCAGCTGAGTAAATAAAATCACATCAGGGTGATCACTTCAGAATCACGTAGAATTCATTTTCTTGTATCTTCATTTTTATGCAGAGAAAGTTACAGACAGTAACTCCAGTTTTCAACTTCACGAAGACAACAGGTGCACTGAGTGGGCTGTGGGTTACCTGTGTGGGTGTGGAGTCTTGAGTTCTGGATGTGGACAGGTGTCTTATGGTGGGCATGGTCAGCAGGGTGGAAGACGGGATGAAGAGCGGTGTGGATAATTGTTCCACAGGGTCTCCATCCAGCCAACGCTGAAGCTGCTCCATACTTCTGTGGACAGAGTTAAAGTTTTGATTCGATTACAGACATAAAAGTTCCTGGACTGATGTAAGTTAAGTCCTCTCTTGCTGACAGTCTCCACATGTAACAGGATGCACGGCACGTGAGCAGCTGCAGCCAAACTCAGCAACATTTCCCGGCTAAATTAAACTCAGCTGAGTCTCTACAAACTCTGGGAAGTCTCCTCACCATCACATCCTCAACACTTATTTTAGGAGACCACTGACCGGCTGTTTGTCACAGATGACCTTAAACTATGAAACTAAAATAGGTTCCAGTCCTTTCATTCATGATTGATCAGAGACAAACTTCTCTTTTTCTGCTTTTTCTGTTTCCTTTAAAGGTTCAATCATGAACTTCTGATGCGACTAAACGTCTTTAAGTTCTGTCTGTACCTTTTGCTCTCTGCCGTCTCCTCCTTTAAGCTCTTCCGGAATCTGTGGACCTTCAGCTCCTGTGATGACGGGGTGTGTGTGATGTCCAGCGGGGTCATCGAGTCCTCCCGAGGGCCCGGAAAACTGTGGAACAAATTCTTCCTCAGAGACAGACTGGAGGGGGGAGAGTAGGCGGCTGCGCTCGCTCTGGAGACGAAGAGAAAACGTAAGAAAGAGTTTTAATATGACTAAGTTTTTTAAAAGGTCTGAAAACCACAAACACCTCCAGAGATGACAAGTCCGACCTCATCTCTTAGTACTGAACGTCACTTTGAAAGTGAACAGTGTGATGTAGATTTGTGTTTCTAGTTCAGGAGGAATTCCCCCGAGTTTGAAGATGAGTTAAGAGGCGTCGGTATGAAACTCGATGAGAAACTAGTTTAAGAAGATCAGTCTAGACATCTGTAAAGACTGACTTGACTATCTCATCTCAACACTTGTCTGGTTTTGGTTTTATTTTATATTTTCTACGCTTTCTCATAAAAATGTCCTTAAAATAAACTCATTTACTCCTAAGATATCTGCTTTGCTACATTAGAGAAGACGCTGCTTGACTGAAGAATTAAAACTGCAAACTGAACTGAGTTAATCATTTCTACTAATTTAAGGTTTTTCTTACTCCTCCCTCTCCTGGTGTTTCTCTCTGTGGGTTCGTCGGACCGCCTGGGTCCACTCTTCAGGAGGTTGGAAACGGTTCAAAGACTCTGTTTGGAAGTAAACCAGGACCTCTCCGTGCTCTGTTACTGCATCTACAACAAGAAAACAAAACAAACATTTACATTTTAAAGCCGAACACCGTCTGTAGTCCAGATCAGTGTCAGTTTGACCCGCAGAGTCCTCACCCTCACAGACTGGCGGTCTGGGAAAGTGCCAGTCCTTCAGTTTGTGGTCGATGCAAATCACCAGCACGTCGTCCCAGGGGATATTAATGGATCCAGGGGTTTGGTGACCCTTCAGCCTGACCCTTTCCAGAAGGTTCTCCAGGCGGGACATCAGGAGGGGCTGACTGCGGGGGGAGACGGGAACCTGAGCAGTGTAGAGGAAGATGGAGGAGCAGATCTCAGACCAGGAATCTGGAGAGAGAAGAAGAGACGATTAAAGAGTGAGAAGAGGTTCATGATTATTTTTAACCAGCCTGCTGTTTGTTATTATACCCTCCTTCAGAACCAGCTATGTTTGACTTCCCAACCGGGTCTCCTGTTCATTCACTCCCTGACGTCTGTGTCACTGACCTGCAGCAGACGGCGTCTCCCACTGCGGCAGCTGCAGGCTGAGGATGGCGTCACGCAGCCAGCTGAGGTGCGGTGCAGAGTTCCAGCACAGATGAGGCACGAAGTCTCTGTTTTCCGGCAGGCAGAACTCACATGGCGGCCACGATAGCCTGCTGAGCTCCTGAGACGACACTCTGTCTGCGACGTGAGCCAGGACGGCGTTGTACAGCTGGATGACCGGCGCAGGTTCCTGAGGGGGGAGGTGCGCGGCGGCTCGCTCCTGCCGCTGGGCGAAAACTCTGGGACCGAACTCCCGACTCAGGCTGGCCTCGACGAGCTGCACCAGGGACTGACAGGAGAGGGGGAAGAGTGGGGGGGCTCGAGCCAGCAGCCAACGGACGGCACGGCTGAGCTGAGGACAGAAGGAGGTCAGAGGAAGGAGGTCAGAGAGAGTTCATATGAGAAATATTTGACAACTTCTAAACAGTAAATGAAGAGCAGACTTCCCACAGCCCTTCACAGATTTATTGATCTATTAACCATGATCACTGAGGACCAGAGAGAAGTGTCTCTCTTTACTCTCTGAATGTTTTATCTGAATCTATTTGAAGTGCTGAGATAAAATAATTCAGAGGAGAGCGAGCGGAGAGAGTAGAGACCAGAATGAAGCTCAAATATGAACTCTGGATTCTTCGCTTGTTTGTAAAAGTTTTAAATGTTTGACAGAGACGACGGGGTTTTCTGAGGTGTAAGTGTCACTGCATGGAAATGTAAAGGTACCTGTCTGGATCCCTGAAGGTCACTGGTGGTCTCTGGTATGAAGATGAACGTGTACTCTGAGATCACGCCTTCTTCTACGAGCGTGTGAAGCATCAGGGCTGAGGGACAAACAGAGATTTTACGTTTATACACCAAACTTTAAAACTTTAAAACTCAGATATCTAAACCGCAGCTTTCTTTACCTTCCTCCAGTTTCTGAGTGTGTCCGTCGCCTCTGTCGGGTCCAGGCACCAGTATGACCAGAGGCAGCGGGCAGTGCCATGTGCTGACCTGCTGAAGCTGTTTGAGCTGCAGCAGAGCAGACAGCAGAGGGACATCCTGCTCGTCCTGACCGGGGTCCATGACGGGGATGGCGGGGAGCAGCGTGATCAGAGCTCCTGCCCCGTGCAGCTCGCAGCACTCCTCCACTTTGGAGAGACAGTCTTCGCTCAGAGGACCTCGAGACGCCTGGAGGACAGAGTGATAACGTCAGATTCGTCTTTTCATGATACTGACAGCAAACATCTCTAGAGGCTGCAGCGTGATCCCACCTTGACGCTGATGTGGACTTTGTGCGTTTGTTGGTCGTGATCCTGGAGTGTGTTCATGACACAGAGGGTCTGCAGGGCGTCGCCTGGCTGCTCCTCGCCGGTCTCTGACATCTTCCCTCCGCTGAGCTTCACCTCCAGCCAATCTGACAGGATCCTGTGGACGACAGACAGAAGATGACTCACTCTTTCCAAAAGGAGAGGATGATTGATAAAACGTTAACGCTGCTCACCTGTCGGCCTCGCTGGCGACACTCTCGTGATCACTCGGCAGGAGGAGAACGGCTTTCCAGAAGATGCGTTCTGGTGGGTTTGGGATGTTTTGTGTCACCAGGGCTGGCAGGTCGAGTGGCGCCCAAACTGCCTCACTGAGTGGGAAAAAAAACAGCATCAAAACTTTGTTCTTCCTTTGAGATGAAACACCGTCTCATGAAAACAGACTGTGGTGTCTTACTCCTGCAGCAGCTGGTAGAAGTAGTGGACTCTCATCTGGTGGATCGCTTCTTGCCTCGTTTTCAACAACCTGCAGAAAATACAGACAGACATGTTTGATACTCGATCCTATCTTGAATAAATCTTCATGTTCACTCAGATCGAACCGTGACAAAGATGGAGATACCTGGTGCTGGAGATAGCCAGGGTGCCGGCGTTGCCCAGGTTGACGACACCGCGGACCAGATCGGCCATAGAGGGCTTTGCAGGGGCACTGGGGGCCAGAGCCTTGAGTTTGAACTGAGGGTCCACAAAGCAGGGAGCGGCAGGGAAACCCCGCATCTGTCTCTTCAGCTGACGACGAACCGCCACCACGTCTCGCCACCTTTGGAGAAGAAAAGGTTAAATCTAAAGAGGACACGTAAACAGAGTAAACATGATAATTCTCAGACTTTCCTGTTTTACTTTTCTCACCTCTTGATGTATTTGTGGATGCGCTGCAGCTCGACCTCCAGGATGTCTTCCACCAACAGAGAAATGTCTGCACTCAAAGTCTCCTCCACCAGACTGCTGCAGACCTCCTCGGTGCATTTAGCCACACGGTCTGCTTTCTCGTTCACTGCTTGTCTGAAAACAAGAAGAACATCTGAAGTCAGTGAAACTCTTTAAGACCACTCTATTATAAAGAACTTTGACTCCCTGGGTTATTCATATTAGACCAGACTAGACTTGGGGTTGAGTTTGAGAGTCTTACTGGATCTCAGAGGAGGAGGTCTCCTTGATGGTCTCATCCAGGACTTCATGGATGAGCTCTGTGCAGAGAGAGGAGCTGTACTGAAGCAGGAAGGCCTCGTGCTCATGTCTCCTCCTACAACAAGACAAAGAAAAAGAAACAAGAAGTGAGTTTGGTTGGTGAGTCGTTTGTCTGTTATTAAATCTGGATTATAAAAATGTTCAAGCAAAATAATCCAGACTAACCTGGCTTCTTCAAGCTTTCGTTTCTCTTCGGCCACGTGCTCCTCCTCCTGCTTGATCTCTGCGGAGGACATCTCCTGCAGCATCTGCTCCATCACCTCACCCACCAGAGACTCCACCTGCACACTGCTCTCCCTGCAAAAGAAGAGGAGGTGAAAGGACTGCCAGAGTTTGCTTTCGTTCATGCTAACTCCTGCCACTGTCCTGTTTCTGTGAACTTCATAACTCAGGTGTGCAAAAAAAAGGAAAAAGGAAAAAAAGGGGAACATGAAATAAACTCGGGGATACTCTCATGAAATGAAGGTGAGGCTTGGATCTTACACAAGAGCTGTTGTGGCATAGCTGGCACCGGCGTCGGCAACCTCCCTCGCTCCTGCTGCAACCACCTCTTCAATCACGCAGTCCAGCACGGCCATGATGTCCTGAGAGAGGAGAACAAGAGCTGCTCAGTGACTGTCGAGTGAGAGCTTGGAGAAAAGTTCAGTTAGTCAACGCTTTTGACTTCTTTTTAAGTTATGTGTTTCATAAAATGTGATCAAACATTAAAACTGATGAACTTCTGCTTCTTCTAGACTCATCTGTGGTTGGTCCAGTTTGAGGATGGTACGGTTATTCTCATAGTTCTTCAGACAGCGATAAAAACACAGATCAGGGTAAAAGGAGATGTTGCTCACCTCATTGTTGTACACAGGCTTCGGTTTGGGTGGAGGTGATGGAGGTTTGACAGGCTGAGGTTGAGCTATTGGCTGGAAAAGCTGCTGAGTGTCTGCTGGTCGTGCCGGGCTGTGGTAAGGTTGGTTCTGCTCTCCAGTCTCATCTGTAACAGCAGGAGGTAACCCAAACGCAGAGGGCAGGTCCGAACCCTGAGCCGGCGTGATCTGTGTCACTAACTCTACGCTGGGAGGAGTTTTAACTTCCAACGCTGGAGCGAGAGCTGAGGAGATAAAGAGAGGACGGTTCTGGTTCTGCACTGAGAGAATAAAACCCAGAACTTAGAGAAATGGACCCAGTACCTCTAAACTGGCTGGTAGCGGGCTCAGCCTGGGGGCCCTCACCACGATACTTGTTATTGGAGTCGAAGCTGAGGACGGGGGTGTGCAGAGGAGGACTCGGGAGGGGGCCTCCGTTCACCACCTCTCCAATCAGCACGTTTTTCTTCGCCAGGATGACCTCCGACTTCTTCTGGGACAGAGGCAGGTCTGGCTCCTGATAGGACGTGCGGCTCAGCTCCACCATACTGTGAACGAAGCGGTTTGAACATTTATAACAGAGAAGAAAAAAAATCATCTCCAGTCAGAAATTCTTCTTCTTCTTCATCAACTAAATGTTCTCAGGTTTGTATCGATCAGACTACCAGCAGTTACTCACCCATCGAGGACGTTGAGGCCGTACTGCTGGATGAAGTCAGTCGCCTCTTCGGCGTTCTGAAACATCAACATTCGCACCACGTCGTCGACTGGGAACGCAGTCGAGCGTGGACCGATGGTGTGCGCCATGTTCAAGGTCTTCAAGGCCTTCGTTCTGACCTGCACACAAACACAAACACCAACATTTCAGTCTTGACCTGCTCTGTTGGATCATATTTCCACATATTGTTCACACAGTAGTTTAGTTACAACAGCTGTCCGTGTTTTTAACATGTTTGAGAACACATCATGCTCTATTAAGAGGGTTTTTCATCAGTTACTAACCTGGTTGAAGTATCTGTGTAGGAGACAGCTGGCGAGGTATGAAGCACCTTTTACCAGCTTGAAGAAGCGCACAAAGTTGTTGCTGTTGACGGCGGTGAACGCCTGCACGGCAAACTTCACCTCGGGGGACCTACGCACCTCGTCTCGAAACTGCTGAACTTCACTGCAAGGACAAGAAAACAACATTCACACCTTAAACATGTGACAGTATTTTAACCAACATATTGAATCATGTGTGTTTAAGTTGACCGACCGTAGGATGTCACCGTCGTTGAGTTTGAGCAGCACGTTGTACTGACGAAACTCCGCCTCTCTGGTGCAGTAGACCTGGTCGGCGGCCAAGTCCTGGTACATTTCTTTGAGGCTCTGAAGACACTTGGTCATGTTCTCGTTGTTGATCTTTGCGTCGAAAGACGACATGTGCTCCTCGCAGAGGTGGTGAGCGCAGTGCACGTGGAAGCGCGTGCACTTTTCAATCAGCGACACGGTGTCGGGGCAGCAGAGGTGCTGCTGGGTGATGTCCTGTGGGCGTGGATCAGAGGAGATTTTTACAAAAGTGAACTTACAGTCAAACTTCAGCAGCTCTTAAAATGAAATGTAGCGCAATATTTAGGGAATTAAAACAATGAAATATGTTTGTACAGTCGTTCTTAATCCAGCAGGTAGATTCAACTCATGCGAGACAATCAAATCAACAACGTGGACACTCCTCAGCTCCTCCAATAATTACCTTACGGATCCCCCTGGTCCTGTTCCAGACAAAGTCGTACCACTCTCTGTAGTTGTCCTCTCCCTGATCCATGATCTGAGTCACCAGATAATCCATAGTCATGCTCAGTATGGGCAGAGGGCGCAACTCATGAGGCAGGGGCTCCTCCTGGTCGGCTGATGATCGACTGTACTCCTTGATGGCTGCTTTGTGATCCACCTAAGAAAGACCAAGATACCATCCTCATACCAGTATCCTACAAATGCAGCTATACAGTCAAACACAATAGTATCCTGTATCCTTCAGCGTGAACGCATTATTACCGTTTCAGTGTCAGGGGTGACCTCAAATAAGCTCAGCTGTTTCCGTGTCTCCCTCATGTACCGCTCCTTCTCTGGACACATGTCAGGACACGTCCCCACAAACACCTTGGACAGGACCAGGTCTGTCCTCTTGGGCCGACCTGTTCGGATGTAAAACACTCACAGTTAAAAGTGTCTCTCATGTTTGGAGGTGTTGGTTAAAGCAGATTGACACCAGTCTGAGAGGCGGCTTAACCTTGACGGAGGATCTTGTCTCTCTGCTCCAAGAAGCGGTACTTGTCCTCGGCGGTGTCAGCCACCTGGCCGATGAGGTGGAGGAGGGACGAGGGGACCGGGCGCTCTGCACTCGAAGCCTCTGTGCTGCTCTCTTTTGGTGGTTCGGCGTCAAACTGCAGCGACTTTGCTAAGGACGACTTCTTCACCGGAGAGCTGTCATGAAAACGTAAAGCATTCAGAGGGTGTCCAACGGTTTACATATTTTCGATAGCAATAATATTTTAAAGTCAGTGATGAATAAAAAGCATCTGTTACCCGCGGCTGAGTGAAGCCGAGCTGCTGACTGCTTGAGGTCTGAATTCAGGTCTTCCGAACGAAAATGAAGTAACCTTAGACGTAGTTTCCTCCTGACTTTCCACCTCTGCCTCCTCCTCCTTTCCTGCTGCAGGTCTGCTTCCTTTGTCCGCTGGATCTTCTGTAGACAAACACAGAAGAAGTAATTAACTAAGACTCAGAGATTTTTACGTCCATACATAGCGAAAAAAATGAGGTCAATCAACAGCAATATTTTTGATCATCACACAGGTCCTGAAGTAATCCTAATATTGTTTTTTTTTAAAAAGCATAAAAGGTCTGATAGAAAATGTGTTTCATTTACTCTGGTTCTTTCTCCTCCAAAAGAGGAAGAGCTCCTGTCCCTGCAGGACTTTGCCTTTCTTCTTTGCCTTCGCTGCGGACGCCTGAAAGAGACGACAGTCACCAGTGACAGAGAGAGAAATGAGTTTATAGCAACACAAAGATGCAGACAAAGACTTTAAGCAACACATGAAAGTTACTTGAGTAAACGACAGATCTCTTATATGAGGTAAAGAAGGGAAGAAAATGAAGGGTAAGACTCACATGGTCGTTAAAGTGAATGATGGCTGAGTTCTTGTTGGTCTGGCAGTAGACCTTCCAGACTTTTCCAAAATGACCAAAGTGCTTCTTCAGGATGTTCCCCTTGTTCAGAGTTAGAGGAAGGTTTTTGCACACGATGGCAGTGCAGTCGGTGGGAGACGTGCCGCTCAGGCTCTCTGAGCTCTCCCTGCGTACGCCACGTTTCACAGGGGTTGTGGTCTCTGGATGCGGGTCTGAGCTTCCTGGTGAGCCTGGCATGAAACAGCAGATTAAAGGTGAATTCAATCCAGTCTTTGAATTCAGAAAGATGAGAGTTTCTGTACTTCTGACTAAATCTATTTTTTTAAATCTCAAATTCAAAGTAAGTAAAAAAAATTGGATTTGTTCGTCTTACCGGACCGTTCAGCTTTTTCTACTTTTTCCACAACATCCCTGCTTCTTGTTGGGGGTGCAGCTTGTAAGTCCTCCCCCTGAGCTTGGACACCTTCCTTCTCTGTCTCCTTCACAGCCTCTCGCCTCACTGGGTTAACAACATCTTTACGAATGCCACTCATAGCCCTGCCAAATATTCCACCTGCTGGACCTCTAGATCTCATTAGGGGCCTCTTCGAAGGGTGTCTTGGTGAATCGGCTTCTCCTGGAGCATCTGCCTCTGTGGTGGACTTTTCCTGGCCAACGATAGGTACAGCTGGATCTTCCTTGCGTTTGGTGCCTTTGCCTAATCTTGCAAATACATTTGTCTCCCCTAGAGACTCAAGGTTGCTCCCCTTCTCCTCTGTACTGCTCTCTGCCTTGGCCTTGTTGTCACCAAAAGCTGATGACTGACCAAAAAGCGGTGCGTCCTGAGCCTGGACGGTTTTGGCCGAGAAGCTAAAAGATGAAGGAGTTGTTGGCTGGGTGGTTGTCGTCTTAGTGCTGGAGCTCGAGGGGGCAGCTGGCTGAGAGAAAGTGAACTGCAAGGTGCCGGCAGAAGCACCGGTACTGCTAGCTGTTGGTGGATTGCTTTGAGCAGAGATAGACGGGGCTGCAGCTGGCTGTGAGAAGCTGAAACCGAGCGGCCCAGACTTGGCTCCAGACAACAGAGAGAAGCCTGCAGAGGTGGTGCTGGTAGCACTTGTGGTGATGGAGCTTGTCTGGGACCCAGTGTTGCCAAACGGGGAGCTGGACATGGAAGTAGTTTGAGGGTTGGCGGGCTCAGGGCTCGCACTAAAGATGGGTTTGAAGACCGCCTCATTAGCAGGCTTGAAACTGAATTCAGTTGATCCAAAGCCTCTGCTCTGGGTCACACTCTGCGCAGAGCCGAAAACAGTGGTGGTGGCGCTGGTAGATGATGGCTGTCCAAACAGAGACTGTCCAAAATTCGATGGTTGAGGTTGCCCCAAGGTTGTAGTGGAGCCTGAGGACGCCTGGGTGTTTCCAAACCCTGAAGACTGTTGACCAAAGCTGGGTGGCTGCTGATTAAATCCAGGAGCCTGACCGAACGCAGAAGACTGTCCAAACGCAGGTGCCTGTCCAAACACTGAACTCTGGCTCGGTCCACTAGTTTGTCCAAAAGCTGGTGCTGTGGTACCCCCAAAACCTGAGCTGCTCATTCCCAGAGATGGTTGTCCAAAGGCTGGAGTCTGGCTCATGGTGGCCAGAGATGAGGACTGTGGTGAAGACTGTCCAAAGGCAGGACCCTGACCAAAGAGGGGGTTTCCATGACTCACAGGCTGGTTTGAGACAGGCGGCTGTCCAAATGCAGATGATGAAGGGAAAAAGCTCATATTTTGGGGCTGATTAGCGGAGTTTTGGGCACCAAAAGACTGAAACAAACCGGTCCTCACGGTGTTGTTTGGAGCCTGGAAAGCTCCACCCTGTGGACTCCCAAACGGATTTGGAGGATTCATGGCGCTAATGTTTAGAAACCGAGTGTTTCTGTCAATAAATGTTGTTCATTCGAGCATCCAGGCAGTGAAAACCTTAAACTTTATCCCATATTCATGATTATTTATGTGATAAATCCTGTAAAGACAGAGAGAGTATCAGAGGTCTGGCTCACTCGTTAGCATAATGCTAACACAACAAGCACAGAAATAGTCTCAATTTCCGAAAGGATATTTAGAGTTGAGAAACTGTTCGTACATTAAAAAAACCCAAACAAAATATGTATGAGTTAAATAACTTTAATCGCAAAAACTCTTACCCCGCACATTTTATGCTTCAAACGTTGTTGTCTTTCGTTCCGCTTGACCGTTACGTTAAACTTCCGGTGTTATGGTTGAATTTGTTACCTTGTTCGTCCCAGAAACCCGATTTTTTTTTACTGCGCATGTGCGAAATCTACGCCACTTCCTCTACGAGCCATCTTTGCGACAGCCCAGCAGTTCTTGTTCAGTCAGAATGGATGTGTCAGTTTATCACCAGCTCGTTTAGTTAGAGAAAATGTTAATATAATGCATGTAGAAAGCTGGACCAGATATTTACCAGCCTTAAACAAGCCAAAGTATCTGTCCCATACCACGGTGAGGGACGAAGTAGTTAAGGTAACAGTGGGGGCTCATGGCTGTGGAAGACGAAGTTAGTTTGATTACTGGAGGATACATTTACATTTTAAGGACATGATACGAAACGTAAGGGAAACAGCTGTCCTTATTTACAGAGTTCATATGCATATATTGTGTATTGACATTTTTCTATAGGCATAAGACTGAATTGTGTGGCACTTTATGGACATTGCCCGTGTATTTTGATGTCTCCTGCTATGATGTGACCTATCAGGGATCTGTGAGGTGAATGTGCTAAAATGAGGGGTGTTTTCCTGGGTTTCTTTATCGGTGTGTCTTGTGCTGGAGTGATATTAAGGGTTTAATTATCATCCAGCGTGGGGGTTGTGTTACCGGCATGAGCAGTTGCCGCTTCTCCCATCCACTGGGCGGCAGTGTTGCTCCCTGTAATATGATAAATATTTCATAGTATAGCATGATAAAAATGTCAAGGTCTAGTATGTTTTAAAAATATTTTAGTAGAGTATAATGAAAATGTCATTGTAAACTATGTTATAAAATGTCATAGTATAGTATGAAAAAATATAGTATAGTATGATAAAAATGTCATAGTATTGTATGTAAAAAATTCAAATTCAAGTGTGTGAAAAAAATTTTTTCAGGTTTTTGTATGAAAAAAAATATTATAGTATACTATGATCAAAATGTCATATTATAGTATGATTAAAATTTGAAAAAAATGTCATATTTTAGTATTTAAAAAATACCATAGTATAGTATGTTAAAAATGTCATATTTTAGTGTGGATTTTTTTTTTCCTATTTTAGTAAATAAACAATACATAGTATAGTATGATAAAAATGTCATTCTCAGTATGGAAAAAAGTCATACTTTAGTATGATGAATGTCATAGTATAGTATGATACAAATTTCATATTTCAGTATGAAAAAATTCATAGTTTACTATACTATACTATTTCATGATAAAAATGAAATGTTGAAAAATGTCATACTATAGTATGATAAAAATGTAAAAGAATAATATGATGAATTTTTTAAGGTAGTGCATGATCAAAAATGTCAAGGTATAGTATGTTAAAAAATGTCATAGTATAGTATGATAAAAATGTCAGTAAAGTATGTTATAAAATGTCATGGTATAGTATGATAAAAATATCATACTTTAGTTTAATAAAAAAAGTCACAAACTAGTCTGTTATAAAATGTCAATGCATAGTATGTTAAAAAAATGAATAGTAATAAAAATATGTTATTATATAGTGTGATTAAAAATGTCATAGTATAATATGAAAAAATGTCTAGTATAGTATGTAAAAAAATTCAAATTCAAGTGTGAAAATTTATTTTCATGTTTTTGTATGAAAAAATATCATTGTATACTATGATCAAAATGTCATATTATAGCATAATTAAAATTTCATTTTTTAGCATTAAAAAATGTCAAAGTACCCTAAAAAAAATTTCAAAGCAAAGTATCATAAAAATGTCATAGTATAGTATGTAAAAACATTCAAATTATTGTGTGAAAAAAATATCATATTTAAGTATTTAAAAAGATACCATAGTATAGTATGATAAAAATGTCAATGTTAAGTATGTTATAAAATGTCATGGTAAAGTATGATAAAAATATCATCAATATCAAGTTTGATAAAAAAAAAACCTCACAAAATAGTATGTTAAAAAACGTCAATGCAGAGTATGTTTAAAAAATTTTAGTTATAAAAATATGTTATTCGATAGTATGATTTAAAATGCCATAGTACTGTATGAAAAAATATCATAGTATAGTATGATAAAACTGTCACAGTATAGTATGTAAAAAATTCAAATTCAAGGGTGAAATTTAATTTTCATGTTTTTGTATGAAAAAATAGCATAGTATACTATGATCAAAACGACATATTATAGTATGATTTTAGTTTCATTTTTAGCATTGAAAAAATATCATAGTATCTAAAAGTATCTAAAAAAATGTCAAAGTATAGTATCATAAAAATGTCATAGTATAGTATGTGAAAACATTTAAATTATACTATGAAAAATATTATATTTTAGTTTTTAATAAAATACCATAATTTAGAATGATAAATATTTCATAGAATAGTATGTTAAAAATGTCATAGTATAGTATGATAAAAATGTCATAATGTCAAGTTTGATAAAAAAAAACCTCACAAAATAGTATGTTAAAAAACGTCAATGCAGAGTATGTTTAAAAATTTTAGTTATAAAAATATGTTATTCGATAGTATGATTTAAAATGCCATAGTACTGTATGAAAAAATAGCATAGTATAGTATGATCAAAACGACATATTATAGTATGATTTTAGTTTCATTTTTAGCATTGAAAAAATATCATAGTATCTAAAAGTATCTAAAAAAATGATAAAGTATAGTATCATAAAAATGTCATAGTATAGTATGTGAAAAATTTAAATTATACTATGAAAAATATTATATTTTAGTTTTTAATAAAATACCATAATTTAGAATGATAAATATTTCATAGAATAGTATGTTAAAAATGTCATAGTATAGTATGATAAAAATGTCATAGTTTAGTGTGATAAAAAAATGTCATAGTATAGTTTGTTAAAAAAAATGTCATAGTATAATATATTTTTTAAATGTCATAGTTAAGTATTATAAAAATATCATAGTATAGTAGCATAAAAACTGTCACAGTATGGCATTTTAATAATTGTTTAGTATGATAAAAATGTCATGGTTAAGCATGTTAACAAAAATGCCATAGTATAGCAAGTTAAAAAAAATTCATAGTATTGTGACAACCCTCATGCCTAGCCAGGACTTACTGTTTGTTCCTTTTTCAGGTTTTTCTTGTTTCTTTTGCAGGTTGCTGGTAGGCGGGGTTCAACCGCACCTGCTTGTTCCTGGCCAGTCTCCCAGGGTATAAAAGACTTGACTGCCGACCCTCTCCTTCTCTCTCATCCTTACCTGATGCTCCATGTTGCCAAAGGGTTTTGTTCAGTTGGCTCCAGCTTTCTTTGGACTTTGGTTTTACACCTAACAACATTTCTGCACATATACATTTTTCACTCATCCAACATCAGACACACTGAATAACTGACGCACACACTTCATCCATTTTGTTGCAAAAACTTTTATTTTGAAATAAATCATTTTATTTGAAGTTGACTGTGTCCTCGACCTTTCTTTTGTCTGACTTGTGAGCTGGGTTGTGACAGTATAGTATGATATGAATATCATATAATAGTATTAAAAAAAAGGTTAGTTAAGTTTGGTAAAAAATATCATAGTATAGTATGTTAAAATATCAATAAAGTGTGATAATTATGTGATAGTATAGTACGAAAAAAATGTCAGAGAACTATGATGTGAATAAAGTAGTATGGAAACATCATAGTATAATTTGATAAAATTGCTTAAGTATAGTCAAAGTATAATACATGAAACATGTCATAGTATGTATAATAAAAGTGTCACAGTATAGTGAGTAAAAATGATCAAAGTATAGTATGTTAAAAAATTTCATTGTATGGTATGTTAAAAGTTTCATATTTAAGTATAAAAATTTTTTTATATTTGAGCATGAGAACAATTTCATAGGATAGTATGAAAATAATGTCATAGTATGTTAAAAATATCATAGTATTGTATGTTAAAAATTAAATTATTTATGTGAAAAAAATCATATTTTAGTTTGAAAAAAATGTCAGAATAGTATGTAAAAAATTTCATACCTTAATGTATAAAGAAATTCATATTTTAGTATACAAAAATGTCATAGTATAGTATGATTAAAAACTTCCAATTTTGGTGTGAAGAAAAATTCAAATTTTAGTTTGAAAAAAATGTCACAGGATAGTATGTTTAACATCCATATTAAAGTGTAAAATAAATTTATATTTTAGTGTGAAAAAATGTCATCGTAAAGTATAAAAAAAAAGTCATAGTATTTTACAAAATGTCATATTTTAGTTCATTTATGTCATAGTATAGTATAATGAAAATGTCATAGTATAATATGTTGAAAATGTCATTGTACGTATGATACAAGTGTCACAGTATAGTAAATAAAAAAATATCATAGTATAGTATGTTAAAAAATGACATAGTATAGTATGATAAAAATGTCATTGTTTAGTATGTTGAAAATGTCAAAGTATGTATGACAAAAGTGTCACAGTATAGTAAGTAAAAAAATATCATAGTATAGTATGTTGAAAAATTGCATATTATAGTATGGAAAAAAATGTCATAGTATGGTGTGATAAAAATGTCATATTTAAGTATGAAAAATATATCATAGTATAGCATGATAAAAACGTCTAAGTATAGTATGTTGAAAATGTCATACTTTAGTATGAAAAGAAATGTCATAGTATAGTATGATAAAAACGTCATAGTATAGTATGATAAAAATGTCATTTTTTAGGATGAAAAAATGTCATATATTAGACTGGGAAAACTCTCATAATATAGTATGTTGAATGTCATAATTGAGTGTAAAAATAATCATTATAGTATGAAAAAAAAAATTCTGTATTAAAAAATATCATAGTATAGTATGATAAAATTGTTGTATTTTGGTACGAAAAAAAATCAAATTTGAGAATTAAAAAATCGTGGTAAAGTATGTTAAAAATTTCTATTTTAGTAAAAAATGTCATAGGATAGTTTGATAAAGTATAGTATAGTATAGTATAATATGTTGAAAATGTCATATTTTAGTATAAAGAAAATGTATAGTATAATATAGTTAGTATAGTATAGTATGATAAAGAATGGCATAGTATATTATGATGAAAATTCAAATTTTAGTATAATATAAAAGTCATAGGTTAGTACAAAAAATGTCATAGTATAGTTTGAAAAAAACTTTCATATTTTAGACTGAAAAAAATGTCATAGTATGGTATGCTAAATGTCATAATTGAGTGTGAAAAAAATCATATTTTAGTATGAAAAATAGTCAAATTTTAGTTTTAAAAAATATCATAGTATAGCATGTTAAAATTGTCATATTTTAGTATGAAGAAAATGTCACATTTAAGTATGATATAAACATCATAGTATAGTAGGAAAAAAATGTCATAGTAAAGTAGGAAAAAAATGTCATAGTATAGTATTAAATAATTTTTGTTATATTTTAGACTGAAAAAAGTCATAGTATGATATGTTAAATGTCATAATAAATGTGAAAATTAATTAAATGAATGAAAAAAAAACCAAATTTGAGTATTAAAAAATATCATTGTATAGTATGTTAAAAATTTCATATTTTATAAAAAAAAAATTTATAGCTTAGTTTGATAAAAACGTCATGGTATAATATGATGAAAAGTCACTTTTAAGTAAAAAAATCTTTCATATTTTAGACTGAAAAAAAGGCCTAGTATAGTATGTTCAATGTCATTATTGAGTGTGAAATAAAAATATTTTAGTATCTTAAAAATGTCATATTTTAGTAAGAAAAAAAATGTCATAGTATAGTATGATAAAAAAGTCATAGTATAGTATGATAAAATGTTACTTTTCAGTGAAAAAATCTTTCATATTTTAGACTGAAAAAAATGTCCTAGTATAGCATGTTAAATGTCATAATTGAGTGTGAAAAAAAAACATTTTAGTATCTTAAAAATGTCATTTTTGATTATGAAAAAAATGTCAAAGTATAGTATGATAAAAACGTCATAGTATAGTATGATGAAATGTCATATTTTAGTATGAAAAAAATGTCAAAGTTTAGTCTGAAAAAAGTCATAATATAGTATGATAAAAATGTCATAGTTTAGGATGTAAAAAAAATTCAAATTATAATGTGGAAATTTTTTTCATATCTTAGTCTGGAAAAAAATGTCTTCTTATAATATGTTCAAATTTTCATAATTAAAATATATAATTTACATTATAGATATGTCTTGAGTGGCAAACTAAACAAAATGGCGCTTGTAAACGCTACTGTAACCACGACAACCACCACAGCATTCGGTCGAGAAGTCACCAGTTAGCAGGGTCACTGTTTTACTCGAAACACCAGCCCCGGTCCGACACATATTTGTCTTCCCCTCAAAGATAACGCAGGTCTGTGAGAGCTACAGGAGCGGCTGTGGTTTTTCACAGTTGAAGTTTTTTAATTTTGGCTTCGTCGTCTTGTTAACGCGATAGACCTAGTTCAACTTTCACTATCACATTTAGGAAATCTTATCGTATTTCAAACAGTCGATCACGAGGAACTATATGTTGTTTCTGCCGGGACGTGTCACCTTGAATACTGCCTCACTGGAATGGTTGAACATTGCCCGCTACCGACGCTAAACCGACCAACCGTTACCACTAACCTACCGTTGAAGTGTTGTACTCTATAGTAGACACTGGAGATGGAATAATCCGAACGAATATCGATGTCGTATGATATTCTAAAGGGTGATTTTCTCTTTTTAACCGAATTTTAAAATGGGAGTTGTACTACGGAACCTCCAGAAGGTGGTGCCTCTTCGCCGCGCCAGGCTGCGCAGGGACGTGGACACGCTGAGGCACATACTGGGAATCCAGAAATTCGACCTGGGCATCATCTGCGTGGATAACCTCAGGATGCAGCAGATTAATAACACGTACAGGAAGAAAAACATGGCAACGGACGTGCTGTCATTCCCGTTTTATGAGGTAAACATGGCCGGTGAAGCTATGAATGGACCAACACCTGCTCCAAGGCAGGCTGAATGGGTTCCCTCTGTCTGCTCTCATTTCACTGTTTTAATAATGGTAATCAAAGGTGTGTTTTTGTTTTCCAGGACCTTAGACCCGGTAAACTGCCCTGCCCTCTTCACAGAGACGAGCTGAACCTTGGAGACGTTTTCTTAGGGGTGGAGTTTGTGATGAAGCAGTGTCAGGAAGACTCCATAGACCTGCATGGAGCCCTCACTGTGAGTCAAACCTGCACCGTGTTTCATTTGCTAACACCAAATTAAGTTGTTACACTTCAAATAAATACATATGTCCCAAATTACCCCCATAAATCTGAAACATATGATCTGCGGAAATATAGTTACATTTCTTGATGTGTATCACTAGGAGACACTCAAACATAAACCAGAAAAAAATATTTAATATTAACTTACATTATGATTACTTTGTCCATGGTACCTTCAATAAAATAGTCTTTTAACTCTATTGAAAAAATTACCACCCTGGACTATTGTCTGACTTTTTTAAAAAACTAATTCTTTTTACCTTCATCTCTTTATTTTTTACTTATTTTATCTCTTTATTTTTACTTATTTTATCTATTTATCTCTTTATTTTTACTTATTTTATCTCTGTATTTCTTTATTTTTAATTTATTTTGCCTATTTATCTCTTTATTTTAAATTTATTTGACCTATTTATCTCTATTTTTAGGTATTTTATCAATTTATATCTTAATTTTTACTAATTTTATCTCTGTATTTCTTTATTTTTATTTCTTTTATCTATTTCCTTTTTTTTTTACTTATTTTATCTATTTATCTCTTTATTTTTACTTATTTTATCTCTGTATTTATTTTAAATTTATTTTGCCTATTTATCTCTTTATTTTTTAATTTATTTTACCTATTTATTTCTTTAGTTTTACTTATTTTATCTATTTATTACTTATTTTACTTATTTTGCACTGGACTTACTTTGACAAATTTCCCCTGGGGATTATAAAAGTATTTCTGATTCTGATTCTTTCTGTCACTAAATCACTACTTAATACGTTTATTGTCCAGTACTCAGCTTACCTTTAACCTTGTTTTCTCAGTTTACCTGTGTAAACTGTTATTGTCTCAAACAAGTCATAAATACAGAAGTTATGGCGCCTGTGTTTGAAGGATTATTTAAACTAACTGTTCTTCCCTTTCCTTGTTTCAGGTCGTCACTGCTCACGGCATCTGTCACCTGCTGGGCTACAGACATGAGACAGAAGAAGAGTGGACTGAGGTTGGTACACGCAGAAGACTGCCACTGAGCACACCCAATTTTAGAGTTGACTTCTTTTTTCTCACCTCTTTAAATCAGACCAGATAGTTTTTCACATTTGTCCCTCTGCCACCATTCTAGCTGGAATCTTTCAGTAATATAAAAGTTGATGACGAGCATTTTGACTCAACAAATCAGAAAAAGAGAATTCCTCGTGGGGTCCGTCTTCACTGTTTTCTTGTTTTTCCAGATGCTGCAGAGAGAAAGCTACATTCTCAGCGAGTACAACAGACTCACAGGGAGACACCTGGAGCCCCTGACCAAGAGATGCACCCAGGACAGGTGACAGTGACGGTTACCTGCTCGGTGTTTTACATGGTGCTTGATTTTTATGTTCCTGTGAGCAGCTGGAACTCTCTTCACTCTACACACTCGGCCTCATTCACAAACAAATGAAGAACACTGGACACAGCCTCCACAGCTCCCCCTTCTGCTGATTCAGGGACTCTGCTCATGTGCTGCTGTTTGGTTTTAGATTTCTTTTTTTTTTTAACACCGATGTGAATGTTTTTTGTTTTTCATCAAACTAAAAAGTCAGTGCAATTTGTTGTGATTTATTAAAGTCTGCTTCAAGAAAAGTCTGTTGTGTATGAAGGGTAACAAAATAGTTTAACCTTTTACAGCTGTATTATAGACATGAATATCAGGAAATGGGACTTCAAAAATACACATATATATTTGAGTTATTTGTCTGCGGTCCTGTAACACCAGGCGTTACAAACATGCTCAGCTTTCACCTCTAAAATGTGGATTTTCTCCTGTGTGCGTTGAAATGTAGGAAATGATTTGATGTGATCTTGGTGAATACGTCCATCCGACACCTTGTTTCATGTGACACTAAGGCCGAGTTGTACTGAAATGTAGTTTAATTTTTTACATTGGTAACAAAAAAAGCAGAACAACCAATGTTAGGGATTAGATCTAGTACAGAGAAATCAAAATACTTCCATTTGCTTTATTCTATAAGCAAGCATTTGATAGAAAGTAGCTGAATATGTGAAGCTGAGGTCTAAATTCAGTATACTGGCCGTCAGAATAACTACATAAAAGACATTACACTGCAGCTAGCTTCCTCAGTGGTCTATAGTTTGACTTCTATCTGCCGTGGCGGATCTAGATGGGGTCTTCGAGATGAATCCCACCCTGTGTCGCAATAAATAGAAAATCTTGGCTCTTTATAAAGGAAACTCTGACTAACACATCGTTGAAGGTTTAACAAACATGTTCAGAAACAAGGTTGTGCAACATTCAAAGTAAAGCTCGTATACATACAGTATTTATAAAAGTATTCTCGGGAGGCACAAGGTCAAAACCCCAAAAGAACCGTGGGCTTGTCTGAGAGGAACTTGAGTGAAAACAGGCTTTGTTATTGTTCAGCTTACAGATACTTTCTCTTTTTGAATCTAGAATATGAAGACAACCGCACACACACACACACACACGCTGAAGTTCATGAGCAAAGCACAGAAAGCAAGAGGGCAAACATCCACGCACACACACCCAGTGACAGAAAGCAGATTTGAGAACGGAAATATTGCACCAAATGTACCCGCTAAATACAGCAACCCTCTAACCTTATAATAGCTTATACTCCAACATAGAATATATCTTTATTTAGTTTAAATGCGAAATTAAAGGGTCTGCAAATCATACAATCCATCAAGCACCGTTAGCATCTTGGTGTTTGATAGGAACTTTTAAGTGAAAGTCTGAAAGAGCGGCGTTAAAGTTTGAACGAAGTGTATCAAGGAACGAAGAAAAAGAAAAAAAAGAACTTTTACAAAAAGGTCTGGTAAAACCATAACAAAGAAAACTCCAGCCCCGAAAACATGGAGGCAAACTTTGATCCACTGAACATATTAACTGCATTTCTGGTTTCTTAAAGAGTCTTAACATGTGTTACCTTAGCAGAACATTTATTAATCCAAAGAGGAGAAGAAGAGCCTGAAAATGACCCCCCCAAAAAACAGGACGGCAATCAGTAGTACTCAAGGCTGTTCAGAGGAGAGAGTTCAGTCTACCAAGGGTTCAGCAGTGATGGTTTTTAGTCTGTCCATGAAGATGAAGAAGATAAAGAAGCACTCAGAGGGGCTGCAGGACGTTTCTTCCTGCCTCTGAGGTGGTGCTGGCTCCAGATTTCTCCATGTCAGACAGCTGCTCAAAGACATCCCTGAGGACACACAAGACCAGAGACCGTCAGACGTGGAACTTGTACTAAAAAGAGGACGGTGATGTGACTTTGTTCTTTTTTAAGTAATTACTTAAATTTATGAAGGTAGAAAAGTGCCATAAATCCAAAGAATAGCAGACTATAATTTGAACTGGGAAAATCCCTAATTCTCAACTTGTAAATGTGCATATGAGAATTTTTAAAAGTGCTTCTCCATGTTTGCACTTGTAACTGCAGACCTGCAAATCTGCACGGCAGGATTTTTATCTGCTACTTCCTATCTGCCTCTTCCTCCTCACGTGATTTCTGGCACGATTCTCCCGGTTGAATATGAGAAACAAAGTGCACCCGTAGACCTTGCTCTACCACTTGAGTCCAGTGGGTGGCAGTGTGGTACTAAGTCTATAAAGGCGACCAGAGCCACGCTGGTTCTTCTGATGTGCACATTTACAAGTTGAGAATTACAGGTTTTCCAAGTGCAAATCACAGTCTGCTCTTCTTTGGATTTATGGGACTTTTCTACCTTTATATAGGTTGCTTAAGTTATCCATGTGATAAAAAAAACCTCCAACATTTTGAAAATCCAACAATTTCATCTGCATTTTATCCTCATACTTGAATTTTTTTTCATCCCATTAAACTCACAGAAACCTGTCACAAAGACTTAAAGCAAGCCAAAGTTGAGTCCCTCCACGTACCAGGAGAAGTTTACACAGATTTAATATTGTTACGGATGATAAACTGTCTCAAGAATTCGCTGTTCTGCCGACTCACTTGTGCATGTAGAAGAAGATGTAACCACTGCGGTCACGGTCTCGTCTGACAGCTGTTTCCTGCGTGCGCGACACGTCCAGGTCGTTGTAGGTCAGCCACGACTGCTTCTTCATGTCGTACACGTCCGTGATGTAATGACCTGGTATAAAATACAGAAGAGGGTGTTTTAAGGATATTGACGGGAGGAGGAAATCTAATATATAGGAGTTTGATCAAATGGGATTCATTTGTGTGAATAGAAACGCTCACCAGAGGAGGAGCTGCTCCCGATGTGACTGACGACACTGATGAGTCTGAACGAGTTGGCCAAGTCTCCACTCTGTGAATTCAAAGGTTCAGGAGCAGGTTAGTGTAAATACATACTCTACATCCACATCCTGTATTCTACAGATGAAATCAAGACGCAGCAGCGTATAACTCGTGATCTCAACAGTGAACTACCTCAGCGTTCCTCTTCAGGGTCTCTGCCTCGGCTTCAGTGTACTCCATGTCCAGGACGTCCTCGTTTCCAGAATCATCGTCTGAGCACAGCAGCTCAGGGAGAGAGTTGTTGAACTCTGTAGGGTTAGGTCACAAAAACTACTCAGGCACAGAGTCGAGACTTTTCACTGACTGAAAACATCAAAAATGACTTTTTTAAGACCCTTACATCAAAATTCATCAGATCCGTGTGTTCTTGATTCTTACCTTGCAGACTGAGCTCAGTGGCTCTTTTCAGATCATCATCCTCTCTCATCTCCTGGGCCTCCTGCACAGGGTGAGCAGAGGCAAGTGTTATAATTATTAGGATAAAGTTCAGGAAATGTCATAAATGTCACGTCTATTACAACAGTTACGGCAGCTAAGCCTGGACAGACATTCTCCACAGGATGGAAAGTTCATGTTTCTGTGCTGGTCTTACATGTTCCTGAAGACTCTGGGCCAGAGCCTGCTGCAGCTCCTGCTCCTCCCTCTCCTGATCCAGACTGAACTGCTGGACCCAGTCAAGTTCCCCCTGCGGCTGGACGCTCTCTGGAGTCTGGTTCTCCTTGTTCTCATCCATGGTCAGGTCCAGGGAATCCAGTACATCTGGACAAGATAAGCGCATTCAGAGTCAAGTCGTCTGTCTTAAGTTGCAGCTGAGCCGGTGAGAGTTGACCGTCTTTATTTTGGTCTACCTGTGGGCTGTTTGCTGTCTGTTTCAAGCAGATCCGTGTGATAGGCCAGATCATGAGCATCAGCGTCCCCAAAGCCTGTGTCCGGGCTGCTGGTTGGCTCATCCTCCATCGATGTAGGAGCTGAGAGCCCGACGTCGTGTCCGGTCATCTCCAGCACGGCGTCCAATAATTCATCATCATTAATGCCGCCAAAGTCTGCTGCATCAAGCGGTGCTGCCCGCTAAAAATACACAACAAATACGTCAGAATAGCAACAGATACAAAAAAAGGCTCAATCATAACAGAGTCTGGATACGAACCTCTTCCGGTCGGTCGTCGTCCTCAGGGAGGCAGCTGCTCAGGCGGCGCTTGCGGCTCTGGTTGACCTTTCTGGTCAGCTCCTCTTCACAGTCAGAGTCCATGAGCACAGAGGTGCAGCTGGAGTTGGCCGCTTTTCCTCCAGTCCTTCTAAACAGAACAAGTTTCAATTTTACAAGCAAGAAAAACTGAAAGACAAGAAAAGGTAGTGTGTAGACAACAGAGGTGCAATGACTCTTTCTTGTCTTGCAGAATTCGCTGCACTCACCGGAGAGGTGCTGAGGAGGAATTGACCAACGGTGACGTTTTGAGCGTTCGAGACCTTTGGGAGCAAGAAAGACACTTTTAGAAAATAGCGTTCTTCACAAGGTCCAGTGTAAAGTCTCAGCTCAAATTACTGACTGTGATGATTATGAAGTCTTACGCTGAGTTTTGAGGACTCCAGCCGAGGCAAACAGGAGGTCGTGTTGATTCAGAGCAGTGGGACAGCAAAGTCAGGTATCTGGGGATCACCACCTGTTGACCGAGCTTGCTGTTCATGGACAGCTGGGCGTTAAAGCTGTACCGTTTCAGATGGAGGATGAGCACTCTGAAAGAGAAGACGACGACGAGATACTCAGTCTTCTTTGTTTACCAAGAGCTCCTTGTATTCTTCCACTGACTAATAAAAAGCTGTCCTGGATAAAGCAGGGAGACGGCTCAGAAGCAGAAGACGTCTGTTTGTTTATTTATGTTTGTGAGACAGACGCTCTTAAAACTGAATATTTACCGAGGCAGTTTGCTGAATTTATGTGTAACAGTCGCTGCTTTCCCGTTGCACTTCTCACAGGAATACTCGATTTCCTCCATCTACAAATGGAAAAACAAACTCCATCAAAATATAAAAGGGCACTTCATGTGTAACAGAACCCTGTTTGTGTGAGAGAAGGGACAGGTGATTTGCAAAAGTACCAGTTTAGACATTTTGGTTTCAGCTGTTGATGCAAAAGACTCACCCTGAAAAAAAGATCCAGAGAATCCTGGATGGAGCGAAGCGGGAGGGTTTTCTTTCGCCGTGGTAGGTCGATGGACAAGTCATTGAACTGTTCGCGCTTTGTCACCACCTCACCACAACTGCAAAACAATATAAAGGTTAGATGGATCCACCACACAGACACAGTCTGGTTAATCGAGCAGAAGACAGACTCACCATTTGCAGATGATGGTGTGCTGCACCTCAAACTCCATGTTGACTGCGACAGGACAGGTGTAGACACGAGAGACGTCCGCCTCCTCTCCAGGCTCTGTCTTTGTCTCGGAGCTGCTCTCACTTCCCACGGAGGACGACGAGGAAGCAGCGACTTCATCCCTCCAGCTCTTGTTCATTTTTTCGACGTCGTCTTTCAGCTGGTCCAAACACTGGCTCAGGAACTCATGGGCGTCCTGATAAACAGCGTGACATGCATGGATTTAAAAAATTTAACAGGTAACTTCTCAAACAAGATAAATACATCCTATCCTATGCCACAAAAACTGCACTCATGTCAGCTTACATTCTGCATGTTTCCAGAGAAACGCTCTGCTGTGGAGGAAATGGCGCTCTTCACTTTCCTCAAGAGGTCCTTTTTTGTCTCTGGACATCCAACATCTTTCTTTACCATGAGGTGAGCAAAACGCCTGAACAGAGTGGAGACATCCAAGGAAGTGAAAACAAGTTATTTAACATACTCTGAAAAGCAGATGTGATAAGTGTAGAGAAAAAGAAATCACATAATCTCCTGTTTTACCTGAGCAATGCATTGATGGGCACTTTCTTCCATGGGATGCTCTGCCTCAGCATGTCGTTGGAGAAGGAGGGAAGGCTGAAGAGAGACTGCAGGATGGCGTTCATGTAACAAGTGTTGCCAAGGTTTGAAAATCTGCAAAACATCAAAGAATGATAGAAAAACTTGATCATGTAAATCATAATAATAAGACGAGCTCAATGAGAAATACTGAATTAACCGCATGATTAAAATAAGGTCCAGACTCGGCTTTAGTCGTGAACTCTCACCCTTGCAGAGGAGGCTGAGGCTGGGCCAAAGTGGAAGGCCTCTGCTTGTTCCAGCCGCCGTAGTCCAGGGAGGGCCGGACTTTTTTGAAGGGGGTGGAGTGATTTGGCAGCGTAAGGCCTCTCTTGGTGGTTTGTGCTGTACTGGATGGTCTGTGAGGAATTAGTAGAGATTAGGAAGTTTTAATTTAATTTCTCAATTCAATTTCAAAAGCTTGAGGATTAAATCCCACATTACGAGATTTCAGACTCACCTGTCCAGGAAAGAATGGCTCTGGCTGTAGTCTTTAGTCATAGATCGGCTGCCATAGAAGGATGATGGCTGAAGTGGTGCTGAACCCAGTGGAGCTGAGAGGACAGAAATACACCGTGATGAGGTGAAAGTCTGAATAAAAAGCTTATTTTGTAAATCCTATCAAGGAGCTGGATAAAAGAAAAGGAAGCTTATGAAATCTCTTCAAGTTATGAAAAAAAAGAGTCTTTGTTGATGAAGAAGTCTACCTGAGCTCCTGTTCTCCTCGCTCTGTTTCAGTTTGTCTTTGCAGCTCAGTAGAAACTTCCTGGATGGGTCTGAAGTAGCCTTGTTGTTGCTGAGAAAGTAAATGAATTTACACGTAAGAATTCCAATCCAATGACCTTTGAATGTGTTTTAAATAAAGCTCACACTACAGTTTACCTAATTATCAGATAACAGGACAGAAAAAACTCAACTGAGATGGTTGAGTGGTCTGAGAAAGGGACACATAAGTCAGCTCTCCCCATGTGTGTTCAGCTCTACTACAGTTCAGTGAGGGCAGCGAGGTGTGAAGCTTTTACCTTGAGGAGTCATTTTCCTTTGGGTAGTCCTCAGTCAGGTCACTTTCAGAGTTCAGGAGTCTCTTTCTCTTTTCACTCCTGAAAGACGGTAAAACAGAGAAATTTAGCCTGGACTGACGATTCCTAACTTGGCAAAGAGACAAAAACATAACAGCGCACTAAAAGAGAGCAGGGAGACTGTTTCACAAAATAAAAACAGCAAACTCCTGCCTTGTTATGTAATAAAAAATTATGACCAGAGAATTAATCAAAGCTGAGTTGAAAAGCTCTAGTTCACGTTGAATTTCCCTAATACCTGTTCTCTGAGAGTCCAGTGCGGGTGGGCGTCGATGCAGCTCTGCTCGGGCTTCCCAGAGGCTTTCGTGGTGTCGTTTCCTCCCGGCCCTCTGTGCCCTGCCGTCTTGGTGTTGTCTGGAAGATGTGAGCAGTCTGAGTATCCAAATCAAACTTAAGTTAATTCCTCTTTGAATACGGGAATAAAACATCTCTATAACCTTACTCACCTGTCTCTCCCCGATTGGGCTGGTCTCATTTTTCACAGAGCGGTTCACGAGTATGCTGAAGTTTGCGCTTCCATGGGACGATTTCAAAACTGCAATCAAGAAAGAATTGAAAACGACGTTGAGATTCTGTCTTACAAACCTTCACAGGAGCAGTAATTTGAGTTTGACCAGTGAAACTTGTAGCTTTTGCAGCAACTTAAGCACTGACTTAATAATCACTGTATGTCCTTGTACTCATGTATATACTTTAATTTTGTGAATAAATTTGATTAAATGACGAGCTAAAGGAAAAGACTTTCTAAAGTCAACATTGGCTTACATATAGACCGCTTTTTAAAATATCTGATGGGTCTTTTTTTATGTTTTGCTGCTGAACATGAAAGAATTATTTTACCCGTGCTTGGTGTGAACACACAGTTAGTGGGTTTCAAGAATACACCACAGCATCTATTGCAACCAAATGACACTTACAGGTTTGTTTACCTGCTATTTAACGTGCCACCACTGAGCAGCCAGCTCACCATTTAACCTCTGACTGACATCAGCAAAGGCACTGTTTCGATTCAACAAGCTGTGGTAGAAAACAACATGTGTGTTCCTGAGTTTGATAAGGAGACTTTAACAAATGAGTAATAGTGGTTTGTTGTTCACTGTAGCAGCTGTACGGCTCATTCTTCGGACATTTCTGCCTCTGAGACAGATCTGATACTGATTTAGAAATGTGTTCAGTCTGCACTGATTTAACAATATTTAAATAAATACAACTAAGCTAAAAAAAAAAGTATGAGACCTTTTTTGCTTCATTCCATCGAGTCTCAATTTATCAGCTAAACTTCGAGGTGTTTAAGGAAGTGATGGTGTAATTACTTGTCTTTCCCTGCTTCAGCTTCTCCAGGTACTCTTTAGTCCTCTGAGCCAAAGTGGGGGGCACCTTATCCAGAGTGATGACACTGGAGTCCTTCAAGGTCAGTGTGATTCGGTTCGAGTTATGGCTGATGTTCTTCACATTCTGATTCAACTGAGGGAAAGAAAACAACACGATAGGGTCAAACTCGTGTTAAAACTGAACTTCCTACTTCTGCTTGTTTGCAACAGGCAGAGGTTGTACTCTGTAATTTGCATTTTCCCGCTCAAATAAAATAATGTAAATAAATAACAAATGAAGACAGAAAAAAGTGTGAAATGCATGATGGTTCCATTTCAGGTCTAAACTAAAACTGGGTCAACGTCACAATGGTTTGTAAGTACTCCAGAGACCCCGTGCTCATATTTGACGCAGAAAAGGGTTGAATACAGCATTTGACTATAATTTTAAAACCTCCACCCTTGAGCTTGTGAGAAAACTTAAGTCTGATGTGCTTCAAAACAGCGTCAGGCTTTGTAAACATAACTAGGCTCAAGGCAGAACTTTTTATTTATAGTGCTGGCGGGATTTTATTCCTTAAGGATACGGCTTTCAGTTAAACAGTGTGACCAAGAGCGGGTTAGTTAAAGTTCAGATTGTGTTTTTTTAAGCTAAAGGACTTCTAAAGAAAACAAACTTATCAGAGAGGGAGGAGCACAGGTGTTGTTAATAACTTTAATGAGCAAGCACAAGTACGGTGGAGTAAAGAGGCCTTTGTTTATGTGATGATTTTGACGTGTGCTAGTTACACTGTTACTGTCAGAATGTCGTCCTTGAAAAGAAGTGACCTACATATGTGACTTTAAAATAAGTTTATTTTCTGTTTTTTACCTGCTCAAAAACACATCCATGTGCATTTACGTAAGCAAGACAAGTTTGAAGTTTTTGAGATACATAAAGAATTTTAAAAAAAATAGTATTATCCCCATATATGCAAAACACTGTTTCCAATTAATTTGATTACACATTAAAGCTCCTCTGATTAACTTTTTGTGTGTATCAATTTTAGCTCCCTGTGGCAAAACTCAGGTCTGCACATATGTGGTTAATGTGCCTTCACAAGAAATACAAGGATGAAATAACTTATCTGTCAACATGTGACATTTACCTTAAAGATTGTAGTTTTAAACACATTTTGTTTAGATTCTTTTTCAACTTCTCGTCAAAATTAAGTGCTTAATCTACCGTATTTTTCGCACTATAAGGCGCACTTAAAATCCTTTTGGCTTGTCGGAGTTCTGCAGCTACCGTAGCCTCGCAGAGTTTTTGACTGAGTTAAATGAAGTTTGACTTATTTGACTGTTTTGTTTCGCTTAATGCGCTTTATAATCCGGTGCGCTTTATGTATGAAAATAGACACATTCATTGATGGTGCGCCTTATAGTGTGAAAAATACGGCACTTCTTTGACTTTTCTGAATCATCTCACTCTCCCACTTAAAATTTGCAAAGCTTCCAAAGCTGAAGAATGAACAGAAACTATATGGATGGAGGTTTCCAAAAACTATAAGTGATTGGTCTCAAAATATAAAAGATACAAAAAAAGGTAAATACAGTTGTTTCACTTAACTTATCATTCAACAAACTAAATGGGCCTGTACCTGAAAATTTTTGGAGGATCCACCGCAGTTGAATCTAAGGCAGAGGTTGATTTTGTTGTCTTTTTCCAAAATCTCAAAAGTTCCTTCTTTCCATCTGGTAGTGCCCACGTCCATGCTTGTGAAGCGCATCTTCACAGCGCCGCCGCTGGAGAGTTTGGGCACTACGGTTGCCATGGCTTATTATCCAGTTGTGCACTTTGGGGTATCGGACTTGTGACCAAACAAATCCTTAAAACAAGAACAAGGGCAAATTGAACAAGCTTTGTTTGAATTTCAAAGCTTGTTGAATTTCAATCATAATCATGGTAATCACCGCAAATGTCAACTCCAAAGTCCAGATTATAGGCACAGATTCTAGTCAGAAGCAGGATGGCAGTATTTTGACATGGACAGGAAGTACTTACACCATAAACATGAACTGTCGTTGCATCAATAAAGGGACCACAAGTTCCCATCTTTCAATGAAGGAGTGAAAATGTGATCTGCTCCATTTGATGAATATCCCAGACTTTTTGAATCCAGATATTGTATGAGGGAGGTTCTGGTTTCAACCATCTGATGTTTATAGACCTCAAGGCTGCAGTCAATTAAATTGGTCACTTTAACAGGACTTGATATCCCCTTTTTTAATACATAACTTTTAATTACATAACACGGATTACCCATATTTGAGCTCCAGAGAGGAAAAGGAGAGTTTAGCTTTTTATTGCGACCCTTTTGATTTCTCTTAATGGTTTGTTGTTTCTTCATTTCAAGCGAAGGGATGTCTGTTATGCTAAAGACTAGGGCCTGACCGATTTACCGACAAGCTGATTAAATCGAGCAATTTTAGCCTATTTGAGACTAATTGGTAATCGGCCAAAACTCAGTTTCACTTTGAAAATGTTCTGCCATTTGAAAAGTTCCCCTGACTTATCCTGTAGATGGCACAGCGACCTCATGCCAATCTTCATCCACTAACTACCTCACAGCACAGCAGAGTGACGGATCTGAAGCAGTCAGCTCAGGGACGCTTGGAGGAGAGTGGTCCGCCTCAACGGTAAATAAACCAGTTTGTGAAATACACAATAAGTCAACAAGTTTCAGTTCAACCCACTTCACCATGTTCCCCGCTGTGCTGGTCTCGGTCACGCCGAGTTAAGGGTGAAGCACCATGTAATACACAAGGTAAAGTTAGAGTTCGCCACCTGCTATAAGCCTTGCTACACTGTTAGCCGTGCCAGTAACGGTAGGATAAACAACAGTACACATAACGTGATCGAGCTACTTCTCTTACTGAGGCAGCTGCATGTCTCCAGATGAGACCAGACTGGAAATGTGAGTTAAGATGAGGAGGCACCGATTGGCGGCGGCGCTTTTCTGGTCTAAGTTGGATCAGTCGGTCTTCCTGTCAGTGTGAAGAGCAGTAGCTTACACTATATCTACGGTATAAACATATATTTTTTCTATTACTTCATAAGCTTTTTTTTTTTTTTTTAAATCGGCCGATTAATCGATAATCGGATTTCCCCCTCCTAATAATCGGTATAGGCATCGGCCCCAGAAATTCCATATCGGTCGAGCCCTACTAAAGACTATCATTACTCCCAGACACACTCAAAACTACAGCAGTGCAACGGGATTACTGTCATTGCTACTGTTGTCCCGCCCGAAAATACTCCAAAAACCAAAGCAACAGTCATTTCAAAGAAGCCATGAACACAATAAATGAACTAACTCTGGCTGTGAAATACGCCTGAAACTTCTTAAACTCAGTTAGCAAGGCTGAAAATGAGCTTTTAAAACGTTCACCAAACAGAGAGCTGGTTGAAAGTCATAACAAACTCCAACAGTACAGCGCGGAGAAGCTACAAAATGGGATTATCTCTTTAAAAAACTGTTAAATCTAAAAAGTAACACAATAAACATAGTTACACAGTCTTTAATCCTCCCAGCGGTTTCATAGAGGTCCAGTTTTAGCCCCCTTAGAGCAGCCCGTTAGACCATCTGGACCACAACAGCAAATACGTGCGAAGGTGCACGAGACGCTGCTGCGGCTAATAACGCCGAGTTCTGGTTAAGTAAACGTTATTAAGACGAGGCAAACAGTCACGACAAAGTGCGAAATTACCAAACTACAAACACATGAAAACCTTCAAAGAGCCTTGTTAGACAAAGCTGAGAGGCTGAGATGCTGCTAATGTCGTCCACTCTGAATGGATGGAGGAGGAGGCCGACATTATAGCAGGTCGGCTAGCATGCTAACAGGCTAATTTGGTCGGTTATAATTTGGTGATGAACACAGTCTCACAGTTTGATTAAATCGTCGCGGCTTCTTACCTGTCGGTGATACGGTCTTTTACTCAAACTCTGATATAGCAGAATCGTTTTCGGAGGTGCTCCTCGGAGAGAAAGGTAGCTTTGCCGGCATTCACCTGCTCCTCCTGCACGTCTGTTGTTGACAGTGGACTGTGGAGCCGCAGCGCTGCGCGATGATGGCGGGAATGTGACAACGGAAATGATAACCGAGAGCGCGTTCGGTCGTCTTCTCGCGAGAGTTCACTATTAGCGTTCGGGTTGCTCAACTGAAACTAGCATCCTCGCTACGAAATGTAATCGGTAGCGCGTACTATTAAGAGACCGGGGGAAGAAAAAACTATTTACGCTTTTTCTAACCGGTTTCATAGTTTGAGTCACGTTTTTGTAATGTTGCTGTATGCGCATACTGGGATACGCTTGCTAAATCTTGTAGTTAGCAGTTAGCTCGGGCTAGCTGCCTGTCCGGGCTTTATAGTTAGGCCAACTTTTTCTCGCTACCTCATAAGTTTGCAATATCTCAGACTATTTAAGCGTCTAAATTACACTTCTGCAACACAATTGGACACAGATAAGATGCTTGCGACTGGAGCAGTAAGTATCTTATAACAGCTTGGTGTACCGTATTAATTGTCTGAACACATTTCCTATTGTTTACCTTCATACACATGGATAGATGAGAGAAGTTCTTATTTTTTATACAAAATATACATGTATTACCATATTGTAGGTGTGCCTGTTGGTCACCTACACACATCTTTAAATGCAAAAGTTGTTTTGCTCATGTGCTCTTGTGTTTACAGGCCGTAACCAACGTTACAGCCCTGGCACAGGTGGACAGGGAGAAGATCTACCAGTGGATCAATGAGTTATCCAGTCCTGAGACCAGGGAAAATGCCCTGCTGGAGCTGAGCAAGAAACGCGAGTCTGTGCCAGACCTTGCTCCAATGCTCTGGCACTCTTGTGGGACAATTGCTGCCCTGCTGCAGGTATAACCCACTCAAATCTGCAGCTGTAACTGTGTTTCCCTTTGACTTTGTTTACTGTTTTGCCTCAGTGATAGATGTAATCTGTTTCTGTACTCTTTTTTTTCTTTTTAGGAAATAGTGAACATCTATCCTTCTATAAACCCACCCACACTCACAGCTCACCAGTCTAACAGAGTATGCAATGCCCTGGCTCTTCTGCAGTGTGTTGCCTCACACCCTGAGACACGGTAATGAAGAGTTTGATATTATTACATTTTTTTGAACAGTCTATGTATTTTACATATCGGTTGAATCAAAAGTTTATATGGAAGGTAACAGTCCAGAAGTGACTTCTCTGTCTACATGAAATGGAAGTCAATATAAATTTCCAGAACTTTAACTCTGCATTAATTAATTAGCGTAATCAACTTGTGATTAGGACTGGGTGATTTGGCAAAAAAATATGATCACAATATATTTTGTGCTGGTTGTAGAGCATTTGTAAGAAAAACGAAAGAAACTAGAAATTAGAAAGTGCACTATTTTATTAACATACAAAGTGAATAAGATAAACTTAAGAAAAATATAAAAAACTTTTTTTGCTTCTGTAGTTATACCGGGAAGAACTTCCTTAAATGATTAAGCAGATCTGTTGTGTTGCTGGTTTTTGAGCGCACCGACCGCCGGCATACCTTACACATCAGCATAATTGCTCAATGTCTCATTGAAGATGCGCAAACCACCGCCACACAACTGACTTTGAATAACTATCTTCTCAACAATGGCATCTTTGGAGGATGACTCAAAGTCATGACTGACATCTATTTTGCTGCCCTCAGCTCCACATTTTGCTCCACGTTCAGTCATTCTGTTTACTTCTCTGGCAACTTGCAGAAGTGAGCAGGAAAAGCTCGACTCTGATTGGCTGTTTTCACGCAGATTTCCGCTATATTTGATAGAGTAAATAAGCTCACAGCTGATCACCGTGATCGCACTGAAATTTATCACGATCATATAATCGCCCAGTCCTACTTGTGATGTTGGTGCATTTGTATCTGCATTTTCAGTAAATTCGTGTGGATATGAAAGTGGCTTCTTGGATTTAGTCTGATATTAACTGTATCTGTAACTAAACATATTCCCTTTTTTTGTTCCTGAACAGGTCGGCTTTTCTTGCTGCTCACATCCCTCTTTTCCTCTACCCTTTCCTACACACTGTGAGCAAAACTCGTCCATTTGAGTACCTGCGACTCACCAGCCTTGGAGTCATAGGTAAACTTTACTCATGTCAAGGCTCATCCAGTCCTGATTGATGGAAATAAAACAAAACAGTGTTTTATCATTAAACTACCTTTCTGTGTTTTCTGCAGGTGCCTTGGTGAAAACAGATGAACAAGAGGTGATTAACTTCCTCCTCACCACAGAAATCATCCCGCTGTGTCTTCGCATCATGGAATCTGGCAGCGAGCTCTCCAAGACGGTACTCATCTATCTGTCTACCTTGCAAACTGTCCTGTAACTGATATATCGTCTTAGCTAACCTTTCACTATGCTGGACCTTATTTTGTTTTGCAGGTTGCTACTTTCATACTGCAGAAGATCCTACTGGACGACACAGGGCTGGCTTACATTTGTCAGACATATGAACGTTTCTCCCATGTGGCCATGATCCTTGTAAGTGACACTTGTAAAAAAACAGTTAAATCGTTTTTCTGAAATGATGATGCTTTTGGTGTCAATGGAGAAAAGAGAATTTCATGGAATCTTTTTACTTTTTTTTTCACAGGGCAAAATGGTGCTTCAGCTCTCCAAGGAACCCTCAGCTCGGCTGTTGAAGCATGTCGTCCGCTGCTACCTTCGACTCTCAGATAATCTCAGGTACGGCAGCGTAGACATGTCTGTCAGTGTCAAAGCTGAGGGAGCTTTGCAGAGAAGTAATACATGATTAAAAGTTCTTAAAAGGTTTCATGAAGCAGCGTGTTTTTAAGAGTAAAGAGAACTTGTTTGTGACATGTGTCCTCCCTTTCTTCCTCAGGGCCAGAGAAGCCCTGCGTCAGTGTCTACCAGACCAGCTGAAAGACAGCACCTTTGCCCAGGTGCTGAAGGACGACACCACCACAAAGCGCTGGCTGGCACAATTAGTCAAAAACCTGCAAGAAGGCCAAGTCACTGACGCCAGAGGGATCCCCCTGGCCCCACAGTGAGAGGGACAAAATGTGTTTACAGCTGACACAGGAGGACTCTTTATCACAGTTCAGATTTCATATTCTGCCAAATGTGGTGCTAAGACTGCCTGCAAAGTGAAGGACGTATTAGTGGAATGCTGTTGAACAGATGGGTCGATTCACTTCAGTTTTTACATCAAGACAGTATCAAAATTAAAAAACTGTTTGAAGAGTCAGACTGAGAAATTATTTTCAATATCGCTTTATAGATGAAAAACATGTTTATTATTTTTTTTTGCAAATTGCTTTACGTTCGGGACTCGAGACAAAGATTTCATCATCAAACAGCGTCTGATTAAAACTTCTTTCATATGGTTATTTAGAAAAATAACTGCATAAACCGTACTTACCTAGAATATTAGGGGGAAAGGTTCTCAAAAAGTACAGATTTCAGACTTCTGTGACTGCACTGCAATTCTCTTTGGATGTCCATAAACTGCTAAATACTGATATTTCAATGATAAGCCAGCATTGATCGTTTATATCAGCACTTCCTTAACATCATGGGTCAGCTCAGCTCCCCATTAATCTCTGTACCTTTCTGTGACATTCCACTTTGGATTAGGAACTGATAATTTAGATTTTTGAATCCTCGTTACGACTGCGTTGTGTCTCTACTTTCTCCAAGTCTCTCAGTTTATGCAGCACTTCAGTTACTACAGTGGACGTATTTCTGTTTTTACTAGCTTTGCATTTTTTGGCAGAGTAATGCATAAAAAGGATTTTGGTCGAGTGTGAAATAGCAGAAGTTGCTCATGTTTGAAATGTTTGATAAATAAACTGTTTTCCACCAAATCAATGACAATAGTTTGTATTTCATGTCAGGGGGGAAGCTTTGGTGATGATATCCACTGGAAGGACACTCAAATAAAGGTGTTTGAATGCCTCAAATTTTAAAATAATTTGTAAGTAATTTGATCCATACATTGTTGCATTACCAAGTTTCTTATAACAGCTTGCAAACTTCATAAAAATGAACCATGCACCTCCATCTCCTCCCTCTTTGCGATGTGAGGACATAACTCTGCCTTGTTTTGCTCTGGTGACGCCGTGGGATTGGCATCATACTGTTACTAACCCCCCAAAAAGAGAGATTTATCAGCGGTCCACAGCAGAACAGATTACGGTTAATTTGCAGCAGACACTCACAGCTATGGAAAGTTCAATGTCCCTTGTGTCAGGGTATTTTATCTCTTGCTGTTCCTCATCTACTCTCTGCAAGGGCTGTCCCATACTACATAAAGCCACCAGGGGGAGTTTAAACATTATGGCTCACTTTGGATAGCAGTCAGTGTTCAATAATAGTTCGCAGTGCTTAATCAGTCATATCTACAGAGCCTTTACTTCACTTATTACATGATGCATGCAAAAGGGAAAAGCTCTGTAAGGACGTTTTTAAATAGTACATGATACATGCAGGGAGCAACATGTTTGAAACTGACTGAACTTTTTACTACTGTCCGTCTGGAGAAGCTTAAAAGGGGATATGTATGCAATGTGTGTACCATCCCTCATGGATCAGAGGCCAGAAAAAATGGAAATGAAAGGAGGGAGTGGTGCATAGTTGTGGGAAAAAAATAGATGAGGAAAAGATGGGTTTGAGTTTAAGAGTGAGGATAGTAAGAAAGCTGAAGAGGCACAGATGAGGTACAGCACTGGTTCTTAAACTCTGCTCTAAACATCATTTAAGGGCTAAAGCCAAAAGGTTAGGTCAGCATGGATAATAAATGGTTCAATTTATGCAAATTGAGTCAAACGATTTGTTGATTTAAGTCTGAATGTAGCAAAGGGATTCCCGCACACTGTCTGACTTGCAATCAATCATTTATTAGCAACGTTTCGGTACTGGACCTTCATCAGGCAAACAGTTTTTTGTTCAAAAGAAGCCATCTGAAAGAGGAAGTGGTCGTTTCTCCATAACCAATCCCATTCTCACGCGTAAACACAGAGGGACAAAATCATCATGGGGTAATTTAACCAAAGAGACAGAAAATAAACAACAAAACACAACAAAACACCCACATGTCCAGAAGAGAAATCCATAACATAGTGAATCGATTATAAATAAATCAGTATTTTAAAATAGTTTTTTAGGAGATGAGTTTACATTACAAATTAAAAACAGACAGGCTTAATTAACAAATCTCCATATCTAGTACAAAAGGGCACATTTATCATCAAAATATACATCTAATAATAATGATCCAAAGTTCATTTTGTGCATTTTGAACTACACACATTTACAGTGACAGTGAACGACAACAACAGAAAAACAAGCAATGTTTGATTGCAAGTTGGACAGAGTGCGGGAATCCCTTTGTTCCATTTTGGTCTCCAACGCACCTGTCTTGATTTATAGATGTGTGAAGTGCTTCCTCTGTTTGATTTAAGTCAGAAAATTGTCTCACCAAAGCAAAATACAGGAATGTCTCAGATAAATACAGAAGCAGCATCGTGTTTCTCTGAGGTTTATCTTCGTCTGTCTTCATCATTTTAAGTCACAGGAGGAGGTAACTCGCCTGTTATCTCTTAAGTGCTCTATGTAACATCTCCACAGTCTTCACTGATGGTTGCTCCTTTCCTTTTAATGGTGCATTAACAGATTATCACACCCATACTTCCTGTTATCCTCAGAAACACCGAGGTAGACATCAGGCTTCGCAGAAACACCTTCACTCAGGCCTTCGGGCTCCTCAGCAGAACTGACCCTGACGAAAGATCTTCATTTGGAGTTTTTGTCTATTTATCTGCCAGGAGGACTGAGATCCAGCAGCTAACGTCATTACAGGCCTGATCCAGTGAACCTTTCAGACGCAGGAGTGCATTAGCCCAGATTGGTTTAAAATGTGAATTGTGATATTTTCCATCTTTGTGCCGTAAAAACCCACAGACACTAGAAACGAGATTGAGTTCTGTAAATGCGAGTATCAGAATATGGAGATGCAACAGATGCAAATACACTCAAAATAAAAAACAGTAGCCTTCAGGATTATTATCTGACTTGGTAGGAAAATGCTCCTGCCAGCGCATTCATGAACAAGGCCAAGCTGATATCCATGACTGAGTTTACTTCTCCTGAAAATTAAACCACGCTCGAGTGAAAACTCTCATGCAAACTGAGTCCCCATGTCAGAAGAATTTCCTGTTTGAGTGACTCAGTCTGCCCAAGTCATGAAACGTCTTTGTTCTGTGTGTCCACAAGATTACATGAGCGCTGAGACTGACGATAAAATTACCGACATTAGAAATAGGAAATCTGTTTCTTAAAGAAGCAGTTTTGTCGTTCTCATGGTCACCCATCCCAGTTTATCCAGTTCAGAACTTCATCTATGTCATGTTTACATGCTTCATAACAAAAGCAGTAATACATCTCTGTTTATACTTGACATAATCATCACAATATCCAGATTAACCATCTTCTAGACTCAGATAAGTGTTTAGAAAAGATAATGTAACTGATGCAACAGTGAGCCTTATCTCCTCAAACAGGTCCTCCAAAGTCCCTGACCCCAAAAGCATGATCTCCTTTAGTTTTAATCCTGGACTGTAGAGCATCTCAGAAAGCCACACCTGACAGTTCATATGAGTCAACAGTTTCGAGCTTGGAGCCAGACCCATATTTGGTACGCTAACCTGGCCTGGTGAGGCCACATGAAAGCATCTCACCTGGTTCTCTCAGTTACGGAGAGAGTTTATGAAACCAGGTCCTGATCATAGGCCACTAATCCTAGACTTGTCAGATTACCTAGAGGTGTAAAAGTCTTAAAGAAAGTCTCTCTAGTCCAGGCCTGACAAGACTCAAGCTCTGGTTTTCTCAATCTTCTCTTTCAGACGTGTCAAACTAAAAGCTAACATGTGTCATGTGTTCAAAAGCCTTTCTCTTGAATGTGGTTCACCTGGCAGACCTACAGCCCTCTTTGGAGAGATGCCAGCAAAAACTCATATTACAACAGCATCTAGTATCTTTAAATATGCAGACCTTTTCTAATGAACTGCAAACGTATGAAAGCCTCCTCTCTTCTCAGGAGGCGGTACAGGAGTTCTCTGACAAGATAAAAAAAACAGCAATAGGAAAGAGTAATGGGTGTGTGTAATGTTTGGGAAGTTTGTACATGGTTTGTTGAAGCTCCTTTAATGAAATTTCAAAACTGTAATGACAAATTACATCTTGAGGAAATGGAGGACATCTGCTTTTTCTTATGTTTGCAGGACCGCAGAGATTTTTCACTTAGATCGGACGTATAAAAATAACAGCATCTAATCAGTGAGTGCTCTACTCTGCTCTGCAGCGGGTGGCGCTCAGCCAAGTCCTACAGTACGGCCGTTTATGAGTCTGTGATCGGACTGTTGCTATCTTGGATTATCATCAGATATCACATTTTAGGTAAACATCCTTTGTTGACGTTTGATCCATCCTGGGCTGTGAAGGTTCATTTTTTAATGTCTTTCACAATATGTACCTTTCATTGTTTTTTGTTTGGCTCCTACCTTACAACAGCAGACCACTTTCCCGGAATTGTGTCCCCTGTTATCAGTACTGACACAGAAACCTGAGAGTCACAGAGCAGAGCATCCACACTTTGAGCAGAGGATGAAGAAGAGGGACAGACAGAGAGGAATGAAACAGGCCGAGGAGTGTTACCCTCAGCAGATGCAGGGAGGGGATCTGCCGAGTGGACCGAGGGAGTGGCAGGAAAGGAAGGAAGGCTGGTGGGGAGGGTTAGGAGGGAGGAGGAGGAAGAGGATGAGGAGGGGTGTGAGTGAAGCGTACCAGTGTGAGGCAGCAGCAGCTAGGGAATCAGGTTTCTCAGAGCCAGCAGTGAGAGTCGAGAGAGAGAGAGAGAGAGGGGAGGAGGAGGAGGCTGAGCCAGATTTTCTCTCAGCCACTCCCAGACTTTTAAGGCCCTGAGCTCAGCTAACGGTCCCCTGACTCTCCTCGAGTCTGGATCTCAGTGCACACAGCCAAAGTGGTACACACACCTCCCTAGACCTTATCTCAGGCCAGCCGTCCAGACTCCAGCCCCCCTGAAGGTGAGGCCGCGCACCTCTGGAGTCCTAACCTAAAAGACCCCTGGTGAGACCTGAACTTTAGGTGAGTACATCTCTTTCCTCTGAGTCTTGCATGGAGGTTTTGCTGATGTGATGCTTAAATCTCTCAGATTTCAGCCTCTGTTTCTAATTTACTCTGCACGAGCCCCCTCCTCGCAGCAGCTTGGAGTCATATGTGGATTTTGTTGGACAGGAATGGCTTACTTACTACTTTACTGAATTCTTCACATAATTGTAGACAAAAAAAGGCGGTCAAAGGGGCTGCACAAATCAGGACACTGTTCAGAGGTTATATCACAGTCTTTTGTGAAATAAAACTGGATCAAACTGGGAACCAGAAGCGCACAAGACACAAATCTGCAGCCTTTGATCCTCATGACTGAGCTGTTTATTCCCATTAGTCATGTCTCTGTTTGTGTCTGAGTGTCTGTGCATGTGGTCAGTGAACTCCCTGAAGAAGTAATAAAAAAATAAAAAACTGGCCTCGTATGACTCATCCTCTCATGAGCAGAGTGCCAGTTCAAAACACTGAAGCATGGCCCTAAAAATAAAGCAACATAATGGGATCTAATTGCAGCTTCAAAGCTCGGATGAGGTCGTGTTAAACTTTCAAAAGTAGAAGGTGACAAACTTGGATGGAGAGTAGAAATGTCTTTGACGTGGCTCCGCAGTGAAAAAAAAACACACACACACATGGGTTTGTGGAGGAAAGTGCTCCGCAGTGGAAAAACAAACCTCTTTCATGGTCAGAGTTTTTGAAGTCGGGGTGTGATATTAAACTCTGAAGCAAGTGTGAATACATTCCTTGCATCGTGTCCGTCATACTGTGGTGATGGCTCTGTATAATTTCTCATAAACTTGCGGCAGTGGGGGAGGCTGCCTGTGAGGGTTGTGAAAGACATTAAACCCAAGATTAGACTGTGTTGTTTCAAGAAACAATGAGAGGAAGGGATAGCTGTTCGGCCGAGATACAAGGGCACAGATCTCAGAAAACATTCCCTGTTTGGAAGTGTTGGATTCACGTTTATCAGTGATAACAGATATAGCTGGAGCTCATCAGCTTTTATGGATAAGCAGAGAGTCTGCAGGGACTTTCTTGATGTTTAGCATATCTAATCTACCTCTTATGAAGCGCATTTGAATCCTGGTTGAAGACACTCCTTGTTGTATTAACAGATCTGGTTCTGCAGAAATGCAACATAGATAGTGCCTCTGTCTCTTCAGGCCGCTCTCGCTGATCCACATCAGGGATAAACACTGGTTCTTATATTAACGATCAGACAGATGAAATCCCAAAACAGGAACCCTGAAAGTCATACCTCCATCTGAGTCATACATGCACAAACGCCAGCACTTATGCAAGGACGGTGGTTGGTTACTTCTGAATTGTTTCATCATAAAGCGCAGCAGCTTTGTGCAGCCTTTGCGTTTCTTTACTCAGAGTTAGATCTTTGTCAAATTGATTTATTAAAGAAGAAGGGAACTGGAAGAGAGGAGGGTGAATGACATGCAGCAATGCGCCGATATCAGAATCATCACATGGGCCTTCATAAAATATAGAGTATCAAGCACACTTAGTTACTTTCTAGCACAGTAATATCTACATATTTGCAGATTCACAGTTTCTCTGGTTTAAAGCTCCTGTGAGGAACTTTCAGTTTGTCTCAATTTTGGCGCCCCCCTGTGGACAAAGCAGTCTTTGTATGTCTTGTCCTTCAGTAATCTTCTAATAAAAGAAATTACCATACTGACTTTTGGTTGTCAAATTAATATTCACTGTGAATATTTTATGTGGGAATCTGACACCTGCGCTCTCTCTCCTGCTGGTTTCAGGATCATAAATTACAGTGAAAAAAATCTTTAATCTTGTCGCTGATGATCTTGTTTCCTTCTGTGTATCATTAAAATGCATCAACATATGTTTCTAATTTATTTCATAAGCATAAAAAACTAGTATGACAATAAAGTTGTAATAAAGTAATTATTACGACTTTATTCGTAAAGTTGTTTAGGTCGTAATAAAGGACTATTACTACGACTTATTCGTTTAACAAAGTGATTGTTGTGATTTATTTTTTGTGCAGTCTGTTTTCAGACGTCTGAGTGTGTGCAGCAGTCTGCAGACAGACTCATAGACTCGCTGCTCCGCTCATGCCTCTCAGTCTTCTTGACTTGAATCGAGCGAACGCAGATTGATTGTGTCAGAAAGTGCTGAGTCATTGAAAAACCCTCAAGAGTTTGTGCTGAATCTTCTTGATCCTCACAGATTTGATTCATGTCCTCTCTTCCCGTTCTCATTTATTGTCATTTTAATGGAACCGGGCTGTGAGCCAGCATGCCTGCAGACTGAAGCTGAAGCTGCATGCAGTCTGACACACACATGCTCAAATGTCGAATGACAAACAGCTTTAGTTTTATCTGTAACTTTCTCTATTCAAACCAGGTGTTGATAAAACTCTGTTCCTCAAACCTTCAGCTAAAAATCGATCATTCATCTCTAATGTAGTTTTTGATTCAGGAGGATCTGCTGACTTCTGCTTTTTCTTGACAGTCTATGTTCATTGGCATGAAACCAGAATAGAAATGGATCCTGAAGGCCCTCGTAAGTAAATATTAGATCATCAGATTCAACGTGAAAGCGTCTGAAAAATCCAAACATCATATTTACGGGAAGTATGGCATGAGGCTGACCTTTGACTTCTACTGGACCCTGCTCAGGTGTCAAAGATGACCCGCACATTAAGATGATGATGGCGGGGTCGACTCTGAGAAAAGTGAAGTCTCGCTCGTGGAAGAAGCAGCGACATTTTCGCCTCCTGGAGGACGGCCTGACCATCTGGTACAAGTCCAGATGGGCGGGGAAAGGACACACCACCTGTAAGAGCTGAAGCAAGACTGCAGAGACACTTGTATCTCCACAGTAAAGCTCTGAATGAATTAAAAACTTCCAGAAATGATTAAGTGAATCAAATCTAGCAAAAAAATTAAACATTTAATGACATTTTCTTTCCCCCCCGTTTTGTTTCAGTCTCAATCGCAGAGATAGAGGCCGTGCGTGAAGGCCACCAGTCGGAGGTCCTCCTGTGCATCGCTGAAGAGTATCCCGCCAATCTCTGCTTCACTTTGGTGTTTCAAGGTCGACAAGGAAACCTGGACCTGGTGGCCGACTCTCCAGAGGAGGCCCAGGCGTGGATCCAAGGAGTCCGTAAGCTGATTCACAAGGCAGAAAACATGGACGAGAAGGAGAGGCTGGACCAGTATCCTTTTTACTGAAGAGGATCATCTCCTCTGATTGATCTCTGATCAAACCGCCAGCTCTTCTGTACAAACTTGAGAAAGTTTTCTTAAAGTTGGAGTTTTTTTCTGGACAAGCTTTTATTGATTCTCACAGCATTGAGTAGATTAACAACGAAAGAAATAAAAATCTGAATCGCAGAAGTTCAACAGCTTTTTTCCGATTTAGTTTTGGCCTTGTGAGAAAAACAAATCGACCACATCAAACATGTAAACAAATCTTCAGTTTTCTCGAACAATGTTTGTGCTGCCAGTTTCCCATAATTCATTGGTCTGTTTCCCTTTTTCTGTTTGTAAGAAGAAAAAACAAAAAGTTGCCTCTAAATTTTAGAAAAGATGAGATATGATATTTACCACATTTTCAAACTGCCATTGGCAAAATGACTGACGCACAACAGAAAAAGAAACCCAACTTAGAAATTACATTTAAAACAGATTAAAAAACTGGATCAGCCCTCTATGCAAAAATAAAACTCTCCATTCAAGCAGAAAACTTTACTGTAGTTTGTGTTTGGGGAAATGAGTTTTTTTTTGTCTGCAGCTTCACAATGACACTGAGCGGCTGTTTTCCTCAGCAGCATTTCCTCAGGTGGGTCTGGGACTGGTTCCAAAAAGCCGACAAAAACAAAGACGGGAAGATGAATTTCAAAGAGGTGCGGAAACTGCTGAAGATGATGAACGTGGAGATGAACGAGGACCACGCTCTGCACCTTTTCACGGTGAGTTTTCATGATGTTTAGGACGAGAAGGAAGAGAGTAATCCAGATAAATTATTGCATTTTTAAGAAGGGTCAAATTCCGAAATGTCACTCCAGTGTAGATCTTGTCAATGTCCAGCATATGAAGCTACACTTTATTTCCACAGATGGCTGATAAATCAGGGAGCGGTGCCTTAGAGATCGAGCAGTTCGTCCAGTTTTATAAGATGCTGACTCAGAGGGACGAAGTGTGGAAGGTGTTTCAGGATTACTCTGCAGATGGAGAGAAGTTGATGCTGGAGGAGCTGGAGAACTTCCTGATGTTGGAGCAGCACGAGGGAGAGAGGAGTTCCCAGCATGCACAAGAGCTGATCGATCACTACGAACCATCTGAATCAGGTAGAAAACTTAAGTGACAGGAGTGAGAGGGACGAGTGATTATTTCTGAGGTCAGGCTGGACTTAATGGAGAGAGAAAAGAGCTGTTTCAGGCGGTTTCTCTTCGTCTTCTTCATCTTTCATGCATCCTGTGGTTGTTCTGCATTAACTGTAGATTTCTTATCTGATGGTTTTGATTTGAAATCTTCTAAATTGAAGCTTTAATGTTAGATATTTAACCTGTTTTAAGTATTTCTTTTTGCTGAATAGCGCACATATTTATTTCATTTTTGCTTCTGGATTATCTGACAGGAATATAATCTGAATGAGAGGATAATTTTACTGGCTCTGCAGGACATCTGTGCACAATTACAGTGAAAAAGACAGAATTTACTGGTTATTATTTCAGCTTTATTGATGCCAAGATGCTTACTGTTAGTGATTTACAAGGAATATAGTTTTTGGATATTTGCCTCAAAGGACTGGAGTAATTTTGGTCTCAGTTATGATGCTTGATTTATATCCAATCCCTTTATTTATATAGCACACTACTACAGTGCTGCTGAAAACATCAAGATGAAATGAATAAAAGCAAGCAAAAAAACAAAAAACATTTATAATAAATGAAATAAAGGAAATAAAAACGCAAAACGTAAAAGACACAAAAGGACAGAGATCACACAAACTCTCTGCGGAGTGAAAAGCCAAGGGATAAAAATGAGTTAGAGTTTATACTAGAAGGATCCCAGAGGACCAGAGCATGCCCAGAAGTAATGTTTGGATTTTATGTGAACGAGACGAGGGGATCTCCAAAGACCATGAACGTCAACACAAAGTTTTAATGGTATCCATATTAAGCTTTCTGAGAAGATGGTTAAAAAACAACAACTCCTAATCATCGTCATCCTCAAAAACTGCACAGCTGACATTACCTTCTAACCTGCAGACTCTCTGATTGCACATTAGCAGTAAATATAAGCAGAATTTTAACTGGGTGTTAAAGAAAATACTTTTGGTATCTTATATCGGTAACCCTTTTTTTAACGGTACACTTATTACCAGGTAATTAACAGGTAATTACTTAGTAACAACATGAAATTATCTGGTAATTACATGATAACTACTAAGTCAATACTGTCTAGCTACCAGGTAGGTATCCTTCCATCATCATACAAATTTGAAGCCGAATTGCTCTGGTATTTCAAGGATTTTCTTCGCTTCCTGGAACCACCACTTGCACAATAGCATTGTACGCATTCGGCGGGTGAGTCGCTGTGATAATGCTCGGCTCAAACAGCGTATCGCTACGCAATCTTTGCACGCTCATAGGCTGTATCAGGTGTCAATCATAGAAAATAAGAACCCCGAATAGTTTTTGAAAATTGAGCTGCACAGAAAAAAGAAAGAAAAAAAACTAGACAGTATTGACTTAGTAGTTATCATGTAATTACCAGATAATTTCATGTTATTACTAAGTTATTACCTGTTAATTACCTGGTAATAAGTGTGCCGTAAAAGAAAGGGTTACCCTTATATCCCGTCTGTAAATCAGTGATTCCTGTAACAACAGCCTTTCATGAAGAGTAAACGGAGAGTTAAATCCTTTCGACTTTACTCTCCTGCTGTATCGTTCCTTCTCTGCAGCCAAAAAGCAAGGCGCCATGTCATTCGATGGCTTCCAGATGTACCTGTGCTCACAGGAGGGCTCCATATTCAAACCCGAGCTACGAGGTCTTTACCAGGACATGAGCCAGCCGCTCAGCCACTACTTCATCTCCTCCTCACACAACACCTACCTCCTGGAGGACCAGCTCCGAGGACACAGCAGCCTGGAGGCCTACATCCAGTGAGGCCTGCTGCACACATTACACGCAACGCCAACCCGTTAACAGAATCAAGATGGTGTCATGGCTTATATTTGTGTGTTTGTGTGTGTGTGTGTGTGAAGGGCTCTGAAGAGAGGCTGCCGATGTGTGGAGATAGACTGCTGGGATGGTGGTGATGGCGAGCCCATCGTGTATCACGGTCACACGTTAACTTCTAAAATCCTCTTTAAAGATGTCATTTCAACGCTGAGAGACTACGCCTTTAAGGTGAGCTCCGTCTGCTGCTGAGAGGTTAACTCACTCTTCGTCTTAGTGGTTCCTGTTAAAACTGTTAACAGCGTGTTCTTGGAATCACTGTGATGGATGCTCCAACTAAACTAAAATACTCTTGGAGCGATAATTCGACGCCACAGAGCACCAGAAATGAAACTGAATTCACCACATTCTTGGCTGCACCAGTTATAGATACAGATGTCAAAACTTTATATCTCCAAAAACTAATGAAATAAAAACGATCAGCACGGCTCCACGCTTCCAAAAAGCACTGAAAGTATGTGTCTCTGATCAGAATCAAAGCGAGCCTCACACATGAACGTCTCTGCTCAGAAAAGTGTGGAGCAGATGGTGCAGTTGGTAAACTTCCCTGCCCCAGGAATGAAATGTACCCATGCTGACTCAACCACATGGAAAACAACCAGGAACTTCTCATGTGTCTCCACTCAAACTTTCCAACCCGACTTAAAGAGAAAACGATGAAGTTTTTACTTTTGTAGGTTGTGGAAACATTTGAAAACTCTCTGCACTGAATCATAAATACATGCAGATTTTTACTTTTGCATTTAACCGGGATGTAAATCTGTATTTTGAGAGCAGTGTGTGTCTCCTCTGTCTGATTTCATAGGTATCAGACTTCCCCGTCATCCTGTCCCTGGAGAATCACTGCAGCGTGGAGCAGCAGACGGTCATGGCCCAGCACCTCAGCCAAATACTGGGCGACACATTACTGACCTCTCTGCTGGATGGACAAGTCCCTCAGCTGCTCCCTTCTCCACAGGTTAGTGTCCGACTTCAATCTGAGCTTCACGGTCTGTGGCTTTAATAATTAACGAGCTGGAAAGAGAGAGATCTCATAAATGCCAATACATTAGAATAAAAATAGACAAAACTCTCACTTAGATTAAGAAAAGTTGAGAATCAAAGAAGTCATCACCTGGTGTCGGGATTGTGCAACAGCTGTTTTATTAGGAAATTGTTGCGTAAGGCAATGTCAGGGCTGTTACATCAACAACGTAGTCATACTTGAAATCAATCGTCTGATCTCTGTTATTACGCACATTTAAGTCATTCTCTTTGGTAATCATTAACACGAGAGTGTCAGAGCTATTACATGTAATTTTACCTGCATGATTATCTTTTACTGTCTCTGTGTGTTCATGTTTTTAAAGCTACAGTGAGGAGTTTTTAACTGGTTCATGCAGACTCAACATAAACATCAACCAGACGTCTGGTAGTCTAGTGTTTCTGCTGAACTCAGTCTGGTCAGGAGGAATCACAGGTGTCATTAACCGTTCAGAGACAGTCAAACTTTATTGGTTTACGTTAGCATTACTATCAACCACTCATCCTAAAAGCAACAGTCTAACTTTCTAACTCTTGTTTTCCATTATGCACTCAGGACAATCAATGCTAACTTGAACTAATGGCAGATAAATGCAGCGAGGTAGTCCAGAGAGGGTTGTGCCTATTAAACAGTGGCAGATTGCTGCATTTAGTTAGGAGACAGCAAAGTGCTGGAAAATATACTATCCCTGATGAGTCGTCTGAGAACGGAAGACAACAAGCACTCAGAAACTGTCCATTTGTCATGTAGCTGCAGGCTCACACTTGTCTTGCACTTTCATAAGATACTAAAGACCAAATTTGCAAAAACAAAGAAGGGCCATCACAGATGGAGAGCAGACGAATCCCTCTTCTTGTTTCCATTACAGGAGCTGAAGGGGAAAATATTACTAAAAGCCAAGAAGATCGGGGGTCGAGACAGCTCCGTGGATGGAGCTCTGACAGACGAAGTCAGCGATGAGGAGGAGACTGCCAACAGTGATGCAGAGACTCTGTCTACAGAGGAAACACCTGCTGCGTCTGTGAACCACAGCGCAAAGGTGAGTGAACGGACAAACAGATAAATACAGAGAGTGGCTGTTACTGTTTAGATGAAATTTTAAAATGCTGTGTACAAGTGCATTAAGTATGGTCCAGAATGACCCAGTAGAGGGCGCCCTCATCGTAATAGAAGACAAAGCTGCCATCATACATGTGAACAGGTTTACCTGATGTTTAGCATGCGAGTGGAAAAGGCACCACATGACATGGTATTAAGTAGGGGTGGGAGAAAAATATACAGCATACAGATACAGCATAGTATCGGGATATTTTGTCTGGTGATATGTTGCATTGTCTCTTTTACCAAGTTTAACCGCTAATATTAAGTTAGAGCAACAAATATATATATGGTTTGCAAGATGTGCTACATGAAAATAAAATACAGCGTTGATAAGACAAACATAAAGGAAAGACAAATGCTAAATTAGCTAAACAGTCGATGATATCGTATCGTGGCCCAAGTATCGTGATAATATCGTATCATGGAATAAGTATCACGATAATATTGTATTGTGGCCCATGTATTGTGATAATATCGTATTGTGGCCCAAGTATTGTGATAATATCGTATCAAGGTATAAGTATCGTGATAATATCGTATCAAGGTATAAGTATCGTGATAATATCGTATTGTGGCCCAAGTATCGTGATAATATCGTATTGTGGCCCAAGTATCGTGATAATATCGTATTGTGGCCCAAGTATCGTGATAATATCGTATCATGGAATAAGTATCGTGATAATATCGTATGGTGGCCCAAGTGTTGTGATAATATCGTATGGTGGCCCAAGTATCGTGATAGTATTGTGTCGTGGGGCCACTAGTGATTCCCACCCCTAGTACTGAGTCACGGTATTACGGCATGCTTATGTTCTGCATAGCATTGATATTTGATTAATACTTGTACAATTATAATTATTATTATTGGTACATTTCGACAGCCCTGAATCAAGAAGTACATTCATTTGTATCTCATAAGTCCACCTACACATCAACTACCAGGGTGTTTAAGAGTGTAAAGGCCAACACAAGTGTAAACAGTCAGTCCTCTTTCTGATGGTTTTGTTTGCTTCTATTGGCTAAGAAAACAAAAAAGGTATAATTTGGAATTTTAGTTTTAGGATCGACTCAAACAAACACATCAAAAGGAACCGTTTAATCTCTATTTGGAGGGAATGAAGCTTGATAATGTGGAGAGAGACAGGAAACAGGGCTGGGACTTAAGAGACGGTATGGCGAGACTACAGAAAAAATGAGTGAGATAGTGGAAAGAAACAGGAAACCCTGACATTTAAAAAAGGCAGATATGAGACAAAGGAGAGAGATATACAAATGAGAGAGAAAACAGCAGCTGTGAGAAAAACAGTCCTCTGTGAACATACATGACAATAACGCTGTGCTGCCTCATATTTAGATACCAACATCATAAAGCATTATTTAAGACGTGCAAATTTTCATTTCTAAGCAAAGTATTCAGAGCAGCTTCGGTGTGTCTCTGCTGGCCTGTTAGAGATTAAAAGAGCCATTTGTGGTTTCAACGATTTAATTAGAGCGAATGAGGCGAAGGGCAGGAATTCTTATCATCGTACCCAGAGTTACTTAGAGCTTCAAGGCTTTAAATGAGCAATTATTAACTAATGATTTCACTTCGGAGCGGTAATATAATTAAATAGCTACATACTGTAATGATGACCTGGGACTTTGTCCATTATTTAAATTAATTTTGTGAAACATAATTAAATGCATCAATAAAGGCATGTATATATTGAATATATATGTGCAGTTTCAAACTTTTACTCCAGTAGCTGACATATTCATGGTCATGCTCTCTGAATATTATTAGTTTTTAAAGTGGATTTCATTTTCGATCAACTTTCTACTCTTTTGCAGAAGTCCAAATCCAAACTGTCTCAGTTCCTGTCAGACTTGGTAGTTTACTGCAAGAGCGTGCACTTCCACGACTTTGAGCATTCTCGTTTAAACGCCAAGTGCTACGAGATGTCCTCCTTCTCTGAGTCCAAGGCCAAGAAGCTCGTTAAGGATGCAGGTACAATGAGAATTACATCAGAATCAGATAAGGAGGGATTTCTAAGTTTTTTTAGGCAACGGCACACAGCAGCTCTCTTCTCTTTGCATCTCTGTCCAGGGCCAGAGTTTGTGCAGCACAACAAGAGACAGCTGAGCAGGATCTACCCCGGTGCACTCAGGACAGACTCCTCCAACTACAACCCTCAGGACATGTGGAACGTGGGCTGTCAGATAGGTGAGGGGGGTGTCGCCCTCTGCTGGTTACCTCTTTTAAACAGTTTTGTGTTTCCACTCTTTGCAGGTGCTTCTTCAAATGTATGACACAATATTTTGAATCTTTTTAAACATCTTAAATTAAACATATATGATAAAGCCAGAACAGTCCAGAATCACTCTAATTGTACTGTAATGTGATAGTGTGTGTAAGTTTTCCACATGGATGCCTAATCTAGAGAGATAGCACCCACCGCCCTGCAGAGACGTCAGGGTTCAGGGTCAGTCACAGACCATCACCCTGCAGCTGGGGGAGTCTGACCGCACAGATGTTTCCTGTCATAGAAGCTCAGATGGATGTGGTCTGTTCAGGATCAGAGAGACTACCGCTGGACTTAAGTGACCTCTGATTGCTGAACAGACTGATGACTCTGCATCTGGGAAATCCCACGTTACAGCCGACGGTTAATTGCATTATCTCTCTCTCACTTTTCCTGTTTCTCAAAGTGGCTCTGAACTTCCAGAAAGCCGGTCTGGAAATGGATCTGAATGATGGGCTGTTCCGGCAGAACGGCTGCTGCGGCTTCGTCCTCAAACCTGAATTTATGAGAGACGAAGGCACTCAGTTCAGTCCGGAGAGACCAGAGGAGCGGCAGGGCTACAAACCACTGCGCTTATCCATACAGGTTCAAATCAGTCCACTGTTTAAGAATTCAAATGTACGACTTTTAAAGTGTTTAATTTTCTGAACCTAAGATGCAAATATACGTCTGTGTGTGTCTCAGGTGATAAGTGGACAGCAGCTGCCAAAGGTGAACCCAAAGGAGGGCTCCATTGTGGATCCTCTGGTCAGAGTGGAGGTCTACGGAGTGCCAAAGGACCAGGCCAAGGAGGAGACCAACTACATTAACAACAACGGTTATTAAGAGAATCTGTTTATGAAGATGGTTCTGGTTATAAAAGGCCAAAAAGAACAAAAAGTTAAAGTTTTGCATGAAGAATTAAGTTAAAATGTGAAGAATTTGGAAGTTTAAGTCTAAATCTGTCGTCCTGATGTTCTGATTTTATGGACAGCTGCTAAAATTTCCTCTTAATGCATGAATATTCCTCCTCTTTCTTTCTGTCTTTCTTTCTGCCTGTTCATCATCTCTACTTTGTCTCTGCTGCCCTCTGCCTGCAGGTTTTAATCCGGTGTGGAATGAAACTTTAAATTTCATCATCCACGCTCCGGAGCTCGCTCTTGTTCGCTTCGTGGTGGAGGATCATGACAAGGCATCCAAGAATGACTTTGTCGGACAGTTTACTCTTCCCTTTACGTGCATCCAAGCAGGTGAGCAGAAGACAAACTCATAACAACTGTATTAAAAAAAAATATATATATATAATATTTACGTCTCTCCTCTCTCAGGGTATCGACACATCCACCTCCTGTCTAAAGATGGAACAGCGATCCCTCCCTCCTCTCTCTTCATCAACATCAGCATCTCAGAGCTCACATGAAGAAGAATCCTGAGGGTCTAAAGAGACAGAGCTGGAGACACTCCTTGTTTACATTTGCCTGAAGATGGATGACAACAGCATGCACTAATACCTTTAATTAATATTGCTGATATCTGTACTCATTATGAAATAATCTCAGCTTTGCATCACGCTGGTTTATCTAGAGTGAAGTGCCTGCTTGAGTTTTTTTATTTACAGATGTATAAATTCCACATGGTTATGTTGTGTATAATGTAAATGTGTGTAAATACAGGCCTGTAAATACGTGCGGTGCATTTTCTGACTGGTTTCTGACCATGGGAGTAAAATTCATTCATTAACAAACATTTCATTCCTCATTTATTTACTTTGTGTTTCAGAGGGTTCAATAATATAGAGGTTAAAAGAACAATTACTACACAATTAATGATTAAATATACAAGTCTGGTACAATAATTATACATATTTAAAAGTATTAAAAATTACGTCAGAGAGAGATTTATAAATAAATTCTTGTAATGTCTCTTTATACCCCCGACTTTAAAACCTGATTCTGTTAGTCCGTTAAATGATCTCGACAGATGTGACACTCATTTCTGCGAGGGTGACTCACACTCCTCCCCTTTCTGCACTTCATCTTCAACCCTCTCCTGTTCCTCATCAGCCATCCCTTCCTCCTCTTCCTCTGCCTCCTGCCTCCCCTGCAGCGCCTCCTTCAGGGTCAGACTCCCTGCCTCGGAGTCTCTCATCACCCCCTGCTCCACCGACACCTCTGGGTGGTGCCTCTTCAAATGTTTGACCACCTGGAACTTCTGCTTGGCTCTGTAGGAGCAGTGGCGGCAGCAGAAAGGCTGCTGCTTGGTGTGCGAGAGGTAGTGATGTCTGAGACCCGCGGGCCACCTGAAGGTTTTGTTGCACAATCCGCAAGCGTAGGGTCGGCCGTCGCTGTGCTGGCGCTGGTGGGTTTTCAGTATAAAACTCGTCTTAAAGGCTTTGCCGCATTTCTCACAGACGAAAGGGCGAAGGTCGCAGTGCTGCGTGTCCCGGTGAGCACGGAGGGCGTCGGCTCTGTTGGTGCGGTACTCACATTCATCACAGGCGTACGGTTTCTCTCCTGCAGAGGATAAACGCATGTGAATATAATTATCGACACGACAATAAGTAAGTAGGTTTAAAAGACTAAGTGGGTAACAGGCGCCTGTCCAAACAGTTTCTTTCATCAAACTTAAAGAAATATTCCGGCGTAAAATTAATTTAGGGTCGAACACACCGCAACACTGAGTTAGACACCCCCTCAAGAGATGAGGTCGTTACTAAAGTTGATATAACTGGAGAAGCAAGCGGTCGGCAACATTCATCTCTCTCTACGGGGTGTCTAACTTGGTGTTTCGGTGTGTTTGACCCTAAATTAATTTTACACCGGAATATCCCTTTAAGATATGAACTGAAATGATAAACCTTTGTGTGACCTTGGTACCTGTGTGTCTGGTCATGTGGTATTTCAGCTGAGTCTTCCACTTGCATTTGTAGCCGCACTCTGAACAAAGATACTTCTTCTCCTCCTCATGGACCCTCATATGAAGCTGTTGAAGAAATAATAATAAATAAACACAGAAAATGAACGAACATTAATTTTCTGCATTAACTATCTACAGTATCTCACCCTCAGACCCTGCTCTCACCTTCAGCCTTGACGGGTCTGTGCAGCTGTAACTGCACCGCTCACAGCTGTACGGTTTCTCTCCCGTGTGTATTCTAATGTGCCACGTGATCTTCTGCTTGTTCCGTGTTGAATACTCGCAGTCCGTGCATTTGTACAGGCGCTTGCCTCCATGCGAGCGCAGGTGCTGCTCCAACACCAGCTGGTGCCGACAAGCAAACTGACAGGCGCTGCACTTGAGGGGTTTGCTCTCAGGAGACCCCTCCTCGTGTTCGTTCAGCAGGTGTTGAGCTAACAGCTGCTTTGTTTTGGCAGCGAAGGGACACAGCTGGCACTGATGAGCCAGGTGGGTCTTTTGATGGATCTCCAGGCTTTCCTTGGTCTCAAAAACTTCCTGGCAGGTGGTGCACCTCACCTGTGGGTGCTTGCTGTCTTGGTGGCTCTTCAGCGCGGCCTCGCTGCTGCACGTGTAGTCGCACTGCTTACAAGAGAAACACGCCTGGAGCTTGTGCGCGCGTTTACAGTGGTTCCTTAACGCGATGTCTGAACTAAACTGAGCATCACACTGAGTGCAAGAGTGGCGTAACTCCCCTGTGTGACACCTGAGATTGTGCCGCCTGACGTCGTCCAGAGTGTAGCTGCTGAAGTCGCACAGGGAGCAGAAGTGTGACGGCTTCTTGTCGTGAGTGCGCGTCTTGTGTTGACGCAGTTTCGACACGGTCCCAAAGGTTTTATCGCAGATGTCACAGGTGTGGCGGCCGATTCCCGTGTGAAGGGACTCGTGCTCATCTAAGCGATAACGCCTCGTGGTGCTAAAGGGACAGAACCTGCAAGAATGAGGTCGCGCACCTTTGTGTTTTAATGCAACGTGTTGTTTCATGCATCGCTCCTGTTTGCAGGTGAAGGTACACTGTTGGCACTGCAGACGTTTAGATGCAGCATCAGCCACTTCTCCGTCAACAGACTCTTCCTCACCCTCTTCATCCACTGCTGAAGCGGCCTGCGTCTCTCTTCTCTTTATTTTCCTGCACTTTGAGAGGTGTCTCTCCACGGTTACAAGCTTTACAGATGAAAAACTGCACCGCTTGCACTTGAATTTTCCATCTTTTTTAGCGTAGAGAGGACGCAGCGGAGCGCTTTCTTTCTTGCATGAAATAGATTTGTTTTTCTTCTGCTTTTTTGACAGTTTTGGTGAATTTGTTGTCTGTGTTTTGTCTCGCTGGTGTCTGAATTCTGATGTGGGAGCAGTACAGCTGGTTGAAGAAGTTGCACAGATGTTCTCCTCTTGGTCACAGACCTCATTTGATTCTGTGCATGAAGAAAGCAGCTCTGTCTGTTTTTGTTCTTCTTCTGTGGTCAAACATGCTTTAGAAGCACCAACAAATGTCCTGGTCTTCCTCTGCACAGACGGGCATCTCTTTGCAAGGTGACTCTGAAGACCTCTCTTCTGTTTGAACTCTGCACCACAAGCTTGACACTTGTGTCCCCTCACCCGACCACGACACACAGCCTGACGGTGGTACTTCAGAGCGGTCTCCTTACTGCTCACATAAGAACATTGGTCACATCGATAAACTTCTTTAGCTGGCACCACCAGCATCTGCACACGTCCTTCTAGAAACATGGCCTCTGCGTGGTCCTGCTTCGCCGTCGTTTTCAGGTGGAGCTCAGGCTGATTTTGCTGTGACGGAGAAGACAAACTTCTTGTAGTGTCATCATTTTCCAGCTCTGGTGTTTGAGTTCGATCATCTTCAGGCTCAACTGTTTGACTTGGATCATTTACAGATTCACAGCTGTCATCTGGGTCACTTTGTTCACATCCTGCATCATCATTTCCATCGCTGTCCTTCTCAGATGAAGATGCAGAGACGTCTCCTTTTTCTTGTAAACTCTCTGACCCTACAGGATTGAAACAGGGCGAGTTCGGAGTCTGCTTTCCACCGTTTTCTTCCTCGTTTTCATAGTCAGCAGCTGATAAGGTTGTTAAAACTAGAGTGCAGTACTCCTCTGGACTGTTAATGGATGTAGGACCATCATTGTCATTACGAACCTCTCTGGAGACCTCCAAAACAGCTTCTGAACCATCTGCCGTCTCTTCTCTGTCACAGTTATCAGCTGATCCGGGAAGATCAGACTTCTCTCTTTGAGATGGTGGAAGTTCTCCAGAGGTGGATTGTTCAGACTGCTCCTGGGGTTTGTTGTAAAAGTCCTGCAGGAGTTCAGTAGAGTTCCTCTCCCTCTCCTTTGCGGCGTAGTTCTCGAGCCACGCTTTGTCTCCTGGTACGTACCCGTGAGTTTTCCTCTTGTGCAGGAACAGGCTGATGCTGCTGAAGGAGGAGTAGAAGCAGAGCGCACAGCGAAACTCTTTGAGCTTGGTGTGTTTACAGTTCTCATGGTTCTGCAGGGCTTGTCTGTAGCAGGTGGTGTATGTACAGTATTTGCACTTAAACACAGACGGCTGTTTTTCCTCTCCAAAGTGTTTGGCCAACATGTGGTTGCGGAGCTCGTATTTACGCTTGCAGGCGTAAGCGCAGATCTCACACATGAGCGATTTGGCTTGATGTCGCAACTTGTGGCTGTTTAGTTGGTCCATACGGTGACAGCGGTAAGAACACTGGTCGCACTGATACCTGGGAGAGGAGACAGGAAGATAAGTGACAACATCTGAAGTGTAAAATAAAATTCTTCACAACCGTGTGATCTTCTACCAAACTCCTGGTCTTACTCTGCTCCTGTATCTTCTACACTTCACCTGAAATCTGGGCTGATGCTACCTGGCGTTTCCTACAGAAAACTCACTTTCCTCGCTCCTATTCCTGACTCACGCTTCTTCCCCAAACTATGACGCTCATCCTTGCACTTCCAATTGTTGTTAGTAACTTCTAAATTGCACCATCTAACCATAGACTGTATATAGAATGGACAGAGTCTGCCTCCTCGCTGGGTGTAGGCACTCTGAGAACAGCACCCTCTGGTGATGGGCTGCGGTATAGGTCATAAATCCCGCCTACGCCAGCAAAGCTTATGGGGCTGTGGACAAACTTTAGAAATTTGTTACACAGAATATAAATTTTGACATGTAGTTACTGTCAGACTGGTTTGTGCTCAAGTCCTCTTTTTTCCGTACAGCTCCGTTTTTAAAATTTATTAGGGGGTTCATGTTTTCTTTGATTGACACCTGATACGGCCTATGGGCGTACGAAGATTGCATAGCTCACCCGGGGGATACGCTGCTTTAGCCGTGCGTCATCACAGTGACTCTCCCGCTGAATGGGAACAACACTACTGTGCAATGTTGGTTTTAGGAAATGGAGAAAAAACGCGGAATCCTTCTGCATTACCGAGAGCTTTTCGGCTTCAAATCTGTATACTGGCGGAAGGCAGAACCAAGTTGTCCACTGTATATACAGTCTATGCATCTAACACATAAACCCCAAATATAACTCAGCAAGAGAGCAGAAGTAGAGTTGTAACTCCTGTGTTCCTCTTCTTCTGCACTTTAATCGTATTTCTCTGCAGGTTTTTCAAAATATGTTCATACCTGAGGTCTCCAGCGTGTTTCCTCATGTGCACAGTCAGATAGTGTTTCCATTTAGTGACGTATCCACATTCAGCGCACATGAAGTTTTTGTCCTCAGAGTGGGTGAGCATATGTTTGGAGAGGTAGGACTCGTCTCTGCACCTGAAGTCACACAGGTTGCACTTGTGAGGCTTCTCACCTGGCACAGAGAGACAGGAGATCATGAGGTATCATGTAAAAAAAAAATCAACTGATTTGCAATAAGAATATTAAAAGTGTAATCCTCACCACTGTGCATCAGCATGTGTCTCTTCAAGCCACGTTTATGTGACGTCACAAAGCTGCACTGAGAGCAGCGGTGGGTCTTCTCACTGGCGTGCAGGTGTCCGACATGCTGCTCAAACTCCACGGGGTTAAACGTGACGAAAGAGCAGAAATCACAGCAGAGCTTGTCGCTCCCTGGGTGACCCTGCCGCTGGTGCTGGAGAAAAAGGGCTTTATTGGAGCAGGAGAAATCACACTGAGAGCAGTGGTAGGCGAGGTGAGTCCGGTAATGAGCCTCCATGTCTGTCTCATTCTGAAACACAGCTCCACATGCGTGGTGCCGACACTCCACAGCCCTGACTCCGTGCTCCTCCACAGTGTGTTTAAGGAGCTCTTTGTTCGAGGAGCTCTGGAAAGAACAACCCTCTTGGAAGCAGGACACCAGCCTGCTGTCTGACGGGATGTTGTGAGTTTTCATGTGAGCCTTGAGCGCTTTGCTCTGGAGAAAACTCTGACCACAGGTGGGGCAAGGAAAGCTCTGACTGTCCTGGTTTTCTGCAGCATGCACACTGGTGAGGTGGCGTCTGATCGCGTTCCTCTCCACAGCTGAATACGCACACAAGTGGCACCGGTGGAGCTTTTCACCGGCCTCTCGTAGTTGATGGATGTGTAGCTTGCTCTTGCTGGTGAAGTAGCGTTTGCAGGTGAGACACTGGAGGCTGGGGTCGGGGAAATGGAGGTGCATGTGCTCTTGCAGGTGGGAGCGCATTTTGAAGCAGCGACGACATTTAGGGCAGGTGTGTGTGCGATAGATGTGCTCTGATCCTTCTGCGAGGAACTCTGATAGACAAGAACAAAACGATACGGACATTTAGTCAAAATATAAAGAGATGGTAAGACTTATGGTATTCATACTTTGGTTATTTATTTGAATTTTTAAGAAAAATAATTATATGCAGGTGAATTTATATTATCTGTTTTTGTCACTATGATCTAGATATACCTTTAGATGGCAGTGTTTCAGTGTCTCCAGCTGAAGTTGTGTCTCTTTTTGTCGTCTTTTTCACTCTCTTCATGATTTGTCTCTTAGGCTGTTCTTCCATTTCTTCTCCTGGTAACGAAGATGCTGATTAGGATTTCAGTTTTCTTTTCGGTCTTCAAACTGTCAAACTATCAAACCGAGGTTCATATTATTTAGTACAAACAATAAATTCTACAGTTGAACTTTTTATGAATTCATGAGTCAGTGGTTGACATGTTGATAGCAGCTGCATGTATGTAAAAAAAAGTACTGTGATACGTGAGGGTAGGGCTGGGTGATCACTTTTATTTAGAAAAGTAGCTTGTAGTAGTGCAACTTGATATTTTTTGTACATGCAACTTCAGTAGTTGTCGTCTTCAGTTTATGTGCTCTGAAATGCACTTTACTTTATAAAACGGATGTATTTGTGTTAAAGATTTGAGTCTTTTAATACATTTGCTTGGTTTGAATTCTATAAAAGTGGGTCGCGACTTAAGGACCATGGGAAACTGTGGGTCCCAGGGTGCGACCAGTTGAGAACCACTGATTTAAAACCCTTTTATTTCAGCAGTCAACTATGTTTTCATTCACCCACAGATTTAGTGACATTAAAAGTCTTTATATGTTGCTTTAGATTTCCTAACACACTTATTCATATATATTTTCATGCTTGCAGTAGGTCACTCACTTGTAATCAAACTGTAATTCATCTTAAATCCACTTTAACCCTGTTTCTCCCTACCGCCTGGCTTTACACTGTTCATTGTACCTGAAAAACACAACATCAACACTTATCAGCTCAACAGCGTGCACTCGTGTTTGTGATCATCTGCACTTGTACTCAGAAGATTACCTCTATAAAAACGAATAAGATAAAAACTCACTTACCTTTTATGAAAACACAAACAGGGATTTACCGGCTACATAATACTGCTAGCATAACAAACGTTAGCATCTCGGAGGTTTTTCGTCCGACCGGTTCAATCACAGTTCCTGCCCGGAGTTCGTGAAGTTATTCCGGTCCGTACAATTCAACAGAGCAAAGAAATAATAAAAAATATCATAATATTTATTTTAGAGAGTATTTTTGAGTTAGCTTGCGGGGAAATAACTTCAAATGGAAGAGGGGGAACCAACGTCTACAGGAAAGTCGGAATCGAATGAGTGAAACACAGGAAGTGTAGTAGAGGTCGGTTCCACTACAGTAACATATGGAGCATTTTCATACATTGAACCCATGAGGGTTTACTCGGCTGTTTTAAGGATTAAATCCGCGGACTTCAGACTCTAAATTACCGTTACTATTTTGCGATGTGCGCTGAAGACAAAAAGGCAAGACTGCGGGATGATAAATGATAATTTAACATGATAAAATTATGAAAAACTAACATTTATCAGACAGATCGTTCCCTTACAGCTGTTATGAGGATTCTTAGAGGACTAAAACATCTCTGCTCAGTCTGAAATGTCTCATATTTTGTGAGTTAGCTTCTTGTGACTCTACAAAGAAGAACTTTAGTCTGAGGAGGTTTTGCAGAGACCACCATCATGCCCCTGTCAGACTTTCTGGATGGCCTGAAGGACAACCCTTACTTTGGAGCAGGGTTTGGACTGGTGGGGGTCGGGACAGCCTTGGCAGTGGCCAGAAAAGGAGCCCAGGTTGGGATGATATTCTTTCGCAGGCACTACATGATCACCCTAGAGGTCCCCAGCAGAGATAAGAGCTACCACTGGCTGCTGAGCTGGATCACCAAACATGCCCGGCACACCCAGCACCTGAGCGTGGAGACCTCCTACCTGGCTCATGAGAGTGGACGGGTCCACACACAGTTTGACTTCCACCCGAGTCCAGGAAACCACATCATCTGGTAGGAGAAGTGACCTTAACATCATCTCTCATGAAGTGCAAAAACAATCAATATAAAAGTATATTCACATTTATACATGCGATGTAAATGTAAATGTTATTTATTTTATTAACCAACATGCTTTACAATACATAGAAAATAAAAATGAGTAAATAAAAACAATAAAAAAAGAATAAAATACAATGCAATAAAATAAAGTGTCACCATGCCACTGGGTATTAAATCCTAAATCCTAAAAGAGGCGGGAAGCCAGTGAAGGAAGCTAAGGACTGGAGTGATGTGCCCACGTCTGTTAGTGTTAAAAGACGGGCAGCAGCAGCATGTAAATGAACCGGTTTTCACATCTGGCTAGGGTTTGGGACACTGTGCTGTTTGTTTACAACCTTTCCAATTTATTTCCTTTGCGGTCTGCAGGTATGGGAGGAAGTGGATCAGGGTGGAGAGGACAAGAGAGAAACAGATGGTGGATCTGCACACTGGAACTCCCTGGGAGTCCGTGACCTTCACTGCTTTAGGCAGAGACAGACAGATTTTCTTCAACATCCTACAAGAAGGTAAGAAGAAGAGCACCGGACGGCTCGTATAGACCTGCCTTACTGTGTGAAGGCTGCAGTCGAGTTTAAAGGTTCTTAATGCAGCTCTCAATGCCTTTTTGCAGCCAGAGAGTTGGCCCTGAAGCAGGAGGAGGGACGGACAGTGATGTACACAGCCATGGGTGCAGAGTGGAGGCCCTTTGGGTTTCCACGGCGACGCAGGCCCCTCAGCTCTGTGGTCCTGGATGCGGGTGTCGGAGAAAAGATCGTGGATGATGTGAAGGAGTTCATAGGAAACCCAAAGTGGTACACAGACAGAGGTAGAAAATCCTGTTTTCACTTAGTGTGTAGATGAATAGTCTATATAAATCATGTTTTTGTGTCATGACTGTTACTGTTTTGAGATATTTTGCCCAAGCTGTGTCTGTGAAAAAACTAATGTTACATTCTTTCAAAACTTTTTAAATTTAACATAGAAAGTCAAGTGTCTAAAAGATTTAGAGTCCATGTAGGCTGCAGTTTAACCTGTACTCTTGACAGCTTTACAGTCATGGTTATTTGTATGAAACTGATAATGTTCTGCTGTGTTCCTTAATTTTGTCCCTGCAGGTATCCCCTACAGAAGAGGATACCTGCTCTATGGTCCTCCTGGGTGTGGAAAAAGCAGCTTCATGTGAGTGGGCAAAGGGATTCATAACCTTTAGTATTATATTGATATTATATTTCATAGTATATGAAATTATTGTGTGATTACTCTGTGACTCATTCTATCACAGCACGGCTCTGGCAGGCGAGCTGGGTTACAGCATCTGTCTGATGAGTCTGAGCGACAGAACCCTGTCGGATGATCGCCTGAACCACCTCCTGAGCGTGGCGCCGCAGCAGAGCATCATCCTGCTGGAGGACGTGGACGCAGCGTTTGTCAGCAGAGACCTGCTCCCCACAGAGAGTGAGTAACAGAGATCAGAGGGAGGATGGTGGGTTTGGGTTTGGGGGTCAGAAACAAACGGTGACGTAAAAAGGAGAGACTGACTTTCATTTTAAAATCCATTTTGTCTTTTTCTTTCAGATCCGATGGCTTTTCAGGGAATGGGGAGACTGACCTTTAGCGGCCTGCTGAATTCTTTAGACGGAGTTGCTTCATCTGAGGCCAGGATAGTTTTCATGACCACCAACTTTATCGACAGGTAGAGAATAAGTTTATGTTGTTATGGGGCATTAAAGAACAAACAGAGAGTACAAATACAGTCAACATAGCAGAGAAAATAATTCACACTTTGGTTAAATCTAAATGTACCCTGAGTTTTCCCAGTAACCTAAAAGGCCATGATGTCTAAGATGAAATTAGTCAGGACAGCAACAGCTGACAGACTGTGAGACCTAAACATTGGTTTTAACTGATCCTCAATTTGCTTTGCAGCTTTTGGAATTGCATGATTTGCTGGCATGTTTCACATAACTAATAATGTAAAATACTGGATGTGCTTCTATTTATGCTGTCCCCTGGTGGAATAAAAAGTTATGCAGCATCAAATATTTAAATAAATTAAAGTAAGAGTGCACTGTTCCTGCTAAACTCGTCCTATTTTAGAGCCTTTACCTCTCCAGCTCATGTTTTTTTTGATGTTTCACCGATCATTTGCACAAAGACAGAGGTGTATTTTCAGTCCTCCTAAGCACCATCCTCTCCTGTATCTCCTCACACAGGTTAGACGCGGCTCTGATCCGACCCGGACGTGTGGATCTGAAGCAGTACATCGGGCACTGCACTCAGGAGCAGGTTGCACAGATGTTCCGGCGGTTTTACCCGGACGAGCCCGCCTCTGAAGCGGAGCGGTTTGCAGAGCAAGCGTTGGCCGCTCACTCTGAGATCAGCGCTGCTCAGGTGCAAGGACACTTTCTGCTGCACAAAATGGACCCTGCAGGATCTATAAAGAACGTTAGCCAATTGAAAGGCTGAGTGGATGGGAGGGAGATTGTAGACGGATGACTGAATAAAAAAAGAAAAGAGGAAAAGCATCGGCCTTTTCTTAAATTTACATTTTCAGATGAAATTACGGTGACTGGTGTGCACTGATGCCAAAGACTGTCAAGAGAAGATGATTAATAACAAATAAATGATTTACTCTTCGGTGCTCCTGATCACATATGTGAAACACACACCGCTCATCTTGGATGATTTCTTTTGGAGAAACTAGATTGCTGTTTCAGTCCAGGTGCTGAAGAGTATTTTAGCCTCGTGTGCAACCTGCACAGTTTTTTATCCACATGGAAACAAGAACAAAATTAATTTTCTGTGTGATCGAGATGCAGAAAACTTGTTCATAGATGTTGATCAACCAGGATAACAAAAATAAAATTGCAAATCATGAGAACTTATTTTTACTTGTTGCCAAATTTGCCAGAATAGCTGAATAGTTCTGTTAGAAAAAGGAAGAGACAAAGAAGAAAGTATGAACTATTGTTCAGTGACGATTGTTTTCTGTCATGAGAAACGTCAGTGACTCAAAATCAGAGCAAAGTTCAGCCCCTCTCCGTGGTACTGACTGTTCAACCACATGATAATTAGCTACAGCGCCATCTAGTGGTTTAAGAAGTCTACCAGGTGATATGTTGGTAAAAGCTTCAGTTATCCCTCATTTAAAATGTAAAGTTATATGATATTGTTATTTACAGCCGTGTTTAATGATGGGAGGAGCACAGCTTCTCTCCTCCTTTCTGCGCACACGGGCAGGTGTCATTGGGTTACCATGGTAACCAGATGCTGGGAATGTCACTGAAACTTCCAAGTGTTAAAGTTTCAGTGAACTGAAATACAGATTTAATGTAGCCTGTAGAAACCCAACAGCAGCAGTTAATCGATAAATGTAAGATAGCTTCTTTTTGATGTGAATTGTTGACAAATACAAAGTTTTTTGTATTTTAAAAGTGAAAAAATATCCTGAAAATATTCAGAAAAGCTACAAATTTGTGTTGAAAAATTCACCAAAATGCAGAAAATTAAGCTTTTATGTTTACAGTTTTAGGTTCAGGACCCTCACACCTCAACCTAACATATCTAACTTCCACTGGAGACCTGATGTTCAATCATTATTCGACAAAACTAACTAGTTTTTAGTGTTTGTTAAGCAGCAGGAGCTCAGGTTGCAGACTCCAACTGATTAATAAAACAGTTGTCATGCTGTTAAATAACTTGCATTAAATGTCAGTGACTAAAATATCCTATATAAGCTATACTATATATACTATAAAACCCCAAAGAGAGCAGAGATAGGAACAGGATGTAGAGGAAAATCCAGACAGCTGCATCTCTGATGGCTGCCTCTTCTTAGATTTCAGTGTAAAGACTTCAGGCTCCCCGGGAAACTGCTCTAATTCTTTGAAACTACTGTATGGAAAGTGAGTGTTACATAATTTTCTGTTCCTCCAGCCGTTGAGCTAAAATCAGCATTTTATGGTATGCTTGGAATGTTTTTTGTGGCCCCTGGTCCTCCGGGTTTGATCCCTGAAAGCTGCGCTGGAAGGGTTAAACTTCCAGTGCAGACGCGGCCCCTCCCTGCTCGCCTGCTCCCCTGGATGTAACAGGAGCCTTTTACAGTTGCTGCTCTGCCCTCCTCATGGCTGCATGGCTGTCCCGGAGCGTGGTGTGCAGGAATGGCAAGGGGTTTCTTTCTTGCCCTCTGTCCGGGGCTCGAATCTCCTTCAGGGGGGTGGGAGGCGCCTCATCGGGCCCCGGGGCGCTCTCTGCTCTGCAGGGTAAGCAGCGGACAGTAGAGGACCTTCCTCATCTCAGTGTGCTGGAGCTGCTCTACAGGATGGTGTTTCAGGGTTACTACAATCGTTTGCATGAGCTGCAGGTACGCTGAGGTCCATACTCTACAAACTCGAGATGTCTAGAATCTAATCTAAAAATATGGCATGTTGTCTTTGTGGTGCATTCCTGAAATCCCTGATTTAACCTGTCTTTGGTTGCTGGGGTTGACCCTCTGAAGCTGTTATATGAGGGTTTGCTTTGCTTACACCCACAATGCATAATAGAAAATGTCAGGCTGGTTGCGTTACCTTTGTTCCCATAGTAACCGCCAGGTAACAACAGCAGACTCCCCCTGAGGAAAGGCTCTTTTTTCCTTCTCCCACTACCTGCAGGGTGAACAGCACTTTTACTCCCTCACTTTAGAGATACCTCTGGACCAGCTACATTTATTAAACATTCTGCTTTTTGTTGATGGTACGGATAATCAAACTTTGTTGATTTGAGTTTGGATCTGTGTTTACTCTCCCTGATGCCTTCATTTCTCCTTCTGTCAGATCTTTGAGAAGCAGCGATACGGGAACATCTACAGAGACGGACTGAAGTCAGTGTCTGTGAACACGCCTCAGCTGCTGGAGGAACTCCTGAGGAACGATGAGAAGTTCCCTCGCCGAGGTGACATGTCTCTGTGGACGGAGTATCGGGACATGAGAGGACTCGGCTATGGACCTTTCACTACGTAAGGTCGCCACAGATTGCACAACCCAGCTCTGTCCCTGCAGCCTCCTTCTTTGGTCTAAACACTACCTGTTGATGCTTGTAATCCTTACATAAGGGCTTTCCAGGGCAAAGTCCCACCATGTGAGAGGGATGGATTGACTGAGACCTTCCTGTTTTTAAGACTTTGTTAATGTGTTTCTGACCTGGTTTATGAGACTCTTGAAGGCCTCCTCCTCCTTCTCAGAGTTAAGCTGTTTGAGGACAGTGTTCGGTTATGTGAGAAGTTTAGGTTTGCGTATTCCCAAAAAGCAGCTGGAGGATGTCACTGTGTTATTGAGTTTATCACAGTCCAGTTTTCCTCTTCCTCACAGTCTTCGCAGGTTTAGGACAATTGGTGTCTTTCTGTGGTGCAAAGATCCACTGACTCTCTCTCAAAGGTCAGAGGCTGAAGCCTGGAGGGTTGATCGAAGTGTTTTCATGCCAGGTCTCAGTTTCAGCTCCAGGTCTGTTGGCAAGCAGCAGTTCATTCTGTTTAACTTTTGGCAGATGAAGAGATTGTAATATATCGCAGTTGGAGTTTATTTACTCTCTGGCTCGCAGCACCTGTCGGTCCCTTCTCCGTAAAGCTCTGGAAATCAAACATCTCGGGATCAAGAGTGAACTTTAGAAGTACTTGTAATGCAAATCTTGGTTTGTAATCTTTAAGATGTGCAAGGTATTTCCTGGAAAACACATTTCCTGGATGGCAGCGTATGTTGCCCTAAAACTTGTGTAGATGTGCGGCATGTAGATTTCATTCCAGATGTGCAAACTACCAATGCCATGAGCGCTAATGCATCTCCATACTGTTGCAGATGTTGATTTCTGGTTTTAATGTAGTACCACCTAGAGACCTGAAGATCATCAGTATTGTTTTTTTAGCCTTGTCCCCTGTTTGACAGAGATTCTGCAGATTTTGTCTTTGTCACTCATCCTATAAAAACCACAGCTGACCTTGTAATCTGTCATCTATTACTGTTACGACCTAGATCTAGCGCAATGACCCTACAGTGTCCTCCAGAGACCTGCATTATAGCCCCGTCATGGAGCTGTTTAAGTTTACTGTATCTCGTTTGAGTATTGGAAAGACGTGAGGCGTGGAAACAAATCCCACACTGAGACCCTCAGCGTGAATAAAAGATCCACAAGCTGCTCACTAGTTTTGCAAAGTGACTCTTCTTGTCCTCCCAGGGAAGGAGAAAGGTGGTACAACCTGAGGGCGATGCTGAACAAGCGCATGCTGCATCCAAAGGACTCTGCACAGTACGGCGGGGTTATCAGCGAGGTTGTGACAGACTTTATCAAGAGGATGTACGAACTGCGTCAGAGCAGCTCCACAGGAGACCTGGTGCCTGATGTGGCCAATGAGCTCTATCGTTTCTCACTGGAGGGTAAGGAGGAAACAGGCTGTTCATGAAGTGATGCTGACTGAAGAAAGAGCAAAACCGAATATTTTAATAATTTGCTTTTTAAATTTTATATTCATGGCTGTCTGATCGTATTATTCTAAATAATGAGACAGGTATCGCCTCCATACTGTTCGAGACCAGGCTTGGGTGTCTGGAAAAGAAGATCCCGGCAGGTACGCAGGATTTCATCGACTCCATAGCGCGGATGTTCTCCTACAGCATGGCCGTGGCAGTGACGCCCAAATGGAGCCGCACTTTCCTACCCTTCTGGGAGCGCTACATAGCGGGCTGGGAGGGCATCTTCAGCTTTGGTGAGCTAGAAGAAACGCTGTAGAGTGATGAACAAAGGCTGCTTCTCAATTTGTGACTCTGTCTGCTCACATCCTTCATATGTGTTAAAGCTACTCTAGAAATTATTCTGAGGTTGTTGCACTCAGTTAAAAAGTTTTTAAGAGTTCATGTTTCACCAATAGCTGAAGCAACTAAAAGAAGCTGGCAGAGCTCATTTAAACTAAGAAAAGTTGACTTAATGCAACATTAAAAAAGTTATATAGTTTATAGTCAAGCTGAACAAAATATTTGAGTTTGAAGCACTAGATTCTTATTCGTACCATCAACACAAAAACATGTAAAAGTTATTAATAAAGGTTAGTTTTATTTGCAAAATTGAGTTTGTGTCCCTTGAAATAGCTTAAAATATTTTCTCTTTTAGAAGAATGAGTTTATTTCACTTAAAATTTGAACTATTTAAAAAAAAATTTGTTAAAGGAACTATTTTTCAGGTTTTAAAAAGTGTGCAAGTCTCATTTCTCCAGAAGAAGTAATAAAATAGATATGCAAATTGTAAAATAGTTTCAGTCGCTGCATGGTTAATACTTTGCAAATGGTCTTATTTGCTTCTGTTTATCTTTAAAAGGCCCTGATATGAACTTAAGTTTATTTCATATCTTAAAAATCTCTAAACTTGGTTAAAAACAAATAAAAAATGAGTAAATAATGACCACCAGTCATGTAACATCTCTAGTCAAAAGGGAACAAGTGAAGGATACCCTGGTGTTTCCTTGTTCCTATCTCCTCCAGAGCGTCCTTTTTCCTTAATTCTTGTCTTCTGTAGGTTTTTTTTTAAAACGGACTTTTCTGCACTTGTTTCAGCCAAAGAGTTGATTGACAAGAAGCTGGAGATCATCCAGCAGCGTGTGGACAAAAACCAGGAAGTGGAGGGCGAATACTTGACGTACCTTTTCTCCAACGCCAAGATGAGCACGAACGACGTGTACGGCAGCATCGCAGAGCTTCTGTTAGCCGGAGTGGACACGGTAAACGTCACTCTTTACTGTAAAAATGTGAGTATATTCAGCATTTTTCTCTGTCAGGTCACTCAAGTGCATTTCTTTGGTTTCAAGACCTCCAACACCCTCACATGGACGCTACACCTGCTGTCCAAGCACCCTGAAATCCAGGACAAACTCAACCAGGAGGTGTGTACTTTGGTGCCCACAGACCGGCTGCCCACTGCTGAGGAGGTCACAAAGATGCCGTATTTAAGGGCTGTCATTAAGGAGGCACTGAGGTGAGAGTGAAGCTGAGCCTCTGTGGTGGTGCACAGACATGATCTGGATTCGAGGCTCTTTTTTTAACAAACTGCCTGATCTTGTTTTGCAGGATGTACCCTGTGGTTCCTCTGAATGCAAGAGTCATCGCAGAGAAGAGTGTTTCTATCGGTGGATATCAGTTTTCCAGAAAGGTGGGTCTCATTTTGAACTCTTTGTTTAGTCGGTGTTTCCTCCTGTCGCTGCTGCTCAAACTTTTTAAAGGAGGTGCAGATAAGTTTCAACTTTCTTATTTTCCAGACGTCTTTCACGCTGTGTCACTACGCCATCAGTCACGATGAGGACACTTTCCCCGAGCCGTTCACTTTTAAGCCTGAGAGGTGGCTCCGTGACGGCCGAAAGAGACCAAACCCTTTTGGCTCCATCCCCTTTGGTTTTGGGGTGAGGGGCTGTGTCGGTCGACGGATCGCTGAGCTGGAGATGTACATGGTTCTGTTCCGGGTAAGTTATGACAAACACTGAGTAAACTTCTATTATATGAAATGGAAGATGTGATGAGAGTCTATTTCTTCTTCCTTTAGATTGTCAGACTGTTTGAAATTAATCCAGACCCGAAGATGGGAGAGCTGAAGTGCATCTGTCGCACCGTCCTGATCCCAGACCAGCCGCTGAACCTGCACTTTGTTGACAGAGGAGCTGCAAATGTCACCTGATTTGGTTTTTTTTTGCACTTTTTTCACCCCTATTTTAAAGCTAATCTTGCATGTGAATGTAAAAAATTTGATATATTTATATTTATATGTTTTAAAGAATATCCAATGACATGTTCAAAGAGAGGCAGTAACAGCAGGTTTAAACCTTTGCTTGAACAAACCAGGTGGGAATATCCAAAACAGATCTATAAGCTCATGAGTAGACTTTATTAGACTTTATTAGACTGTATGTATACTATTATACAAACTTATTACCATGTTTTATTATTATTTTTTTTAATACATGTAAGACTGAAGAACAACTGAGCAGCTCTGGAGTGAAGGAAACAGAACAGGAGGTCACATTCAACACAACTTAGCTATATAGTTATAAATCTGTGTCCTGTACACACAAATGAATGATAAGAAGTGGAGCAGATGAACAAAACACAAACAGAACAACAACATAGACCTGTGTGTCTTGTTGCATCGCACTCCAATCTTGAACAAATAAGAAACTGAGTGAAGAGGCAGAGAAAAGGTCAGAAGTGTCCGAGCAGAAAAACTGTCCTACAAGGAGGCGACTTTGATTTTCTCAGAAACTTCACAACCTCATCACCTTCAACTTTCGAACCTATAGAAGAGTAGATAATCGTTGAAGACGCACATGTCTGTCTGTTTCCAGCTCTCTTTACATAAACTTAAAGTGTGCACTGCATGCAGGAATCACAGCATATTTTTAAAACATAAAATAATTGTTGTAAATGTTAAACAACATGACTGGACTCATTTCTCATTTCTATCAATTTAAAGGCAAAATCTTACCAATGTTGTATTTCTATGGTACAATAAAGCCTTGTATTGTTTGTATTCTCCTGTATGTGTGTGAAAGTATAAATGAAATATCGAAATGACAGAAACGGTCACAGGGGGTCACTTAGTTTTGAATTTGTGTCCAAGTTCCCTCAAGTCCCAATTCACAAAGACAAACAGTTAAAAGTAAATCGACCAAAAGGAACATGTTAAAGTCAAGAAAAAGACAAAAACAAACTTCTCTGATATTAATCTGAAATCACATATATGACGACCAAAGGAAGGGCTGGAAGAGTATTGACTAAAAAAGGCACAGAGAGGGCGCTTTGTTTTGAGGGAACCTCTGTGTGGGTCTCCAGATTATGAAACAGAAAGAAAGAATGATTTCCCCACTTGTTCTCCCTCTTGAGTCCAGCCTTTATGAAATAACTTTCACTTGTATTAGAGTCAAATTTGATCATTGGTTGTGCACTTTGTCCACTGCGAACAATATGAAATAATGACATCTGAGTAATGTACCGTTTGTCCACTAGGGGGCAGCATGCGAGCATGAAAATGGACAGAGCCCTTGAACTTCATGAGTGCTGCAGGGATTCGAGGTCTGCGCAACAATATCAGCTCAGTATTGTGGTGACTCAGCTGGGACTGAACCTCATGAGGACGTTTAGGTCAGAATAACACACCGAAGAACATTAAATTATATTTACAGTCGGAGTTTTCTTAGAGGAAATCATGCACACCTGATCTGACAGGCTGCAAACTCTCTCAGTTTAGGGGGAGTGTTGAAGTGTTTGCACATGTGTGGTGGGCTATTAAACAATCAATGCCTTTGCGGACTTGAGTGACAGCCTAAAGCACCAATCACAGGAGCCAATGCAAAGAGAAACATAAAGAGAGTGAGAGAGAGAGAGAGAGAGAGAGAGAGAGAGAGAGAGAGAGAGAGAGAGAGAGCTGCAGACTACCTGTTTGCTCTCCTCCTCCTCAGAAGGAAGTCACCTCAGTCACTCAGCACATGCTGTCTGTAAACAACAGTGAGGAAAACTCTTTAAAACTCTTTAAAAACAAAACTTTTTAACTTTTTAAATCCTGGATGATGTCTGACTGTCTGCGCGGATCTGTCGCAGGTTCCAGCGGGATAAAGTCAGGATCTGTTTCTGCATGAGGAGCTGAAAGAGGGGAAGGAAGGAGGACCGGAGCGGTGAACTTTTGAATGGGTTAAAGGACGAGCTCTCTCAGGCTTTGCTCGGATGGGATGCACGGTGAGCTTCATCTGCTGTGAAGACGACTTTCTGCAAATGCCTGTGTACCACCATGAGGAGGAGAAGAAGAAGAAAGAGAGCGTGAAGAAGGTAAGGGATGAGGAAACTTGAGTGACTGAACGAGTGGGTCAGGTTTTTTTCTCTGCAAAAACAGACACAAAAGTCCTGTAAACTCACTCACAAACATCCAGAGTGAAGTCAGAGGAAGCCTGTAGTAAGAAGAAGTCACACTGTAGTGGTTACATAAGGTAGAGACAGCCTGAGTACAATCCTAAATCCAGGTGTATTGTGTGTCTAATACCTGCTTTGACATTCATTCACTGCTGCTGTGTGTGAATGAGGTAAACCATTCACTATAATGAGCGCCAAGGGCAACAGGAGAAGTCCAAGTTCAGTCATGCTTGTTCTCCACAACAAAAGCCCAGAGCTCATCATTGGTGGTCTGTACCTGCAGCTGTACCCTCCAACAGAATCATGATCCCAGTCCTCCTCTCGTCCTCTGCTGCTTTTTTGTTTTTGTTTTGTTTGTTATATTAGTAAAAAAAATGGTTTAACCCAGTATTGCTCTGCAGCCTGAGGGTTTTACTTTGCTCTCAGAGGAATGTGGTCAGTGACCTGTGACCTGCTCTGAACTGACAGACTAAGATTAACCCCAAAGACTGGCGAGTAATGTTTTAACACTGTCTGGAACAGAGCTGATTTCATTAACCCTGCAGCTCAGTCAGATGAGTAAATGAAGCTTTTGTTTGACGCTTTAAATCAGGAGGAAGTTGTTAAAATGTGTGGATAACTTCAGTCATGATATTGGTCTGTGGCTCTGCCATGTGTTGTCTTTTTTCTAAAGACTAGTGCAGTATCACCGGGGGCTGCAGTTAGGGCTGGGCAATATGGGAAAAAAGTTTGTCACAATATATTTTTTTCATATCAGTCAATATCGATATATATCATGATATAATAAATGAAATTTAACAGTGTTTATTGGTCGCATGTCTTTTGCAATACAATAAGCTGCTGCATCTGTGAGGTCTTTGCGTCTCTTTGTAACCTTTTGCATTGTACATGCTCTACGCCCTGAGTAGTTTGGTCCCTCTTTTTTGGATGACTGAAATAGAGGCTGTAAGACAGGTTTTAGGCCTGTTTATCCAACTCAGCTCTATGTTATTCTCTTTGTGGAAATCATGTGCTTGTCATCAGTGTGTTGGTAAGTCTGTGCATTTTTTCTGTGGGTAGAACTGATGCAGCACTAACACCAACGTCTCCAGCTGCAGCTGCAATAAGTGCAAACTTTTCAACATTTTGAGGGTTGCATGTATTGCCATTTATGTCAGCTATGTTCTGTGTTATGGGGTTGTTTGCTGCTGCAGAGAGGAGGTGTGCTCTCCCTGCTGGAAGGTCTAACATTGCATGTATGGAGGGCAGAGAGTGTGACTATTGCAGACAAATATTTCTTCCTCTTAATGAAAGTGGTCCTGAGTGAAATGAGAAGTCTGCCTGTGGGTGAACAACAGCTGCTTCCTGCATCTGTATTTTCAGAAGAATTAATTTCCAGTGACTCAAGTTCATCTAAATCTGGGTTTTTAAAAATGATGGTGTCAAATTTATCCAGAGTTTGAGGAAACTTTCTAAACCTCAACCCCACATTTGAGGCTTTATCGGTGGCATTTCTGATACTGCAATCATCGGGAACATCTCTATTTAAGATTAAGATATCATATTTGGTTGTTTAACCCTCAGTAACACGTAATTTCTATTTATCTATCTGAGATATGTCATAAGTTTTCAAATGCTGACTGAATACTCGTAGTTGTGAATTAGTGGTCTTAATAACACCTTAAGGAGTAACTCTATGTGCGTGGAAAATCATTTAAAAGCTTCATAGTGTGAATTTTTCCACCACAGCTCGGACTTTTTAAGTATATCGGTGAAGTTTTGTGTGTACAGCTCTTTTAAAACACTTTGTCACAGAGAGCTTCGCAGTGCTAACACTTGAGAGACACTTTTAGACGTCTCAGATGACTTTTCCTGGACACGCTGAGCCGTCTGGTGGCACAGACAAACAGTTGGCACCACGGCGTGCATGTGGGCACTGAAGAACTGTGGGAAATGAGAGCCCTGACTCTGCCAGCGGAGCCGCGGTCGAGGTAATGAAGTGGTGCTAAAGTGTTGAAAATAGTCAACAAGTGAAGAGGCCAAGTGTCAGTCATGCTGAGTTTAAATAAGCAGCGTTTAAAGGAGCATTTCGGACAATGCTCGATAAATGCAGAGCGGTTTATCGTCATTCTGCAGGACTGTGACGCTGATTTATCTGCAGGCGCTGGTGATTTCTCTCGCTGCAGCATTTTTTTGCGTACCATTTGCTCTTTTTTCACGCTGCCGTTTGTGTCAAAGGTGTTCTGAGGGGCACACACTTTGCTTCCTGTGGTAATTGCTCCTCTTGTGTGTCTTTGCTTGTGGTTTGTGTCGGAGGAGTGGAGGAGAGTTTGGTCTCTCCTGTCAGGGGCGCTCAGGGAGGCCTGAGGTGCAGAACTTTGAAGAGTGATAACAATCTGCCAGAAAGAACTACCCTCATGAAAAACCAAAGCACACAACCAGGACTTTGAAGCAGATGAGGGGGTCTTGAATAGACTTAAGGAAGAATGTGCGCTGTATGTTTTGTGTCTGAGGTTGTTATATAATGGCAGAACATGAGGCAGACACACCATCAGAACACCTGACTACAAGATATATTCACGCGGACTCAGAGACACATCCAAAGATCCTAATTTATACTCTTTAAATCGAACCTAAAGCTGTGAAAACTGTAAAGCGGTGCTTGATAATGTGAAAATGCTCTTAGTTTGTTTAATCCCACCGAGTATAAACTGACATCAGTTTATAAACATGTTCAGCTGAAAGTTCGGGTTCCTCCCAGCCATGACCAAATCCAAAAAGCTTGTGATTACCACCCCGTAGAGAAAAAAAACCCGTTGTGCTCCCACTCCCAGATCTTGAGCTCAGCTGATGATGTTTCCAGTTTTGAAGTGATGAACAAGTGACCGAGAAATGGAAAAAGATGCATTTACAAGAGTGAGTTGAAAAATGTCGAAGTTGCCCTTTAATTCCTGTAGCTGCAATGAGGGGGTAAGTAAGCTGGAGGAACACCAGTACAGTGAATGTTTATAGATAATGATAAATTTCACTGTTAAAGGGATATTCCGGTGTAAAATTAATTTAGGGTCAAACACACCGTAACAACGAGTTAGACACCCCCTCGAGAGATGAATGTTGCCGACCGCTTGCTTCTCTAGTTATACCAGCGACCGCATGATAGCAATACAGAGTGGTCTGAGGCACCACACACAAACCTCAAGCAAAAGGCCACTCTATAGCCACAAATAATGCTCAGAACAGCACCTAACTTCATCAACAGGACATATAGGGTCCTAGCCATAGTACTAGCCACAAGGATGAAACAAAACCAGCCACTATATTAAGGTTCCTACTTTGTCCACAGGGGGCGCCAAAGTCAACACAGACAGAAACTTCCTCACAGGAGCTTTAATATTGTTCCTTGTGGTGATATTTAACTGAATCAACTCTACGAAATGATCATTAAAGTTGGATAACTTTGTTTCCCATTTGTTATTGACTAACGTGTGAGACATTTAGACTTTAAAGGTTAATAAAAGTTCACTGACCTCCTTTAATGCAGCAGCGGGAACATTAGACGGACAGCGAGACATTACAAGAGGCATTCCTCTGTACTAGAAATAAAGTCGCCACAAATAAAGTCCATGTAGCTGACCATTAGTTTAATGTAATTGAGACCTTTAAAGTCTTCAGCTGGCAGCTTTGTGAGGCTTTGCCACGGCGTAGCAATGAGCTGAGATAAATGCTAAAGTCAGCATGAAAACGCCTTCACGGTATCAATGCTGACCTGCAGATTTTCCGCAGGTATACTGTCCCTCCATAAGAGACTAATCCTCACTGTCAGGTCCTGCTCTCTACCCTCCCTGTTTCTGAATTCCCACCAAAGTGTCAGACAGCGGGTGGGGGCTTTCCTGGGATTTGAAGATTTTCGATAAAGGTATAAAGGTATGCGGTGAACTGAGAGTTACCTGCAGCTCCATATTGCATTCCAGTGGATGCTTTAGCTGAGGCGAAACAGTGCGTCCTCTGTGCTGCGTCTCTGGGGAGGCCTATCATTTCACTCCTACCTGCTGGCTCTGACCTGCACATGGGCCGCAGAACAAGACCCTCTCTGTGTGCCGGTCTGTGGAGAGCTGCCCGCTGTGTGCTTGACCCGGGAGAGGGTGGTGATGCCTCCGCGAGGTTAACCTCCGTCATTTTACCTCTTAATGCACATACACGCAGGAATGTAACCTCCTGTGGACGTTTTTTTTTCAGAACAGGAAGCTTTAAACAGACCTTTACTCCTGCGCTGACAGTCCGGGTAGAGTCTGCTGCATTTTTAATTTTTTCTTAGGGTGCTGAATGCGTGAAATCTGATCTTGTATCTGCATTTGTCTTGATGTGGTTAACCTCCGAGCAGGTTTTACAAGCTCTTCACAGCAAATATTCAGACAGTTCTCACTCCCAACTCTGGAAATTCAGCACCTAAGTGACCCTTTTTTCAACTTGAAATAACACAGGACACTAATTGACAGTGAGGACGCCGCCCTCATCAACACCAGAACAGCACTGTTCCTACCTACTCCACCTCACCACCGCCGTAAATGACAACCACATCCCCACAGTCTGCATTGCCACCTTCAGCAGACCCAGGCTCTGTTTATTTGAGCTTTAGTCCGGCTTTCCTGTGGCTCGCTGATATTGGGGGTCACCGTATAAAGAGTGAAAGTCTGAAAGAAGTGTTGGTGCGAGAAACACAAGTGTGAGCTGTATCCAGGAGGCCGTGGTAACTTTCCACTTTAATTAACTTCTTGAACTTCACAACTTTTTTTTCCTGTAGTTTTAAAACTTTAACAAATGAACCTTATAGTTTTTAATTAAACCCAAACTATGATTATCTTCTCATTTTAGCACAACAAAGTGATTATGAAATTGCAACTTTGACTGTGTTGGTAATTTTTCACATGCCCAGAACTCATAAACATGACATCCCAGTTTACAAGCTTGACTGTGACTACATTTTTATGGGATATTGCTCATTTATTTTTGCTGACTTTGCCTACAAAAGCGTCAAATTCTCTCTCTATATATGGAGTTTCAAGCATGGGGACACTGACTGAGCTACTTTACAGAATAGATGAAAATAGAGGAAAAATTAAAAGCTTTTCTTCCTTCGGTTTTTCTTCCGTTTGAAAGGAAATGCAGTCAAAGGTTGTAAAATGTAGAATATAGGTTAAGGTGATAAGAAGCAGTCTGGTGCCGAGGGATTAATGTTCAAACTGTCGGCCTGTTTCCTTCATCAAAGTCCACAATGTGCAGTTTGTGTGCAGCCGTGGAGCTCTGTCTGTTTTTGCATCTCTGTGAGCTACAGTACAGTCAAGGACAACGGCACGTCTTACTACAGTTACAGCTTGATTAGGCGATTTACTGTCCTTGTTCGGCTTTACAAGCATCAGGAAAGAATCAAATAATTGACAGAGTCTGCCTCAGGTACAGGAGGTAACTGCACGACCCCTTTCTGCTCCTTACTTCTGGGTGGCCTCCTGGTTGGCCTATGAAGTACCAAAACAATCAACAAAATATGTTAGCAAGATGGTGAAACACAAAAACACCATCACCGTTTCAGCTTTGTACTGTTTCATCTTTTTTTCTGCAGTCCTTTATTTGTATGTTTTGGTTTTGTTTACCACTTTAGCAACACATCTATGCTGTTAAACTTCTGGACTAAAGCCTGGCATTCACTTTGGTCAGTTTCAGTCCAAATGAGCTGTAAACTTGGAAGAGAAAGTCAGTCCTTAACTGCATTATCGAAGTTTGTTTGTCAGATTATCCGAGGTTCGATTTAGTGTGATTTCAGTCAGATTACCGCCGGACTAATGCTAACTTCCTGCTGCGTCTGCTGGTTATGGAGCGCCATCTTCTGGGTAAAATATTGTAACGCATTTTGTACTGATATATTTCACAGCACACATGCAAACTACATCTGATTAACTTATTTTATCACAAACCTTAACATAGAAACCATGGTTACACGGTTATGTTATGATTTCACAGAAGAAGGGACATTCATACTAGCCTCTGATTCCCGTTAAGAGCCCGTCTAAACACCACCCAGGAATGTTATTTTGTGCGTACAGTTACCAAATTTGAGAGGAAACTCCCCCAGCTTAAGTAGTCAGCGCACAAAGAAGAACCTTTTCACCCCGTGTGGAAGTCAACACCTTCCTTTAACGGGTTTGAGGTCAAAGGATGTGTGAATTCGATGAGCGGATATTTCTTTTCCAAACAGCCTTTCAAGACATTACTGATTCGGTGATGCGTAAAGTCGCTCACAAAGAGTGTGGGCGAGGAAGATAATGGGACACAAAAGGCGTTCATTGAGCTTCTTAAAGTGTCTTTAATTCACTTGGCAATGCACAGTGGATAGGATGACAGTCAGGATGATAGATTAAGGCGCAGGGCGACTGTATTTCCCCCAGAGTCATGGTTGTGTGCCCCCTTTTCTTGGAATGTAAAGCAGAGGCCTTACTTCCACCTCTTCCTCAGACCTCGTGGCATCAGTGCAACATAATACACTCCGTTTAGTCCTATACCATGCAGCCTCTGTTGCTTTGTGGAGCCCTGAATGCAGCCATTATTCCGCAGTTTTGTTGATATTTCTCTACGTGTGGGGGGGATTTTCTTGTCTTCTCTCTAATACTTGGCAGGGCGATGTGGCATTTGCTCTTGGCAACGTCCAAATCCCACAAAGTCTCACTCTGGGGGCCTTTGTAGCCTTTCACAACACTTCCGAGTGATGGACAGGGCGCTCGGCTCTCCCAGGTCGCATCCCTTTTTGCCCCAAAACGTGTCTTTTGTTGATATTTGTGGCTCCTCTCTTTTCCCGGGGTCTTTTTCAGCGAGGTCGGATGCCACAGGGCTCCAAGGGTAATTACTGTGACAGTGGAGCAGAAGTTAGGCCGGGCTACCCAGGTCGCCCAATCATGTTTTCATCATCGGGAGTGTTTTTCTTTTGGGACGAGATAAATCCCCCCTTTGACATGCTGCATTTACTCTGAATACACACAGGAAGAAAACCCCCAGATTTTCCTCTCTCTCTATTTCGCACCGCTGCTTGTAACAAGCTGAGGCAGATCATTGTTGCTAGTTCACCCTCACTGGTTTTTAAAAGGATAGGTTTGCACTCTTAGGCATTCCAGCGAGGAGGAATTTCAGAGGTATTCGCTCTGGAATGTGGTTTCTCTCTGGACTAGGAGGTGAAATACATCGGCCGTAATGAAATGTAAGCATAAAGTGGCTAATGAACAAATTAACTAAATTTAACAGGCAAAGAAATGACTCCAAAAACAGCCCACGTTGAGCTCACTTGCTTTAATACACAAAGAATCTCAATGGATAGTAAATTGTGTTTATATCATCGATGGAAGTCGTTTGGGATGCTGAAAAGTTTGCCGCCACTCCTCCGTAGAGGAGGCCATAAAGCGGTTGATTAATAGCCATTTGGTTCATGTATTGATTTTCCCTGGATGATGCAATTGTGGATTTGGACCCCTACTTGGTAAAAGCAAAAGGAAATCACTGCAAAATGACCAATCCGATGAACAAAAGCAGATGCTCACAATGTAAAAACATCAGTTTAACCCAATTTATGTTTAAATGGAAGTATAACTCTTTCTCTGCCTCCCCAGCGCCTTAAATACGACCCACAGAGGGTTACAACAGTTGATTGTTCTGTCATGAAAGTTTGTCGTGCCGTTATTATTAGTAGGAGGGAGCAGAAACTCAATAGGCCTCCATAAAAAAGAAAAACTCTGCACATGTTCCACGTTCCCGTCCTGATCCCTGATCCCTGTTAATGAGGGTGGGTGTGTCCCCTCCTGTGCACCAGGCGGAGGAATCTTTAATTAAATCACACACCGCACATGTGTTGCACGCGCCTGAAATCCTACACAAGCATCACCAACGTGCCAAACATTTGTATCTTACACACAGGCTGGGGGGGGGTTTATTTATGGTCACCCTGAAGCTGTGTTCACACTATAGCTGAAAATATACCGACGCTATTTTCTCCTTAAATATAGACGGATAAAACGATATATCACGTGAGATATAAGAATCTGTCTACAGATTTAGATGTAACTTTTTATATACCGTAGAACAACTGTAGAGTCTGCATCCAGATTAAATGTTTGCACAGGCTGCTCTAAGAGTCGACAGTGTTATCGTCTTTTAGCTTGCAGCATCAATTTGGTCATTTCTTCATTGTGTCATCATTTGGTTTGAAACTTAATGTTACTAGGGTGACCATATTCTGAATCCCCCCGAAAAAGGACACGACTACGCAGAGGTGGAGTCACACAGTCGCATGTAGTGAATATTAAGAGTTTTTCGGGTCAGATCGAGTGTTTTTTATGCACTTCTAACTCAGTTAGTCCATGCGACGCAAACTCAAAACTTCCATATATAACCCCGGACATTTGACGGATTTCATAAACTCTCCCGGACAAGGCCGGACAGGTTAGACAGCCCCCCAAAAAGAGGACATGTCTGGGTAAAAGAGGACATACGGTCACCCTAATGTTACCCAGTGTGTTTACATGCACTTAAAAAAAAGGTTTATTACAATATTCCAACTTAAACTGGACTTTAAAGAATACTACAACTGTTGTACCGGGCTGTAGTCATGTTTAACATGTAGTCTAACCTCGGCATTAGAGCAACTAAATGTGCAAAGATTTATCTAAAAATGTTGTTTTAACATAATAAAATCATACATACAGGGATTAAAGTTAACTTTTGCGTATCAAAAGTTTATTTTTATCTTGTTATCTAACTTTCTACTTGTACTATCTTGTTTTTTTTTCTGACTTTTAATTCATTTCAATCAGTTTTTAGCTCGGCGATCTGAACTTTTAGCTTTGAGTACTTAACCAGCTGTCTTAGCTGATCCTGTTTGCAGGCATAAGATAATTCCCTGGATGACATGATGAATCGACAACATCTATATCCATGCATGTGATTTTATGGCATTTTTATCAGCAGTATCATTAACAGCCATAAAGTGATTAAAGGGTTTATCCTGTTTTTTTTTAGGCTAATCTAAGATGGGTGATATCATGTTGTTTTTAGGCTGTCCTCTTGTTTTGTGATGTACCTGTTTTTTAAAGTGAATCCAGCTCTCTATAGAAAGCTACGCGTCATCCTCATTATAATACTCATGTAAGAAACGTGGTAATTAGGATTAAATGACAGCGGCCGTGCAGTTTGAGGCATAAAAGCTTTTAGCGTGCACACAGACCTAACTCTTAGCTTCTGCGTGGACTTTCCCAGACTACAAGAATAGCATATTGGATTACCTAAATTGAGGGGTTTTACCCTTTTAAGCCCACTTCATTTTACATTACATTAGTCACAGAAGTCCTGAGAACTTAATCTGCGACTTCTTTGCCTTCTGCGTGCTTGTCTGCTCGGCAGCCTTTCATGGCATGACTCTGAAAATAGCCTGAATACCTCCACATCATTGTATTGTGTTATTGAGGGCTGTTTAACACTGTGTGCTCAGGTTGGAGGATAAGATTTCCCCGTGTGTGCACGACAGATACTTCCCGACAAAGCACGATAGCTTGAGTGATTCATAGAAAAATTATATGTCACTGTTGTAAAGTCCAAAGCAGTAAAATGAGGCAGCTGTCCTATATAGAGCAGAGAGTTTAAAACATGTGAGCAGACTCTCTGTGTTATTAATATATATTTTTAAATACATCCATGTTTTTAGATTTGTTAGATACCAGCTTTGAACGGACGTGTGTTTCCAGGATTGAGGCGTAACGTCTGAATTTATGAAGAAAACATACAGAAAGTGTGTCACAGCTATACGTTATCTGTCCTGAGAGGGTGGACTCGTCTTTTCAGAGATAACAGGAACTGATTTAAAAGTGTGTTGTTGGGTTAAGTGCCTTTAAACTGTATCAGAAGAAACAGAACGAGCCGTTTCAGTGGGCAGCTCCCTCCTCTGAAACACTGTTACTTATCACCTCCCTGAAAAACATTCCTCTCATTTCGTCTGATTGTCTTGTGTTACCGCCGAGCTGCACCGGGGTCAATCCTTTACAACACCTGCCATCTGCATACATTCTTATGTAAAGCCTTAGTATTCACTGGAGAGACCATATTAAAATAGACCGCACTAAGACGTTAAGTCACTCCTGTAATGTGATGATGTTTTTGACGGCGGCAAGAAAGAAACATTTAGTTTGTTTTAGTTGAAGAAGCACAGATGGCGTCCTCTACTGTGGCGCAGTTTGTCAGTATTTTGATGTAGAGTTTGGAGACAGACCTGTATATAACATTTGTTTAACTAGTATATAATCACTTTGCATGCAGGAGTTTGCTTGCATGGAGGACTGAATGCTGGTGGTGCTAGCTCTGCTATTGTTAGCCAAACTCTGCCAACTACTTTGACATTGTTTACACTCAGACTCTGCTATCCTGTGTTTATTATTGAATAAACTGTGCTTAATTTACTCATTTTAATTCATCGTGACTGTATTCTGAGTGTTTTATGTAGGGGGTGCCAATAAGAGGACACTACTACTTTGGGTGGAGTCACAGAGTCGCGTGTAGTAAATTTTGAGAGTTTTTTCAGGTCAGATCGAGTGTTTTTTACGAGCTTCTAACTCAGTAAGTCCACGCGACACAAACTCAAAACTTCCATACAAAAACCCCCGGGCATTTGAAGGATTTTATAAACTCCCCCGGACAAGGCTGAACAGACCCCGAAAAAGAGGACATGTCCGGGTAAAAGAAGACGTTTGGTCACCCAACGTTAAATACCCGATAAAGCTTCTGCAAAACCTGAAATTGAGAGAGTTTATTGAGTCT